TTGACTGTTTCAGATTTGTGCAGGACAAGTAAGTACAACGGGTCAACATTATGCCTGTAGCAAGTCATGAAACAGAAATAAAATAAGATAGTCTCTAGTATTCTTATAATGTTGTCTCAGGAGTTGCATCCCTTTGGCGTGTCAGAAACGTGTGATGATGGGTTCGAATCTCAGAATCACCTTGAGTATGTTCTAGGTATACTGGCACTGCTCAAAAGTTTCAGCAAAACAAGACACACCAAGTACACGCGACTTTGACATTCTTTGTATCATTGTGTTATTCTAACTGGACTCCCAAGTGAAGTTGTGGTGGTGTATGACTCCAGGGTATTTATCAAAATAGAATGGAGATATAAACACAGGATAATCTAGGAGTACTCAAATACTGTTAAAATCTTGGCACAACTATTGCAATAATTTGGCAGTACTGTTTCGAACTATCCCAGCAGTTCACATGGCATAATTGTCTCCCCTTAGTCTGGTGCAAGCAGAGTACTGGCACGACCCACTCAATGAGGAGGAGTACCGAGCCAAGAGCGTCTTCCTCGCCGACATCAACCAGGAGCGAACAGTAAGGAGCATTGGCACTGGACATCTGATCGTTTTGTTGATCGTGTGTGTGTGTGTGTGTGTGTGTGTGTGTGTGTGTGTGTGTGCGTGCGCGCGCTGATAAAAACATGTTTCTTTTAAAACTTCAGATACTCCATAAAATAGATATAATGTACAAAATGTGAAACAAAAATCAATGTTATCTAGACCTGAGTTGCCTCTGCTTAGTCTCTCCGTTATTGCAGACCAAGAACATGACGTACAAGGAGAACCTGCTGAAGCTGAAGAACATGGTGCTGGTGATGTTCCTGCAGGACACCATGGTGCAGCCCAAGGAGAGCGAGGTCAGCAACAACAACAATAACAATAAAAACATCATCATCATTAACACTACTATAAATAATAATTGACGGCTAACATTCTTTACCTGATAATATTAATCATTTTAAGGATAGATTTTATTGATAGGAATAATGTAGTGGTCAACTCCAAACTGATGCCTACTATAAGACTTGTAGTGGCTGTATCATCTTCTCGAAACAAGAGCGTCCACTTGCCTTTATATCAAAGTCTTGTTTCCACCCTTGCCACATCAAGCCCACTCTCCTGTGCTAAATATGATTGGACTATTGCATATATCGATAGTCCAATCAGAACGTTTCACAAAATCAACATCCATGATTGGTACACCTTTGATTAAATTGTTTTACCGCTGCCTGTCTTTGTTGACACGAATATGTCTTTTTCATCTTTTAAACACACACACACACACACACACACACACATACAAACGATTGCCTATGTTTTTGTGTCGGGGATGAAATTGTGATCGACTACGTCATTGCCTATGGTAGTTGCCATCTTTATGAGCTAAACAAGATATAAACAGTGATCTGATTGGATATCGCGTTTTCATTACAAGAGGCCAAGAAAAAGTGGCCTTGAAACTAGGCTTTGATATGGGCTAGTGGACACTCTTGCCTCGAGAAGATGGGGCTGTAGTGGATATATTTGTTTCAGGGTCTGTATGACAGACTAATTATGCAGATGTGTGGATTCATTCGTCTGGTCATGATTTATCCTTAGTATGTTCTCGATGTTGCAGACTGAACAAACAACTGGTGCAACTGTCATGTTAACATGCTTTCATTAAAAACCTGGTCACTTTTGTCATTCAGTGGTTTGGGTTCTACGCCCGCGGGCAGACTACCCAGCTGTACAACATGACACAGAGCGACCTCTACAAAAATGTGAGTATAGCAGATTACACATACTGGTTTTCCTACAATTTAGAACCTGTTGGATTCCCCATGAAGATCCAGATTAAAATTGGTCTTCAGCAACCCATGCTGGCTGACTTGGTTGATGCATGTCATAATATTCCATTTCCATCGATTGATGCTCATGATGTCAATCACTGGATTGTCAGGTCCAGACTTGATTATTTACCGTCTGCCATCACATAGCTGGAATATTAGTGACCTAACGATCTGGGGCATTGGCCATGCTTTCAACCACTGGTTTATCAGGCCTGGGTCCTGTTCCACAGAGCCACAACTCTCGTAATCCAGTGTTAAAGTATGGAAGTTACCAGGTGCCGTGATATAGGTGAAATATTGCTGACTGCAGCATTATACACTACCTCACTCACTCTGTGACTGATACAGTTAGTCCTACACATCTGCCTGGTTTTTGTTTTGAAGTCCACCATGCAAAAATATATTGCTAGTCAGTCAGGTTAACAAAGTTTCATGATAAAAATGAACTTTAACATGCTATTGATTAAATAAGGGGGCCCTTAGATACTACTGTTAGATACGACATAGAAATAAAGGATGACTCATTTTGACAGAGATTTACCTCTGGGTCTGTAAATTTTCTAATCCAGGTTCAAAGCAAAAAAAATAGCATCCCATGCTGGCGATGTGGTATGCTCCACCTGATTTTCAAGAATTTTACTAAAGCCTTGAACCCATACAGACAGGAATTGAAATGTTTGATTGGAAAACAAATTACCATTGACCAATTACCTTTTAGTGTTTCTAACAAGAATATTATCTATCAGTTATACACCATTTTGAGTCATTAAGTCTACACCCTTGGGGTTTCAGAGTAAGAATTAGAGGCAACTAATAGGATTGGGTGAGCACGCTCAGTGACTTGGTTGATTGCATGTCATCGTTTCACAATAGTGCTTACTGTCAATTACTGCATTGTCTGGTCCAGACTTGATTGTTTTCTTATTTTTGCTATCATCATATTGCAATAATATTGAGTGTGACATTAAACAAATATTATGACTGATCGTAAAATATTTTTTGTTAACTAAGAAAGCGATTAGGGCTGTCATTGAAGAGGATGTTATATTTTGACCCTTTCAGAATCTGTATAATCAGATCATCACTATTAACCAACATCAGCACTCTGTCTCACACTACAGACGACTTGAAATAAAATATATATAATATCTGTGACTGTAACAACAAATTCTCACTGTCTAATTCTAGAACAATGTCAAAACTTTACAATCATCTTTGTCTCATAGGACTACCTTGGACTGAAGACGCTGTACGAGAGTGGACGCATCACCTTCCTGTCATCGGATTCAGACCATCTTCATTTCACCGACACCTGGTTTATCAACAGCATCCTCGAGAAATTCCTCGTCTAAGCTTCCCCTCTACTCATGTTGCTGATACTCTAAACACTGATTTTGGTTAAACTGAGACCCCCATAAAACTCATTAATGACACAGTACAATGTCTGACAGTGAGTACGTTCTCGGTCTCATCTTGCCACAGATGATTACAATACTGACGTCAGCTGTGATTATGTTAATTATGAAGAAGGGAACGAGGATTTAGAAGGAAAAATACTTGGTCAAAATAAGGTTTATCAATGGTACGAAAATAATATGTTGGAAACATATTTCCTTTAAGAATAATTTACAACCAACCTTTTCTAAATTTTGCAATTCATCTTTGAAAATTATGTTACTGTACATTTATTTAACAGCATTCCAGTATTACCTTAGCCATGAATGTTTACTGTACAGTTTAAATTGTGTATGCTTACAGTAGAAAACTACTTCTTTACAATACCATAGAGCAGACATAAATATTGCTGTAAATGCTCATGTAAATATATGTATTTCTTCATATCAATTGTTTTTTTACACAACATTTAACAGATGGTATTCTACCTTTACCTGTTTGTACATTAAAGGGTAAATATTTGATAAAGGTGTACATAATATTTTATACAAATATTGACATGGCATAAAACAGCAACAAGATGCCTATTCTTGGTGAAACAAATTACTATGTTTATGTAAACCCTGTATGTTTAGTTGTATGTACATTTTCAATGGTAAAGGCAGATAGACATTCTTGCTTCATGTGATTTAACTCGTGGTGCGACCCTTGAATCTTGATAAAGTATTTGGCCCTTCCCCCATAAGACTTCAATAATACGGTACCAGTAATGTATCTTGCAAGTTTCTTCATAAATAGAGAATTTGCATACTGCTTAAATTATCATGCTTGCCAATTTGTTGTATTTAATTTCTTAATCTCGTAAGTTCAGGACCTAACCTGCAATAAAAGCTACAAAATGAAGCAGCTATTTCATATTGCTTTTGTATTCTATTGATAAAAAGACGATATGTTTTGTGTATATTTATTTTGGTTGCATAAAATATGTACTAAAATTTATGATCTATGTTCTGCTCACTTAATATATTTTTTAGTTGCTGTTTTTTTTATCTTCACATATTGATCTATGTTGTTTCAATAACTTACATGAAGTAAATTATTTCACTAAAAGACTTTGTATGTCATTTTATGGTAACGGGATTGTTGAAGCAGTCCATTTCCACAAGGTCAGCTCAATTAGTGCCACGACATTTGGAGTACACACGCTGACGTTAGAAGGATCATCTCACAAGTATCAGATGAACACTGATAGTTTGTTTTAGCTTGTGTGTGCCACAGATGTCATACAAAGATAATACGAATTCAAAACCTCTGTTACATCTGTCATGAATCCAGTATTTTGACCGTTATCACACAATAATTTCTTCAGACTTTCAACAGTAGTTCTCTAAACTATCAACTATCCATAATTAGTTGTGCAACTAATAGCGTCTTGCTCCCAACTTATGCGCATGTGTGAGGTCGGAAAATCTCACTTCTTTCTTGTGTGTGCTGGTATCAACATTCCGAGTTTGTCACAGCAAATTATTTAATTGTATCTTCAGTTTGAAATAGCCTAGTCGTTAATATCCTGTGATACAGCTGAAGAGGATTGTTAATTGTTTACCTCAGACACATAAGAAGGATCATCTAAAAAATACTAGTGGACACTGAAAGTTATAGCAAGTGTGTACTACAGATGTAGCATATCAAGACACCTTCCCTGAAATCTAAATAAGGAACAAAAGCAACAAAGACTATTGTGACATACTTTTATTAACTTGATAAATAAATTTTGATCATGTGTCTAGAACGTGAATCATTTCAAAACTTTATTAACAATGTAAAATATAAGTACATTCAACTAAAAAAGCCAAAACAAAAAATCAACACGACTGAAAACAATCTTACATATACAAAAAAGTGTAGACAAACCAAATTTGAAGACATCACAAATATGAGTGCAACTTCAATATGTATAAAAACAATGGAATAAACTTGTAAAATGTATATACATCTAAATCTCCACACAGTAACAAAAACAAATTCCAGTGTGTAGTGGAAGAAGTTTTCAAGAAGAAAAATAAGTTGCTTGTGCACACAAGAAATCTGGCAAAATGTCCACGTTAGTGTTCTATGAGATCATCAACAATAGATTAAATACATGGTGGTCACTAGACAAAGTTGTGCTTTTTTCTGAAACAACACTGTGACTGCTAAGTTTGACTAGAAACCCACAATATGATCATGGTATTATGCTCCAAGTCAAAGGACGAGGTGCAATAAGGGCCCTCTCTGGCCCCCTGGAAATGGAAAATGGTGAAGTCGTTGAAAAGTCTTTTTACATTCACTTGCAAATATTGGACATGGTGATATGCACAAGTGTTGAAATGAAAAAAGTCTAATTCTGATTCATAGGAACACATAACATAACACTGATAACTTTGAAAATGATTTGTAAACATTGTCCTCATTTCCTAAATTATGCATATCCCATGCGCCAAAAAGGTTCCTGATCATAACTTGACACTTATAAAATGAGTACTATTCATCCTACTTCTCTACAACCTGCAGTGCCTTAATGAAATGCACCATGTATCTGCAAAACCCCACTAGGTCATGGTGGGTTTTTGAACAGTACCGGAACAAATGGATATTGTTTTAGGTAACATGTACTAACAGTGAGTGAGTGAGTGAATTAGGAGATAAACATACTGTGTTTTCAAATTTATAGCTAGGATACCTGTAGATTTAACTGCGCTAAATTGAATTTGGAACTGTAAGCGACATACATCAATCTTGTATTACATACTACATATATCATGAATAACAGGCTGCTTCATATCTGTATTGAGAAAATCCTAACTATTTATTGCTCTTTTTCTCTGACACACCTTTCTAGCACATGGCACTATGCTGGATATATAGACATGCTTTGGGTATTAAGTAAACATCACTAAAATTATCACAAACACTTTTGTAAAAAAAATAATTTCTACACTCAAGTAATTCAAATTGTTTTCACTTTTATTTGAATACAATCAATATGATACACATCTGAATAAGCCAGAATATCAACACGAAGGACATGAATAGGCGTACTCCTGTATTGCAGATGAGTGAAAAATGGCGAAAGACTGTTCCTTCTGTGTTCACTGTTCATCACAAAAAGTAACGGGGAAGCAAAATTATCTCAAACAGCTGATCTGTAGGATGTGGGTGGCCTCTCAAGCTATCATTTATACCTATTTAAACAGGATTACTTTTTCATAAGTAAACAACACATCATTTTCTATTGTCATGTACCACGATACAAGTCTGTATGTATCATGTATCGCAGTGCATGAAAGTTTCGGTGTATGAATTCACCCTTGATCTTCATATTGAGCCATTCTAAAACTCAATGCAAATATCTATCAAATATGTACAAATAGTTAACAAAGATTTGAGATACATGATTTCTGTGAGGTTTAAGGAACTTTGGAAAGTGGTCCTTGATGAATTGTGTGTGATTCTAACAAATTGACTAACACTTGGCAGGAAGCTTTTCACAACAATTTGAACAAAAATCTTGGTTCTTTACATGAAGCTGGTTTCGTTGTATAAAGACACGCAGATAGATCACAGCAATATCTATGACATTAACAGGGTACAAAAGTTTGTGAATGAGCACTTTACTACACAGCAGTAATGAGAAATGTACTAACCCATGGCAACGAGCACTGTACTACAATGTAACCATGGTAACATCACAAGAATACACACTTCGTTGTTAAACAACAATTACAACAGACCTATATTGAGAGTGCAGGTATGCGTCAAAAGATAAATTTGAAATGATTACATATTGACCATTATTGGCCAAAACATGATGCATGGTTCTCTGCCAGTACTCACTAGTATCAACACTGTTCATGAAAGCTGAGCTATACCAAATTATTTTCGGGTTTTATAGATAGGCCCTCCATCAATTTTTCAGGAGTTACAAAAAGATTAATAAATACAAATGCTGTTTGATTCATTATTTAGGTGAAAACTATCCTGGAACAACAATGCAACATAACCCCTTGCAACACCTTGGAGTTGGACACTAAGATGGACTCGAGGCTGCTGTGCCCACCACTCATGATCTCTGCTGTGCGCTGGACAGGTCACCTGCCCTCATGCTCGTGTAGCGTGGGCAACAGAGGCAGGGGACCACCAGTCTATACCGCACGGTAGTTTGCAATGGTTACTCCCCTTACTCGCTCTTTTGGATGGAGAGTCCGTTAAATATCTATATTTAGGGTCCATGGCCACAATGTTCATGACCCATTGTAAAGCCAGACAGTAAATTGGTCCGGACCTGGAAAAGAAAGTCTTATCCAGGAGCAAACTATTTCACACTTGATAATAAAAAGAAGTAACCTGGTGCCAAAATCTAAGGAGTCAATGCCTGAGAACCATTTATTATGTTGCAGCCTTCAATAATGGAAAAATGAAAACACTCAGTATGGCGGACGAGCAGCTAATTGTGACCTTGAGCTCTATAACTATTCAGTTTGATTTGGTAACAGCAATAATACTGACAAGAAAATGCACAACCTCAACATGTTATCACTAACTCACAGCCAAGCCCTCTGTGATAAAACATAAATTGGTTAAAAACTAGTAACCATGCCAACCCCAAATTGAGGCAATTACAAATATCTGAGATAAAATGAGTAATTTAATAAATAACAACAGTAATCATTATTGGCATGTCTCACAGCATGGTTTATATTATTAGCATTTTATCTATCATCCAAACAAAGTAATTGTTCCTTCTCACCACAAGCTGAAACGTGTATTAGCTGATTATTGATAGACGATATATGTGACAAAGACTGTAGAGAGGTCAATATTTAGATTAAAGATTTCTTGAACCTTGTGTGAGAGTTGAATGAGTGCAAAAACTTCGCATAAAACTAAAAAAGGTGACATTTCGCCATGTACTAATGTCTCTGTTAAAGTGTGCCTACAACTCTCTCTCTTTTCTGGATGCACCAGGCAATCAGTTTGTGATACCTGCCACTAGTCCTATGCTCTCTCTATCCCAAAAGCTCATATTCATAATCAATGAAACTTAAAACCCTCAAACCAACATTACATTCAACTATCAGTACAGAAGAGTTCAGGACACGCCCATTGAACTGTATGCTATTTCCATATGTTAAATACCACATGTTCAGCAAATTCACTGAGTAGAGATTGGATGCTTGCAAACTGAGCACCTGATTTAATTCAAGATTAATTAATAACAGTATCATTTGTAGTATAAAACATTCCACTTCATTGGAAGCTCTTACTCGTACAAATCCTACCAGAGGCCCACCAAGTTCAGCACACACTGTGTCTGTTTTAGTCTTTTAAAAGAGGTCCTAGTGCACCACTACAACCATATGTAGATGAAATCACATAGAGTTTCGTCTGCCACTGACTTGTTTTACAAATACCTCGGTATTTTGAGTATTGATCAATGTGTAAGTCCCATACTTCATACTTCATAATACAATAATACAATAAACAATGTTTTAGAAATTATGCAATCTCTATCTATTTTCTAAATGACTGATTTTGATGATTTCCGAGATTTGCTTTGAAGCAATTTTCCTTGCACTAAAAACGATGCATCAGTAGATACGAAATTAAGCTTGAGAGTCAAGAAGTCCTTGTCATGACCAAAAGGTAAAGATTTAGTAGGTCCCTAGGTTCAATTACTGTGGGGCTCCTTAATTTCAAACAATGAGTAGACAGTTCCTTGTTTAATATCACCCTTTCGTGCAATATTGTGTGGAATAATTTGGTATAAGACATTATTCCAAGCTTTCCATTTTGCCATGCAAGACTTTCACAAAAGAATGAAATGAATACAGCAAATATACGTTCCTTATACTAAACAGGAATCATATTCAACCAGAGACATATGGCTACTTTATCCTGAAACATCTGACACTAATATCACAGAGGATAAGCAGTGGAGCAAACACTAGGACCAAGCAGATATATAAGGAATGTGTATAATGAACTTCTCACACTAAACGACACGGTCATGTATCAAAACATTACATCTGGAATGATTGTTGTGATTGTATATTGCTCTCGGGAATGGTCACCACAGTAACTATCTATCATCTATGTACATGGAAAGTGATGAATATTAAAGACAGACAAGGCCTGTGGCTGCTTGCTTCGTGCCATGAGTCGCGTTAGTGTGTGGCGCAGTTGGAAAACTTGTCTCTGTAATTTGTCTTGTAGTAACAGCTTGATTGAAATAAAACATCAAGTGAGTGAGGGAAAACACCACTTTGTTTTTTGTTTGTTTGTTTGTTTGTTGTTTAACGCCGCACATCACTAGACAACTACATTCAACAGTAGACAGAATTAGATACAACAGTAGACACGGTAGATTTGTTTGTTGTTAAACGCCCCACTCAACAATATTCCAGCTATATAATGGCAGTCTGTCATTAATCGAGTCTGGACCAGACAAGCCAGTGATTGACATCATGAGCGTTGATCCACGCAATCGGGACCGATGACATGCATCAACCAAGTCAGCGAGCCTGACCATCCAATCCTGTTAGTCGCCTCTTACGACAAGCATACCACTTTATGGAAGGATCGTGTCATATGCAGGTCTTAGACACTTACCACTTGGGTGAAACACAAGAGCTCCAGTACGAGGATGACAAACCAAGAATCACAATCAGGAGTCTTGCAAGAGTAAGAGAGTGAGTTAGGTTTTACACCGCTTTGAACAGTATTCCAGTTATTTAATGGCATGTCAGCTTGATGTAGGAGAAAAATCCGAAGTGATGCAGGTCTTAGACGTTTACAAATTTGGTGAAACCTACAAGCACGGGTATGGTGCTGACAAACCTAGAAACATTATCAGGGCAAACTAGGATTCAAATTCACGATCAAAGGTTTCTGGCGTGTCCAAAGGACGCAACTCTGCACAGCGAATTGCCGGCGCCTTATATTAGACAACTGAGCCACCCATGCCCCCAAAACTAGCAAGTAATGAGTATTTGTGAGAGCCTCGTCCCCCTTTAACCTTGAAGTGTGCTGTATGGAGTTCACATGACAGAATTACAATGCCAAAGTTCACATAACTATACATCTTATGCTGAAATGATGCAATGTCACCATCATACATTGACTAATGGTTCTGACAGTGTCTAAGTAATGGAAATCAACTCGTAGTCGGACTGCACAATATATAGATTAATATTAGGTTTCAAACCATATTACCACACTAAATTAGACACATACTGATCTGGACAAGAGTTAAAGCATTAATAGCGTGTCATGAAATTTACCCAACTTTCATCAGCTTTGCCTACCTGAGTATATAAGTGAGCGAGTGAGTCAAAATTTAACATCACATTGGCAATATTTCAGCCATATCATGACTGGGAGTATATGAAACACCCACCTGATCAACTGTAGCTAACTTGGCTGTGTCCAGACTTTTAATCAGCTTTGCCTACCTGATATGTATATACATTTCTTGCTGTAACTAACAGCTCCTACTTGACTAATCAGTGGAATGAATAATCAAAACAACTGCTAACATGCAATGATATTGGACTGAATATTGCACATATTTTGTAAAATGTGAAATATTTACAAAAAGTCAGAAGTACAACTGGATACTGAGCTCAATGCAAGAGCATAATTTCTACATAAATCCTTGTCATACATGTCTCTGAAGCTGAACAGTCACAGCAATTACAGACACCAGGATAACATAAATCCAGTGACTTTCAAACATTAGAGATCATACTAAGTAATACAAGTAGGACATCGAGAGTATCATACAGAGTGGCCTTATCACATTATTGGCTGAGTATTCTACACTATTATTCTCACAGTACATAACAGAGTTTAGGATCATGATGAAATTAGTTCTCCAAGGCTATTTTCAAATTAACATGATGCTTATTATGGGATTACCCTTTCATTTACTTCTACTTTAGAAACACTGGTAAGCATCACTGCTCGATATTTAATGATAAAGTATCACTATGACTAGTGAAATGACACAATTTCAGAAATGCATACCGTATTTACATCATTGCAGGGACTAGTGACTTACAAGAGATCACTGTTCCTCGAAAACAGAGACTCACTTACATTCATGCCTGTTGCACCATGTTACACGGTAACTGAAAATGTGACAGTTCCTAATATTGGAATCACCTTGACGGAGTGCTGTACTACCAGTTAAAGGCTTGTAGGGAGAGCACAAGAGCACCAAGAATGAGGAATAGCGATGCTGTTAGACTGGAAGCTGTGGTGTACTGGCATTTGAGGGGCAGGTCACGGAGGGCGGGGCACTTGTCCTCCTCTGCCAGGGTACTGTGGGTCGTCTCTTCATGGGCACATGTGCCGTTCACGATACGATAGGCTCCAGAGTTAACAATGCTGTAAAAGAAGTGACATCATAGAAAAATAGAGCCACAAGATTCAAAAGCTTGCCTGAATGTTTCTGGAATATTTCCATTAGTATGAGTGAGTGAGTGAGTGAGGCTTTAATGCCGCCTTGAACAGTATTCCGGTTATATCACAGCATGTCAACTTAGTGTTGGAGGAAAACCGGAAGCGATGCGTGTATCACATGTTTACTCAGCTACAGAAACTAACAATCTTAGCCAACTAGTCTTCATAATGATAACACGTAGCAAAAGCCCTAGGAAGGGCAAATTTTTACGAGTCTTTAGGATACCTTAACTACTGGACAGTTTGGCAAGGACTATAGGACTAGTGCCAACTTCTAATGCTGTTTACCACTTTTGAAAAAACCTGGGAATATAATCAGGGCGAACCCGGATCCGAACAACGATTGTAGGTTTCTGGAGTGTCCAAGGGATGCAACTCTGCACAGTGAATTATTGTGCCTTAGACGACTGGGGCCCCCCATGCCCCCATTTCCACTAGATCACAATAAACATCACAAAAGGGGCAAACAAGGATGTGCCAAAATAAGCTTCAATATGTACAACTATGTCAACTACCGTATTCGACATAATAAGCGCCCAGGCCGCTCTCAAAATTAGAAATAGGGGGCTCTTATCAGAATATTATTTTGGTTAAAAACAACAGAGTTGAAAGATCGTAAATTTCGTGGTTTATGCTGACATCCTGAAATGTTTATATACGACAGATATATTTTTCCAGAATTTATTTTCCCATAATTAAGAATGCATATAACATACGTATTATACACGAATATATAAGTCTTGTGAACTTTGCCCAATCGAAAGGGGTGCTAATAGCGATTGTTCACTAGCCAATATATGAACAAATATCGCCGTGGGTGCTTATTAGAGCGGGGCGCTTATTACGTCAAATACGGTATGTCATATTATTAGTACTCATGAACTTTTGATTACTATTCAGATGCAACAGCTGGGATCACCCTTGCAAAGTTTCAGTTTGTGGTTTCACAGGAGAATGTACATGTTAATGATGGACAGATGGATGACTAACAGCCACCAAGGTATAAGCTCACTCCAACAGACATAATAACTAATGTCAATAAGGTTTAGATTCTTACGTTCTTGTAATCTTGCAGTTGAAATTGTAGAACAGGCTCTCCCTGTACTGCTTCCAGTTCTCTATCACAAGCAGGTAGAGGTTTGTGAGAGGCAGGGCAGTCACATAGTAGAACCCTGACATGCACGGCCCTGATACATTGCCAGTCACCATACCACTAGGACCTGTACATGTAGAACACAGGTTAATTAGGGCAGTCACATAATAGAACCCTGACATGCACGGCCCTGATACATTGCCAGTCACCATACCACTAGGACCTGTACATGTAGAACACAGGTTAATTAGGGCAGTCACATAGTAGAACCCTGACATGCACAGCCCTGATACATTGCCAGTCACCATACCACTAGGACCTGTACATGTAGAACACAGGTAAATTAGGACAGTCGTATAATAGAACCCTGACATGCACGGCCCTGATACATTGCCATTCACCATACCACTAGGACCTGTACATGTAGAACACAGGTTAATTAGGGCAGTCACATAGTAGAACCCAATGAGGGAACAGATTAATGATAACACTATGGCCACATTAACAGAAACTGGAACATGAAGAAGAAACATGAAGTCTGTACGGTGGTAAATATTTTACCAGAACCATTGAGATGATTCAGACAACAATCAATCAAGTTTATTTCATAATTCAGGCCACATGGCCCATGGTACTGTTGAAAGATAAACTATATTTAAAGTCACATGTCCAGCATGTTACATCTTTACCGATGCCATTTCAAAAATTAACATAAACATAAAGCTATCAAACGTAATTCATTAATATCATATGAGTAAAAATATATTTGCAAACATAATTCTACCTTTATAATATTTCTGTAACAAGGTATGAAAACTATTTCTCAAGTGAGTATATTTCTTACACACAAAAAAGAGATGGGTACCTCCTCTGCTAAATGAAGGTCACAGTCTTTACATACAGATTCAGTAAGAGATATATTTAACGTTGACTTTTTACGAACACTGTTCACTCAAAACTTGTGAAGAGATATTCAAAATTTACACATCGCTCTAACTAATTGTACTTACCAAGGGCAGAGTCATTGGCTTTGTAGCTGACCACATCCTGGATACAGCCAAATTCACTGTGGAACTTGGGGATGGGGCCTCTGTTCCTGAAATAGTCGTCCAGCTCCTCAGGCTTCTTGGGGATGCCCAGCAGGCTCACCTAAGGAAGCAGAAGGGGAACAGTGAAACAGTCAAGGCGTGGAGCCGTAACCAGTTGGAGCCACAACCAGTTCATCAATATACTTGGGGTGAAACGATACAGCAAGGTCATGATACGATAGATATGCATATTTATGTCAAATCGCATGGAAACTTCCTGACAATAAATATTTCAGGGCAGGTTCAAAAGGTAAAGCTAGCTGGAGACACAGGTTCGTATTGGCTATTTTTTGTAGCGAACTTGAAACGCTAATTAAAACATATTTTGCGATAACTGACTGACAAAAACGCCAGGTGTCATTAAACGAATAGTGAGTAATATATTTCAGCAAGTGTATCATCTTGTATCAATACAGAAAATGAAGTATCGTGTATCGTATCATTACATGAAAACTTATGATGCACCGGTGCACCGATGTATCATTTCACCCCTACAATGTACACATCCACACACCAGCAACGAAGGCCCACCTACACAAAGTGACCATAGCGCTCAGACCATCATAACTCCCATACTTTAACATAGACTTATGAAAGGTTTGCTGTTAAGTTTGCTTCGTGCAAGTGGGCCCTGGAAGTCGGTTGCCTGGTTTATGTAACATAGATAGATTCAGGGAGAAAAAGACTACAGTAGAACATGGCCATAACAAACAAGGCTATAACCTGCCATAACAGATATAACAAACTTTTTCAAAAGTCCTGTCTGCTCTACGAAATAAATGCTCACCTCAAAAAGGCATCGCAAAGATGGCCAGGAGGTGATATTATCAGTTTCCATATATATGTCATAACACTGCTCACATTCTTTCAACTGAACATGCTGAATTCTCACAATGGAATATATATTTCTACCGAGAAGTTGATACAAATTGGAGTACTAAAATAAATCCAAAGTGGCTGATAAGATTTAGCTAGTAGTAACAAACAAATTTCAACAGTCCCTTGGATTCTGTTGACTACCCCTCTTTTACTGTACTGTAAATCATGAAACTAAGGCAGCAAAAAATGTGCATGTCCCTTCCTTGCATTAACAGAGTTCATACTATTAGCCTGACAAATTTCCCTGACTTTTCCAGGTCTTTTTCAGGGTATAATGCCAATTTTCCATGATATCATTTCAATAATGGAATTATTTTCTGATTTTTACCAGAAACAAATTACTGGTATAAACATATTATTTTTCCATAACTTTTTTTTTCCAATTTTTTTTTTTAAAAAGATGTCCCAGGCCTGAGAAACTCAAACTAAAATTCCAGGACTTTTCCAGGATTCCATGACTTGTACAATTTGTCTGTTTGTCTGTCTGTCTGTCTGTTTGATACTGCAATTTTCCAGCTATGTCCAGCTGAATGTGGGAGGAAAGCCTGAAGCGATGCAGGTCTCAGTAGTTCACCACTTCAGTGAAATTAGCATGCACGGGATGGTGCTGACAAACCAATGTAGCATAACCAAGGCAAATTGGTGTTCAAACGACAATTCTCACATGCCTTAGGGATGCACCTCTGAACAAATTGTGTCATGTGAGGCATCTGGGCCACCTTTACCTACCATCTTCCACCTTTCCATGTGAAAATCAGATAAATCACATTAACAATAATAATTGACAAGTGATGGCAAAAGCAAGTAATTTTCTCTGATATCTTACCTTAGCTTCTGCAGGAGTTATACGACAGGTGCCCTGAAAATTAATTGACTCAGTTCGTTTAAAGAAGCCATGTTTGTAGACGAGATGTTTCATGACTTCGCCTTCTTTCTTGCCAAGTGTGACTCCAGCATACTTGCTCTTGTCCAGGTTGCCAGCCAACAGGAAGTCAGGGTCCATCACCAGGTAGGCCTGGTTGTCGAACAGGTAGCACCTGAAAAACAGGAACACAGAATTTTAGCATCATATTACTCCCAAAACACCATGATTGTTGGTACAGTGGAACAGCTTGGTCACATAAAATAAAAGAATAATAGAAAGGAATGTCAAAACTGTTTGATTCATTAATCCTTGGTATTTGAGTGTCATGTCCTGGATGTTTGATTTGAGTAATATGTCCTAGGTGTTTTATTCATTAATCCTAAGTGGTTGAGTCATATGTCCTGGATGTTCAGTCAAATGTCCTAGGCATTTGAGTCGTATATCCTTGATATTTGAGTCGTATGTCCTTGATGTTTGATTTGTATGTCATAGGTGTTTGAGTCATATGTCCTGGATGTTCAGTCAAATGTCCAAGGCGTTTGAGTTGTATGTCCTTGATGTTTGATTCGTATGTCCTCGATGTTCAATTCATATGGCTTCTACGCTTTAGTCGCCCAACCTAGGTGTTTGATTTGTATGTCCTGGATGTCTGAACCTGGTATTCTGAACTTGGCTTCAACGGGACATGGCTGGAAATGTCATGTATAATATAGAATTTGAAAAGGAAATATCTTGTGTCTCTATGTCATAATGCATTAAGTATCCCTGCCATTTCCCTGACTTTCAATGACCCATCTAAAATATTTCTATCTCCATCCAATTACTCATGCCTCTTACATATGAAATGTTCAAGTTGTACATATTAAGTTCCTGTGTTCACGAATCAAATGACAGGTAGAGAAACATTTTCTTTAGCCAACAGTACCATTTGGCCACTCACTGAACCCTCAACTTTCCTCAATAATATACAGTCAAGTCCCGTTAATCCGACATTGTTGGTTGCATATGATTATGTCGGATTAACGAGTATGTTGGATAAACGAAATTAGGTAGTATCAACGTTCGTGATCGAAAATTGGACATCCTGTCAGTAATTTCATTGGTCGTTCAAAGTTTGCGAAAGGGTCGTTCTGACGTGACCTGTAATGGGATGTCTTAAGCGGTAGCGAGAGCTTGTATCCGATTTTAATGAGATTGAGGTAATCTAGGCATGTGATTAATCCTGTTTTGTGTATTTAAAAAATTAATTGTTTATTGTTAAGCAAGTTTATCTCTGCAGCCGTTGAAATATGCAGCTACTCGCCGACTCGTCTTGCATCAAAACACGGGTCTGTGTACTCGCAGAAGGATGACCACGGAGTACGCTGATCACTGTGTTGGATTAACGAGATTGATTAATGAGTGATATCAGCATTTCGTTGCAAATTAGGTGTGTCGGAGTCGGAGTGCGAGACTGTCGGATTAACGGGTCTAAATAGCACTGATTAAATCGTTTCCCATCATTTGTGTTGGATAAAGCCGATTGTTGGATAAACGAGTGTCGGATTAACGAGACTTGACTGTACATGCCAAATATGTTAGTCAGCAAGATTAATAAAATAACATCTATCGATGTATCCAATGATCTACTATTTCCTCCCAGCCATGTACGTTTTTCACTAACCGTGATGGATTTCTTGACAATGACTTACAGGCAGTGGTTAAAATTAGGAAAAGGGCTTAGTCTTAGTTCTAGATTGAAATAATCTATGTTACTATTAGTTGGACAAAAAACTGTTTACAAAACACTCAAGGAACCCATAAATTTCTAATTTCTGATACTGAATGATTAACAAAACTAGAATCTACTGAAAGAGATGACAAGAGACATGCAAGTACGGTCAAGTGGACTCAAACTGACAACTACAGGCTTGCAAACTCTTAACATTTTTGGCACCAACACAGACACAAGTGTAAAAAAAACACCTGTGGTGTATGCATAAAAATATTCGCTCCTCACCCATCTGATCAAAGTCATCTGCAGAACTATTATGGTGAGTCAAGATGTCCCATTTGAAAACAGTTTGCCTGTGTGTTATCATTATTCAGAGAAGTTTCCATACCTGGTCTCACAGTCTGGCTCTCCATCAGGGCAGAAGTAGGTCTGGCCACAGGACTTGCGGAAGTCACTGGCCTGCATGCTCTCCATGGTCTTCTTCTGGAAGTCATCGTATAGAATGTCCAGCCCAGTCACAGCTTCCACTCGCTCTGTGGCACATCGGCGCTGGTCTGAGTTCGGACCTGGCGCCATGCTCAGATAACAAACCTCTGAAGACAGAGTGAGTAGGACAGTTTAACATGTCAGTATTGCAGCAATATCTTCACATGGGACTCAATGAATGAGCCTTACAGTTCAAGGAATCAGCAGATCCTGGCACAACTAAGTGCAGCAAATTCTACACAGTGAATGTTCTGCATAAGACAAGTGAGACATCCATGCCACCCCCCACAATATCCCTGATGAATGAAAATACAAAACAGGGAAATAGAGTCATCTCAGTTCTTCAAGATGCCTTACACATAGATATATTTTTAATTGCCCGTACGTCGACCGTTCTGAAGCTTTGTTTGCAAAAGGACACTCAGCTCTACTCGCTTCATTCCACAAGCGTAGTTTCTGCTCAAGTGACACTGTAGGAGTAGGCTCATTAGCAGGTCAGGAAACACTTCTTTCCAGGGAATACCCCTACCTTGTTTCTGCATTTTCCAGAAGCAAGGGAGTTAACTGACTGTAAAAGTCCAGTTTCCATCCTTGCCAAACTAGGCTGGAATTTCTGGGCTCGATCGCAGAGCGACCAGTGGATATTACAAGTTATTTTCCTTCCCCTCCTACTGACCAACCAAATTCCACCTCTCATATCACTTGCATTTGCTGCAAACAAAATGGCGGTGCCCAGTCAAGACAATCTGATCGATGATCAAAATCTATATTGTGCATCAAATCACGTGAGCCCCTTCATTAAAAACATGAAAAGATTAGGAAAATACATGTATGTTGATGCCCAGTTAACGGTATGCATCCTTTGCAAATCCTGCAGCCGACCGAAATCTGCACGTTGAAAACCATGTTGTTTACAAACCAGACATCAATTTCGTTATATGATTTTGATTGGACTATGCATAGACTCGTTAGTCAAGTGAAAATATAACTCCATAATTCCAGCCTAGTTCAGCAAGGATGGAAACTGGACTTTCAGTCAGTTAACTACCTTGCCTCAGGAAGATGTGTTTCTGCAACGTGATTGGCTTCATACAATCAAGGCACTTATATTGATAAACACTGGCTTCTAATCCAATCAAGCTGGCAATTAGTATACTGTAGCTCATCCGTGAGAAAAACACACAAGCTTTCTCTTCAATTTGCCTTTTAATAAAACATGACAGGAGCCAGTCTATCCTGCACAGTGCTTGGGTTTTCGGCGTTGCTGTGCAGTTCTATTGTTTGGGTTTGAGAATTGAATTGTGCATGAACTAGAGAGTTGATGTCATACTCAGAAGATATTTGATGAATGATTCCAAAACACCTAGAAACGTCATCGTACTGGCCTTTTAAATTAATATAATTATTATTCTATTTTCTCTGCAAATTGTACTGTTGCTAGTCCAAGACATTTTGTGTCAGAAATAAAAAGCTTCCTTTCTAATTCCTGGGACAATGAAGGAGACTGATTAGAGGAAACTGATCATGAGAAACCATTTGATCTATGCCACGCAGAAGAGCTGTATGCTACTTGGTGCTATTATAGTACAGTTGACAGTGAAAAGGACTTGTGTTGAAAATTAGAAAAAATAGTCGTAGTGTGATTGCAGATAATAAAGGATTATGGCAATGGTATTATAGAGGTAGAGGATTCGTGAGAATAATAAAGCTTCCTTTCTAATTCCTCGTACAATGACAGGGAAAAAGAAACCTAATCATGAAAAAATATATTAGCTCTATCAGAGCTCCAGATAAGCTTTTGGTGTTGTAGGTATTTTACCCATGCATTTTAAAATCATTGGGTATCAGTAATTCTATCTGGGTATTCAAATTTCTGTTACCCACTAGTTTTTACACATGTGGGTATTTAAGTTAAATATTTAAAAACACTATTCATCTAGTCCCTGTAAACTGGTGTCGTGTGGGTTCGAGAGCTTTATAGGACTAAAAAATACCACGATACTTCCACACGAAAGTGTGATGGCAAATGATCATGATGTAACTGTCATCGTGGAGTTTGGCAAGGTTAACGGAATACCCGTTTATAATTTCAAAATAAGTTGCTGATTTGCTAATCGAATACGCAGGGTTACTTCACAATATTTTGATGATACACACAAGATATATTTTTGTAGCGTATCTGTAATGTTCGTTGCGTATTTGATACACTTGGATTTTATTTTACTGCATATTTCTGCATTTCTGATGCATATTTTACGCGGATACGCAGTTTATCTGGAGCTCTGCTCTATGTCTCATTTGTTTAACAATGCCTCACATGCAGACAATCAGCATAACGCAACTTACTTATAAGACAATCACTGTCCAGGTTACACTTGCATCCCCCAAGGAGAGATCCCTTCTCATACTTGGCACATTCTTCATCTGTCTTAGGTGTCATTCCTTCAAACACAGCTTGTGATATAGTGTTAATCTTGCCTACACCTGCAGCGTCCATGTAAGGCGTTGAGATAGACGTCTTGTGCGGGGCAGAGCTTGTTCTCTTGTACCATGGGCGTCTAAACATTCACACGATTATTCATTTTATGTAAATAATCTAGACATGACATGCTCCAATGGATTACTTAAAGTCACTTTGTTATGTCGTGAACCAAAAGTCAAGTTAATTCATTATACTCATTGCAGACTCCATATTGTATAAACTGTACCGTATTTTCTTGAGTATAGTGCACACTTTTTTTCCAAAAAACACAGCTGTGTAGAAGGGGGTGCGCATTATACATGAAATAATGAGTTTTGATGGGTTTTTTCCCCATGGAAAGATATTACCGTGAGCACGTAACACCGGAAATACCATGTCTACAAATCCATACTGAAGTACGCAAAATCATCATGTAATTACACTGTCTGGCTACAAAAAGAAAACGTGTGTACAGCTGATTGCTGTTTCTGGCTTAGTTTACAAGAAAATAAACAAGGTAATCTTAATCCCTGGATGTAAAACAATGCCTAGCAGAACAACAAATTCAATTTAAATGGTGAATAAACACGTCTGGTGATTTTTTATCTCAAATTTCAATTGTGTACTAACCAAGTTTCTCATCACCCGTTTGTTTACCGGAATTCGCTGAAGGGGTAGATCTACAGGGTAATTTTGTTCTGAGCTTGACATATAAATTTTTTTCTCCAAAATACTGAATCCACTAGAGGGGGGTGCCGATATACATGGGAGCGCACTATACTCAAGAAAATACGGTAATCTGGAATGTCAGACTCCAGAGTTCAGAATTAAGTGAGTGCAAATGAGAAAGTGAATTGGGATCAACACCACTTGGAACAGTATTCCAGTTATATCACAGCACGTCAGCTTAATGTGTGAGGAAGGTGAGGAAGGTCTTAGATGATAACCACTTTGGTGAAACCCACAAGCTGGTATGGTGCTACATGTGTACATGTAATTTGCAAGCTTGGGAGTAGCATGGATATGAGAGGTTTGCAGTGTATCACAATATTTTGCGATGCAAGAGGCCGTATTGTGATACGAAACATGATACATTGTATGATACTAAATTTTACATTCAGAAGTGCAATCACGACAGACTGCAATATTTGATTCATCAATTTTGCCTCTGTTATTTTAGACTGAAGTGCTTCCACACTTGGGCTTTGGCTTTCTCATTAGAAACAACTGACCACATCGCCATCTTGGGGTCCTGGATGTTGATGAGTGAAGTGAACGAATGCGCATGCACTGAGAAATAAACTCTATCTTCGCAAACTTGCATTTTGGAATTTACGGAAACATTTTGAAAGGTATTTGGCAAGTATATAACATCAAACACATAGGTGGAAATCAATATTTGAAATCACTCGATATACCGCATTCTAAAAAAAGATATTGTCATATGCATCATGGAAAGAATGAACTTCAATTTTCCAATATACCGGTACAGGGGACTTTACAACCTTTTTTATCAAATACCATTCTCATATGTTATGATCTAAGCCTTCAGATGCACTCACTTGGTGGGGTCGTAACCTCTGGTTGACCTGTGACCTGGGTAAGTCCTAAACACGCCACTCCGTAAGCCAACATTTGTCCACTTGATTTGATTGATGGACTCAAAGTCTCGAGTGGCCCAGATTCTCTCAATAGGCTGAGTCAGCAAAACATCGGCTCTAGACATGAAGGAATGTAACCAGAGTCATGAACAATATGGCAAAGTTACTGTACATGTGTATATTCTCATAGGTATCAGAGTATTCGGTTCCATTGAACTATTTCTGTATTAGACGGTGTTGTTTACTTACAATTCCAAACCGCCGTGATATTGCTGGAATATTGCTAAAAGCGGCGTAAAACCATACTCACTCACTCACTTACAATTCCAAATGTCCAAAAGATGTAGAGTTTTACTTCATATTCTTACATTTTACAGGTGTATCACAAACCCGAATCATTTGTTTTTAAATTTCCGAGATCAAAGATGGGATATTGTAGGGCAGAAACATAGAAGGCACTTTGAATCTTATGCTATTAATAGCCACGCGCGAAATACCAGAGAATCTGTGTAAGCTGGTTGTTCAACAGTTTTGTCTTGCACTTTAAATCTGTTATTATTCACATGCTTTTACACCAACATAACTTGTAATGTAATGTATCCTATGTATCACAATACAGGGGTTGTACATCAGTGTATTGAGTCATGGGTCTAGAATGGGGATACAATATTGTATCGCAGTACAAACGTATCATTAAACCACTAGTAGAAGTTAGAAGAACTTAAGCATGATTTAAGACTTGAAACTTTTACAGATAACAACTTCAATAAAGAAGGTAGACACAATTTTATGGATAAAAACTTCTGACAACAAGACTGACAATGGTATAAGGATCTATACCGAAACGTCGCTTTTTACAGTTTTAAAGAAGTTGTTATCCATAAAATTGTGTCTACCTTGTCATCCGTCAACTTCTAAGTAATGCATATCACAGAATTCAGTAAAGAAGGTCTTATCCATTATTGCTTCATGTCTTCAAAATCAATTTGGTTGCTGTCTCAGGAATGGCGACATAACACATTTGAATGCAAGGATTGGGTCTGATACAAGTTTCAGTTTACAAGCCTACCGAACGCCCTTGTGGAACTTCTGGTTGCCAGAGTCACACCCTTCATCCTTCTGATAACTGTTGATCCACAGATGAGCGTCCAGGGTCTTCTTGTCCAGGTTGTCATCATACATGTAGGTGGTGGGGTCACACCAGGTCTTGGGGGCCAGAAAGATTGTGGAGTACTTGTAAGAGATCCTCAGCCCGGGGTAGCGCTTTTCCTTCTCCCTCACGTCAAGCTGGTGGAACGTCCCTGGAAGCTGTTCCCGAAGCAGGTCACTTGTGTACTCCTTCAGCAGGTTGAAGTAGCTCTCCACGTACTTCGATCTGTCCACAGGCTCTTGAGAGCGACGGAATTCCTGGTGAGAAGTTAATCATATATTATGAAGGTTTGAAAATGTGCAATAACGTTTTATGTATTTGCAAGTGCATTTTAGAAATTCTCAAAGACAGCTGTTTGTTCCAAGCATTATGTTTTGAAAAGGAAAGAAACTGTCTGCACCAAGATAATCATCACAACTATTTAGATTATCTTTACAAATATTATTTTAGTAAAATCGAAATATTTTTTACATTTGTATTCTTATCCTGCATTACTCCTTAATGCATTTACTGGTTTACGTGTAATTTGTCATCCTTTCGTTGTGGGTATTTTATCAAACTGGGTACTTCACGATTATGTGCACATGTTCCTGTTACTTCTTACAACAACACATCCTTATTTTATGTGACACTGGCAGCAGACCGACCTATGTTTCAAATTTGCCAAATTTATGGGATAAAGGTGAGGCCTGGTTTGTCCTCAACACTTACAAGATCCATGTCAGTGAGGCAATAGGCAAAGGAGTATTCTGATTCTTCAAGAGCACCATAGAAGAAAGTCTGGAACACAATGGGTCAACAATTAGACGATGTCTATGCTGTCTCACAGGAGACACTGAGTTCACATGCTGCTGTTATCTATGTCTCTTGACATCATTCTAGATAATTGGAAGTTGTTTTTGTACTTTTGGACTTCAAACTGTTATTGGATCATTGTCATAATCATTTCTAAAGAAATCTCATAAGAAATTGGCATATTTAAACATATGCCACAAACAACGGACCAGAATAGATTCCACTAAATCATGTGAATCAAATAACATTTCCATTGATCCTCCTCATTATATAGTTCTGTTGCAATTCAATACTATTAGTGAGAAAAAACAAGTTGTTTAAGCAGCAATATTTCTTATTACACTGCAGGGAGAAGAAACCACAAGGGGCACATCCCTGGAGTGTTTTATTGTATGAAAAACAACGACAATGAATCGTTAATTTCTCATATGAGATGTCAATATTATGTACAGCCTCTTTAACAATGTTAATCAAAAATACAAGCTTTAACAATATTTACCCGTATTTAAATACTGATGACTCTCTGAATAGAATCCAACCTAGGCAATGTCATTTTCCTGAGGCAAGAGAGTTAACTGACTATAAAAGTCCAGTTTCCACCCTTGCCGAACTAGGCTGGTATTATGGAGTTACATTTTGGTTGGACTAACAAGTCTATGCATAGTCCAATCAAAACCGCACAACGAAATCAAAATCTGGTTCGTAAACTGTCTGATTTCAGTCGATTGCAAGATTTGCAAAGCATGTGCACCACCAACTTGTCGACAGATATTTTCCAAATCTTTTCATGATTTTAATCAAGGTGCTCACGTGATTTAATGCACTTCGCGATGTAAGACTATATTTTATCACAATATAGATCTTGATTATTGATCAGATCGTCTTGACTGGGCGTCGTCATTCTGTTTGAATCAAATGCAGGTGATACTAGAGGTGGAATCTGATTGGTCCATAGGAGAGGTATAGAAGGGACATAACTCATAATAACCACTGGTGGCGCTACGATTGAGTCAAGGAATTACAGCCTAGTTTCGGTAAACTAAAAATTAAACATGTTAAAGTTATTCAGTTAACTCTCTTGCCTCGGAAAGATGAGGCAACGTCTGACAAGTACATTTATGAACGGTGGGGGGGGCAATTTGGTTTTTCCCGCATATTCTCACAATTTGCATGTCGATTACCTGTACCTATTCTCCCAATACCGATTGTCATATCTCTCCCACTTTTGGATGTGATCATTCAGCCATCTACATCTACAGGTAACAACTCACTAGACACCTCCCTCTCAAGAAGAAGGTTGTCCAAATTATGACATCATCAAGTTGCGAGCGCATGTTTGAATCTTCAGAAATGACGTCATGATAGAACAATAATTTATTGGGAAAGAAACCACGCTTCGTTCATTTTACCTTGTGATTTATCATGTAGCTTTCTTATATATCGTTAAATCATACAAGCCTGTGGTTGATACCATGAGCAACACTATTGTCATGATGAAATTTTATTCCCTTATAGTCAGCCCAAATGACAAGTATGCTTTGTTTGTTTATATTGTCTATTTGTTTAATATGTTGTTTAACGCTACACTCAGCAATTTTCGAGCATTTTGATGACAATCTGAAAATGATCATACTCAAACCAGATTTATACCCCGCTTTGGAGCAAAAGGCCACATGCTTTTCCCCAGTTAATGAAAGTCATGTGACACAGTACAAGTTAACCTTAGCTGAATTGAACAGCTGTTTCCTATCAATTTTTATTTTGTTTTAAGTCTTCTACAAAGACAGATTTAACATGTCCGTGAGATAAATTTATTTGTAGCAGTATCACGAAGGGTACATATGATTTTATGCGTCCCTTTTTTGGTTTTATACCACATGACCTCGGCTCGTGGTATAAAACCTAACATGGAATGCATAAAACCCATCGTGATACTCCTACAACTTATAATGTTATGATACAGTAAAAATAGTCTAAGTATGAAAGTTTACCAAGCCTGACCATCCCATTTATTTAGTCAGCTGACTTATTGTAACCCCGAATCTCAAGCAGTCAGTGGACTGAAGCTACCTTGCAGTACTGAGAATTATGTTGTACCTTGGTATTGTCTTCGGATCCCTTCACCCTAATCTTGCCAGTGTTCCCAGCTTTCATCTCCCTCTCTATGGTGGAGAACTCAGGAGGGTTGCCATACTGGTCAATCTCCATATGGGAGATCGGGATGAAGATGGGATCATCAAGCAGCTATAAAACAGATAAAACTAGATCATGAACGGCTAGGGATTGAGGATTAGTGATAATCTCAAAAAATATTTACAGGTCACGGCAGAATGACGTTTCGCGAACTTTTACCAACCAATGAGAAGACAAACAAGAAGTAAACATTAGCCAATCTGAGAGCAACTTTCTCTAGTTTTATAGCACTAGTTTCAAACAGGTGACTTCAATTAAATCCAGACTATGCTTTGAAACCTAGTTCTCGATGTAACATTTGATAACTGAAAATAAAATAATTCTGGAATGTCCAATAGATGACCAAGATTTTATGGCATCCCTTCCTATGGGCTATGGAAAGTCTCTTCCCTTTCAAATGTTTACCCCATTGAAGCGAGAGATAGACGATGATTTTGCAGGAATCAGTCAAACAGTCCATAACTGTCATCCAACAACCCTGTGTAAACTTTTTCAAGATTGAACAATTAGAAAACACATTCCGACTGTGACTTTCCCAATCTGGTAAGCGATGTTTTGATTGGTTGGATGAAAGGTCGTTCTAACGTGACCCTAATGGGTATGTCCTCAATCTTTGTTTCGCGGTAGTGAGACCTAAGATCCAATTTAATGAGATTGACTTCAAAGCAATTAGAAGCTGTTTAAAAATCATCACTTATACAGTCAGAACGATATACTGATGCTCTATTTTTTCAGTGACAGTTATTGCCCTCACCTTCTTGCTAGGTGTAAGCCTGGGATGGTAGATTGTCTCCCCCTGGTTGTTAATGAGGAAGGAGTAGACGTTGCCCCACTGGTGCTTGGTGAGGAAGTTTTGTATCTCGTCCAGGGTGGCATCAATACCAACAACTCCTATGTACCTGAAACAAGAACCCCAAGTGAGTCATCATAGATAGAAGTGATACAGGACTTCGGTGAAACCCACAGGTATGGATGGTGCTGACAAACCTAGAAACATAATCAGGGCGAACCGGGATTCGAACCCACAATCATAGGTTTCTGGCGTGCCCAAGGGACGCAACTCTGCACAGCGAATCACTGTGACGACTGTGCCTTAGACGACTGACCCACCCGTGATCCCCTATAACAGAATGAAGTGGGAAATGTCTAATTCCATTTTTGGAAGTTTTACTGACATTTGCTGCAAACTTGAAGCCAAATATCAGCATCAAGGCAGATCCAGATAAGCCCCTAATTTCCTTCTACATTCATCATCAATCAACCTAAATGATGGATCATGTTGAAAAAAAAAATCACATAAGATTTGTGTTTGATAATCAAAATTGTAAAAATCAGGGATGTGAGCAGGTTTTCACGAAAAAAGAGGAAAAGTCTAGGGGGGTCTGGGGGCATGCCCCCCCAGAAATTTTTTAAACATTTGATTGCATTTTAAGCAATTTCGTGCAGTTTGGACAACTTTCACACCAAGAAATGTATTAAGTCATGGGCAAAAGTCAAATAAACAAGATGGCAGATGCAGTAAAATTTCGAAGTTAGATCAGTACTTTTAAAAAATCGGGCATAGCTTTCGCACACCTGGCTACCCGCCAGGTCTGGGAGCAATACTGCCATAAACTTCAACCCCCATCCCCCAGACACAAGGACAACTGTCACAAGCGTGCAATGTCTGACCCCTTTCCCCATGTTGAAGCATATTGAAAAAACTTACCTTGTACTTACCTTTTGATGAAAAAAAACAAAACTCAATTGCAAACATAAGACATAATTACAACATATATCCCCATGTTATTGGGTTTTGGACGCTGAAGAAACATTCATAGTTTTCTCGCTAATCACATGAACAACTGTAAAACATCTCATTCACTTACAGGCTAAAACTAGTAAAAGACAACTTTATCTGAAACACAAGCCATCAGCTGACTCTGAGTAATTATAATTTCTGTGTGACGCCACACCCCACGTTATAGTGCAAGTATTCGTGATAGAAAACGTATGATGTCCGAAAACCTATGCTGGTGAAAGCTCTGATCGAAAACAGGACAATCCGCGACGGTTGTCCGGTTTTCGATCATATTTTTCGGAGTGTTTTTTTTTAAATTTTTGATTAAATTTTTACGCGGAAGATGATTTTTTCCGAGGACTACTGTTTTAAAAAACGCGATTTTCCGCGTTTCCGCGGAGATTTCACATCCCTGAAAAATACATTTCTTCAAAATATCATTCTGAAACTGAATATGTTGGAAATTTTGCTTGAATTACTGATTGTCTGCCATGCCTTGGTGGGAATTAACTCATTCTTGATCATTTGAACGAAATGTCTTTATAAGGGTTGTTTATGTTACAGAGGATGTTAACATTAACATCAATATTACAGGGAATCTAGTGATAGATATTATGAGCAATGATCCTCACTATTGGGGTATGATGACACACACTTAACCTGATCACCAAAGCAACCAATATAGGTTGCTGGGGACCTGTTCTAACCCGGAATCCCCACAGGGTTCAAACATTATTTAGTTGGCATGGATATTCCCCTCAGACATCAAGCGTACAGGGACAGTGCTAGTCACATGCTGGTGGTGAGATGGGGACACTACTATTCACATGCTGGTGGTGAGATAGGGACAGTGCTATTCACTTGATGGTGGTGAGATAGGGACACTACTATTCACATGCTGGTGGTGAGATAGGGACACTACTATTCACATGCTGGTGGTGAGATAGTGACAGTGCTATTAACATGCTGGTGGTGAGATAGGGACACTACTATTCGCATGCTGGGGGTGAGATAGGGACACTATTATTCACATGCTGGTGGTGAGATAGGGACACTACTATTCACATGCTGGTGGTGAGATAGGGACACTACTATTCACATGCTGGTGGTGAGATAGGGACAGTGCTATTCACATGCTGGTGGTGAGATAGGGACAGTGCTATTCACCTGCTGGTGGTGTGACTCAGTAGAGGGACAGTGCTAGTCACATGCTGTTGGTGAGATAGAGACAGTGGTATTCACTTGCTGTTGGTGAGATTGGGACAGTGCTAGTCACTTGCTGGTGGTAAGATAGGAACAGTGCTACTCACTTGCCGGTGATGCGACTGAGTACTGGGATGGTGTGTGTGATCATGAGACCCAGGCCCCAGGCATCAAGGTAGGGGGACGTCCACAGTGCCTTGCTGCTCTTGGCATTGCCAGACAGGAACTCAAAGTAGTTGCCCATCTGGGAGATGAGGTTCTCCCCAGTCATCAGCTTCTTGAAGCTTCCTCTGTGGGAACATGCCAGTTTCCCTGGAAACTCCTCAGCATCGTCTCGAATCAGATAGCTGAAGATACGAGCCTGAAACAGGAAGAATTAATAAATTGCTGAAATCTTTTTTTTTATCAGGGCAAGAGAAAGTTGACCATTAACCTAACCAAGTCCCTATCAATCAACCATCACTTCTAATCATAGCAATCTATGAACAGAACTTTTTCAAATCTCTTCGAAATCATCAAAGTATTTATATAAATAAGTATATAACAAATTGGAATTCTCTGATTCCTTATATTTTTTAACTTATCCCTCCATAACAGTATGCAGTTATCCCACAGTAGGATGGCAGATCGGACCAACTGCATATCCCCATTCGTGATTGAGTGGTCGGGCCAGAGCAAGGACTGGACTAGACTAGACTGCCGCTTAGTATTCAATCCATGGATGTGTTCAACTCCACTAGTTCCATAGTACATCACCACCTTGCCTGATTACAGGCAAGGCTGGGTCAGAAATTACTTTGCAACTGGAGGTACTTGAAAGATAGGGAAACATTCCCTCGATATCCTCAACATTCAGATCTCGGAGGTAGAAGTTGGCAAAAGTAGAGTGGGTTTGCAAAATTCAACCTCGGACGATGTCTGTGACGGAGCTGTTGGTGTGAAGTGCCATTGTGGATGCCAACGAGAGAATTTCCTGTGCATGGGAAGCTCTAGGTGGATCCATACCAGTATGGGCATAAGCCTTGAAAAATGGTGGAACATAACCACAACGACAGGGTTTTCTTGGAGATATTCCAGCAACCCTCCTTGGTGGTCGAGAGGATAAGACATTTACGTTGATGCTGAAAATGAAAAGTGACCAGTCAAATTTGATTTGGGTCACGTCCAGAGTTCACTGACACTTTAATCTCTGATCGGCCTTAAAGTAACCCCGTAGGATAGCGGCGAGTTCCTGAGCAGTAGTGATACGGGTAGAACAGGAGGTTCTGAGGACAGAGTTAATGGCCGAGAAATAACTAGCAATGGTACCTCCTGACAAATGTTCTGTCTCATGTTAATAATAATAGACTAAGAAATCAAGAAGCCAGAAGAAGCCCCAGTAGGATCCATATCATGTTGACAACAATAAGCCTTGAAAGGTAACCATTTCTGGCCATACAAGGAGGCTGTAGAGGATTGGTGTGTCTGATGAATAGCATGAGTCGCAGCCATAGAGAAACATGCAACCAAAAGAATCTGGATATTCCCTGTTGATGCCAGTTTCTGGAGAACACGGGGAAGAAGCGCCGGGGGTGGGAACGCCAACCTGTGTAGGCAGTTCCACTCGATGGCGAGGGCATCGTGATCCCAAGCCAGAGCATCCGGTCTGAAGCTTGTGGTTGTAACACGTGGCGAACAAGTTGACAAAATGATGAAACAAATCCAATCGTAAATGTGGAGTGGAACAAACATGTCCGTTCACTGCAGGAGATGAAGGAAAAAGTGATGAGTAGTACAGGAGCCTGCTGGGAGTGAGGTGGTGGGAGGGGGAGTTCCGGTCATTTGTTTTTTTCACAATGTTCTACACTTATATATAATCAAAGCAAGAAGGAATATTGCATACTGTTGTGGAGGGATAAGTTTAACAAAAAGACATTTTTAAAATCCCAATTTGGAACCTACCAATGTTGTTTTCCAAATCTGCCAGCCAGGGTCACGTACATTAGAGACTAAATGTCATAATAGATGTGCGACTGATAGAATGAGCTGATTACCTGTGGATCAAGTTTCTTGTTCTGCATGTCGCTAACATCCCATACTTTGGTCCAGTTGTACTTGCAGATGGGTCCAGGAACATAGCCGCTCCTTGTGTAGTACCCTGACAAATAACAACCAAAACACTGCAGCCACTGCACTGAATAAAGCTCTATCTGGTAAGTCTAGATTAGAAAGTACAATCTGAAAATATGTATGTAAGTCAATGTATCCTTGTTATCATGTCATCAGCTAAATATTTAGGGAGTCTTGAGATTAAGATACTGTAAGAGCAAACCTTAATTACCCCCATGGTCCCCCTAAATTTAGAGGAGGTGGTGGTGAAATGGGGTTTAATGTCACATCCAAGATTATTGCACTTATATAGTGACATGCATGCAAGTATGTGGGTGCTTGTACTAGTCTGGACTTATGCCTATTCATAGTGCTAGCCCACTGAGATACCATGCCGCAGATTAACATGAATACTCCACTCAGACACAGTATACTGACTCCAAGCCGACCAGTCCTTGTTTTAGCTCTTCAATACCAGGCGCCAGACAGGGTAACAAGTACCATCTTTTAATGACTTTCGGTATGACATGGCCAGGGATTGAACCCCAGACCTTCCTCTCTCCGGAGGTGGTCCCCCTAATTTAGAACACCTGAGAAAGCATATGCAATGATATAAAGAAGCATCTGCTTATTCTCGTCCTGTGTAAAGTTAGTGATATGGTGAAGCAGACCAAGTAAAGCTGTGATGACACACTCTAGTGAAAACACTGTTCTTGTTGAGCTGGGACGATACACCAACTGTGTGATCCTATTTGTATCAATATACCTTGCTCTCAATGCAATAAATATCATGATACTTGCATGTGCTCTTATCTGTGGTCCCTAAGCCATTTTTTTCAAAGACAATATGGCCAAATACCTGGCAGACTGAAAATTTACAGTTGGCAGTGTCAGGTTTGGCACAATGGATGAAAATAAGTATATTTTCACTACTAATTAGTGTTTAGTGTAACAATTATTAAAGCAAACACTGAAGGTCAGAATCAATATTTTTGCTTAGGGTGTGATTGGTGTCATAAAGGATATCTGCTTGTTTTGTGTTCAGTGCACAATGCAGACTGTCATAATTTGGGAGTACATTAGGTCACATGGCCAACGATACAGTGTTACCCGGTACCGTATTCGACATAATAAGCCCCCAGGGCGCTCTCAAAGTTAGAAAAAGGGGGCTCTTATTAGCATATTATTTTGGTGAAAAACAACAAAGTTGAAAGATCGTAAATTTCGTGGTTTATGCTGACAGCCTGAAGTGTTCATATACGACAGATATATTTTTTCCATAATTTAATTTCCCATAATTATGAATGTATATAACACACGTATTATACACGAATAAATAAGTCCTGTGTACATTGATCAATCGGAAGGGGTGCTAATTGGGATTGTTCACTAGCCGATATGTTAGAAAATATCGCCGTGTGCGCTTATTACGTCGAATACGGTATCAAACAAACAGGTGAATCATTTGCCATTTTGTGATTAAAACAAGTATCAAGGAGTAGTGCCACAATGTTCTTTAAGATGAGTGACGTCAAAGCACTGCATTATGCCCTAAATGGAATGTTGCTGCATGTTAGTAAACAAGTAGATGTGTGAATAGTGATGTGACTCTCCCTGCAGGCTGTTGAAGTGTAATGATGTGATCTGACTCACCTGGTCCACAACGGACCTGCTCTCCATCTGTGTCCTTCCCATCCGTGGCAAAAACAATGAGAGCCTGACATCCAGTCTGTGGACTACTGTTGAGAAGCTCAAATGACTTCGCAAAGCTCTTCCTAGTCAACACCAATGAAGAAATAGATTGCAATGTATTTTGTGGCATCACCAAAATGAAGAAATGAAATTACTCATCACGAATCATGCACTAAAATACATTTAAGAACATATATATCGTTGTATAGACTGGTTATACAATATAAACAAGACCCTCTCACACATACATGCACCACACCATGGTGTCACTCAACAGATCATAATGTAGACAGCATTTCCATATCAATTGAGTAACGTATTTTCTTGAGTATAGTGCGCACCCATGTATAATGCGCACCCCCCTCTAGCGGGTTCAATATTTTGGAAAAAAAAGAAATTTGAATATTATGGGCAGAAAAAAATTACACCGTACCCTTTCAGCGAATCCGGCAAACGAACGGGTGATGAGAAACTTCGTCAGTACAAATTCGAAATTTGAGATAAAAAATCACCAGACATGTTTATTTACCGATTAAATAGTATTTATTGTTCTGCTAGGCATTGTTTTATATCCAGGGATTAAGATTACCTTGTGTATTTTCTCGTAAACTAAGCCGGAAACAGCAATCAGCTGTACACACGTTTTCTTGGAATTAACCGGTGATTCGGTCAAGACACACCCAATGATATAACTTTAAAGGATTTTTAATGCAAGGATCGGCAAAAATTGTATCTGAAACTATTTTTTTTATCAGGAATAATATATTCCATTATTTTCTTAATTATATGCAGCCTTTACTAAACATATTTAAAATAATAATAATAACCCTAAGCGAAGCAGCTGATCGCTATTGCCGGGTATCATTTTTTACATGGAACCAGTCTGACCAGTCACCTTCAAGGCGTGATCGCGAGAATTTCATGTTGACATAGAATCGTCAAACAAAAACAAATATGACTTTTAACGAGTCAAAGTATGTCATTTATGATATATGTATCCATTCTCTGTCATCTAAAGTTCGTTTCAAGGCGTCAATAGCACTATTCTGACCGTGGTTGCTGTTAACAACGGTGAGTTGTGCGATCTTCCGATCGCTTCACACACGATTTCGCCGAAATTAATAAAAACAATATTAAAAGGAATTTTGAATAAAATTAATGAAATAAGTTACAAACATAAGTCCAGATATACAAAGAACACTTTTTATAGCCAGACAGTGTAATTACATGATTATTTTGCGTACTTCAGTATAGATTTGTTGACATGGTATTTCCGGTGTTTCGTGCTCACGGTAATATCTTTCCATGGGGGAAAAAAACATCCAAACTCATAATTCCACACAGCTGTGTTTTTTGGAAAAAAAGTGTGCACTATACTCAAGAAAATACGGTATCTACAGGTTTTGATCTTAGTATGAAACTGTGAACATGTGACAGTTTTCTGCCAATGTTGATGTCCACACAAAGCATGTACCCCAGTTCACTGGTCCCTCCAGCCTTTAACTTCTCTATCTTCTCTATGAGGTCCTTCCTATGGGCAATGGTTGCTTGCACCATCTGTTCTGTTTGACAACTCAGCACCTCCGTCGTGAAGTAGTGCCACCTGTTTCAAACATAACAATCATCTCCTTAGGGACCGACTATTTGAAATTTGTGTGTGTGGTAGGGGGAGTGGCAGGATGTGTTTTTGTATTTGTTAATAATAATTGTTTCCATAATACAAATTGTTTGCTAGACTTGCTAGACGTCCTGAGAAAAATATAGTAGTGACCTAATAATTATTCTGTCTCTATAAAACACTTTGAAAGTCAAGGAGTGCTTGTCATTATCCTAAAGTTACAAATTAAAGACTCATGGCTCCCTAGATTTAAATACCAATAGGGAAGACCTCAAGACTTAATTTCGAACACTGGACGCATGTTATTTAACATGCTTAATATCCTCATGGGCATCCTTATCCCAGATGATGGACTACTTACTTCCCCACCTCATCCCAGTGGCTGGCTCTGGCACAGATGACATTAACATAATCCTGTTTGGTCAGTGTGTTGATCACAGCCTTGGCCACACCCTTTGCAATAGAGAACTTCTCACCAGCCATTGACTTACTGGAAAATTGAACATGTAACTCAAGAGATTAGACAGCTCTGTGACTCATATGTCATAATGTAAACAATTTTTCGGACACAACGAATTAACTTGTTTGATGGTTAATCATGACCATCTGGCTAGAACATAGGCCAAAATAATATTCTTAAATGAGAACACAGTTCTTTAAATGGGTGAGCGAGTGTCAATTACTTTTCTTGGTAGCCTAGTGGATAAAGCGTTTGCTCGTCATGCTGAAGATCCAGGTTCAATTCCCAACATGGGTACAATATGTGAAGTCTATTTCTGGTGTCCATGATATTGATGCAATATTGCTAAGAGTGGTGTAAAATCATACTCACTCACTCACTCACTCACTCACACATTTGTCCCTAGGATCCCTATAGCATTAGACAAACTGACTGGGGCAAGTGTGAGTGCCAAGTTGCAGCTTGGGATGAAATCATACCTTGATGCACCCTGAGGTTTCATGCAACGATATGAAACACGATACATTGTTAACTGTATCGATACAAGACAATATTCTCTTTCTAAAATAAATATTTACTACTCATTTAATGACCCCCAAGCGTGACTGCAAAATGTGTTGTAATTAGAGTTTCAAGTTCACTACCAAACATAGCCACTACAAACATTTGTCTACAGGTAGCTTCTCCCTTTGAACATGCTCGGAAATATTTTTAGTCAAGAAGTTTCCATGACATTTGACGAAAATAAGTCTATCGTGATATGTATCGTATCATGACCAATGTATCGTGATATGTATCGTATCGTGACCTTCTGTATCGTTTCACCCCAAGCTACAGCCCTATTTACATTTACACAAACCTTTCTTACCTCGCACCTTCAAATCATAAAACATATTTATATTTGACATTTTATTCTTACCTACAATCCAGAACAATAACCACATCCTTGGGACCACTAGTAGCAGCAATGTACCAGGGACGTACACGCGGGTCGTAGTCGTTGTAGAAGCCAGCAAAATTGGTGGACCATTCTCGGCCAGGGAACAGACGAGTTACTCCAGTCGTGGAGCCAAAGTATTGCCACCTGAATACAACAGAATCATAATCCTACTGAAGATCATCAGTGAAGTTAACACAGACGAAAACCATCTGAAGTAGCTACACCTGATAATGACCAGGGCAATATATCAGTAGATTCTTAAGTGCAACATATCAATCATTATGTAAGTGACCCTGTGTTGTTACCCTGTCTGGCACTCAACATTAAAGGGGCACTGATCTAACGCAATTCCCCGGACTGGTTGTTGCCTTTGTTATTGTTTTTTCCCCCGTGAGTACCCGGATGATACGCAACGCAACTGAGCGTGACCAGAGACTGGGCTACCGTCTGCAAGGACAGCTAAATAAACTTGGAGGCTGGAGGCAATATTTGCTTTACGAATTTTTGCATAAACACTGATTGGTTAACTGTGATCTATAAAGATTTCGACAAAGGGCGCATGTTAATTAATTTCTTCAGCCTAAACAAACAGACAAAAAGAACGGCGGAGCTCATCTGATGTCGTCATTTGGAAATACCCCAGATGGTTATAGTTTAATACTAAAAAAAGTATCTATGCAGTGAAAGCAATTTCGGATTTCGGATTGCGTCGATAATACGATAACTACTCCCTTGTTGTCATCCACGTTTTCTCGTATAACCCTACACTTGTGTATTTGTCGTCATTCACTTGATGCTCAGTTAATGAATTTATTACAGGTACAATTAGTGGTAGCACCACTTAAAATTACCTGACAAAGGTTCCCATTTGGCTTTTATTGTGTCTGGGGTAATTATTCAATCTAAATCCAGGTTTGAAGTGAGGTGAAATGTATGTTGTGTAATATGCACGTGGCAGACCAGCAAGAGGTGAATGATCAGTTGATTTACATTTTTTTGTAAATCAACGGATCGTTCCTAGTCATCAAAGGATTAACAGAAAATATGTTGATTGATTAATCACTGTTATCTTGCACAGTGGATATGTCAAAAGTGAGTGTTTAAATGTCTAGGTTTACTAAAACAAAGGGAATACACTCATATCATGGCGTGAAGTGCCGATGTAAAAACAACATACTTTGTTCAAAGGGTTAACTGATAATACGTTGATTGATTTATCATTGTTATCTATCACTCAATGGATTTTTTAGGGAACCGTGGACGTTATGAAAATAGTTGTCACGTGGGCTTTCTCAGCCGACCCTTGAGACTTGACACCTATGTGAAACACCTGAAACAATCCAAGTGATCATTTGAGAAACGCACACGGGTTATAATATCCCGAAACGATATAAATCTTTTAAAATATTTGATTGTTACAGAGACACGTGACATCGAATAAGTTTCTTTGTACATCTGCAGACGAGTGGGATATTGTTCCTTTGTGTGGATATTCACGGATACATTCCTCGAACAAGGAAGCTCCTAAAATTTATACACATAAATTTGGTAGGTTGCAATTATGGTATTTGCATTTTGTTTTCTTTCATTTGAACCGATTCGTTCTTCTTTCTCTACGTCTTGGTTGGGAAATTCTTCAATGCGCGATAGACGCTGTTTTCTTTTCCTTTGTAAGCGTGTATATAATACCGTCAATTTGCAAAATGTGATTCTCTCAGGCAATTTATAAAATGTGTAAATATTTCAGTCATTTTGACTAAAACATCTGTCCAGATTGCTTAAGATGATCAAAAGGGCCTACAAACATCACAACAAATTATTATGTAGGATTAGAAGCCTAACAACATAGACATGTACTTTTCAACGTAACATTTTCAGTCTCTTGGTGATGACATTAAACATCAAAATGTTTGGAATTCGTTATCATAATAATACAGATGGAAATGTTTTTCAGTCACTTTGTAAAATAACTGAATATTTAGACTTTTAATAAATTTGAAAATGTTACACATTTTGACAGTAAAAAAATATACACACTTTAAAAAAAAGCAATGCTCAGGTGAAATATTTACTTTGTGTTTCAAGTCAAAATAGTGTAAACGAAAATCGCAAAATTACCAAGCAAGTGACTTATCAAAACTTTGTCACCATTACCGGTGCTACCCACAAAGATACCTACATTTCCTTATTATCTCGAAAACTGTATTTCATTTTGTTGATCAATGTGACCATACGCCCTTATTACTACCCATAAAAGTGACTGATGCGCTTACGAATTGCGCAGCAGAGGTCGCGAACTAGTCTAGATTTCTGCTATACATCCGGGTACTCAGTGGGAAAAAAACAATAACAAAGGCAACAACCAGTCCCGGGGAATTGCGTTAGATCAGTGCCCCTTTAAGGGGCTAAAACAAGGACTGGTCGGCTCAGAGTCAGTATACTGTGTCTGAGTGGGGTATTCATGTTAAACTGCGGCATGGTATCTCAGTGTGCTAGCACTATAAATCGGCAGCAGCCACACACACACACACACACGTGCATGCACGTCACTATATAAGTGCAATAATCCCCGGACGCGATGTTAAACTCCATTTCACCTCACCTCATTATGTAAGTAACAAAGTCCCAAGAAAATCAAAAGTTATAAGCTGAAAACAGTATTAGCTTTCTTGCTGTCATACTTATATTTTAAGTTTAAATAGCAAACAAAACATCACACTCATTTTACTGGTATCATGTTTTTATAACCTTAAGTTTATTTTGTTAATAATAAAGGAATTTGTTCGGACACCAAGTTATTTACATAATATGTAAGGATAAGATATATGGATGAACAACTTCTTTATTACAATTAGGAGCGAGGTTTTGGTGTAGGTTATAACAACGTAATCAATCAAGTGCTCACTTGCTTCATAACGGTGTTAGAACCTACACCAAAACTTACTTAAGAGGCCAACTTCTAAATGCCTCTCAAAGAAGTTACAAAATATGTGTTGAAAGCTGAAAACATATTTGGATATTTTTCATATTTCCATTCTTTCTGAACATGTGTACAAGATCTAACAGTGTTATATAATATGTTATGTTCTAAACGATATACAAAACCGATCACTGCAGTGAACTTTCGGCCACAGTAGAGAGAAATTGAACATCGTCATTTCTAGCAAGTTAAGTTTAATTGCAATAAACTGCCGGGCAATAGAAAGTATCCCCCACCCACTCATGTTTGATGGTGGTGAAAATTGAAACAAACAAGAAATGGTTATTCGATGGTAATGTATTTGATACAGATTATATCATAAGCGATATTACATGCATCACATCAATGAGTATCCCACAACAGGTGCAGTCTGTGCCAAAAACTTTTGAGCGACTTTTGAGTCTACTAACTACCAAGTCTACCAAGCATCATTTTCCTCAGAGTTCAGTGCTGTCATATGAAAAATAATAGCTGAGCTTACTAGACCAAACATAATTTTACTAACCTCGGGCTTCAGACTAGTGACTAAAGTCACAGACTGCAGTTGATCTGCAGATGACATCTCACGGAACATGAGGGTAGCAATTTCACAGTACACAGTAATCATGGTATTGTAGAGTGAAGTGTATGTTTCAAGTGTGTACTTTCTTTTGCCAGGAACTTTATGTTATGTTAATATTCAAAATAATCTAAAGCTTTCAAATGCATAAATGTTTACAGTTTAGTATAATTCATAAATGTGTGGCATGTGCACCCTGCAACCTTCATATGGATCCGCATACAGTATGGCATATCAACGACTGACCAATCTCATACACACTGTACCTGAGTAGGGGGTCTCTGTCAGCATTCTCATGGAACACTTTTTCTAATCCAGCTGTGAAGAGGATCGTATTGATGACAGTGGGGTCATCTCGAGGTACCTCATCTGCTATTTTTATTGTTGAACAGTTGGTACTGACTCCTTGTCGAAAATATCTGCAATAATATTATTATCCATTATCAAGCTGAGTCACTCAATAATAAAGCATCAAGGTTTTCTCTACCCCCATATTATAATAGTTCAGAGCAAAACTATACTTTATTACACTATACATTGGGATAGAGCAAGCTTTATAACTTTTCTAAGATACCAAATTAAGACTAACCTTGTGTTTTATTAGAGATGGGTTTCAAAAAGAAAAAGAAATGAGTGGTGCCCTAAACTGAAAATCCACGAACCGGGCTAACTGACGGGCTGTTGCACCTAATTGCCTGTACCCGAAGAGACACATTTACGTTTTGAACACAATACAACACCTCTAAAATGGGTTGTTTATTATTTAAATAGGTCACATTTTATTATCCATTCAGAGTGTGGTTAGCAATAAATCCATGCAGCAATAAGAAGACTTCTTAAATTTAAGTTTTTATATTAATTTGCTCAACTTTATCACTTGACTTAAAACATTCCACAACTGCATTGCGGGGCAGAGCTTGCATGTAAACATCACTAATGTGAGCAGACTACAGCAACAGCAAGCCAGGAAATAGTGTGTTTACTGAGCTGGTTGTGCTACATGATATCATAACCTGTAAACCAATGTGAATCGACAGCCTGGGTTGTAATATGTCCCATGGGGAATTAAACCTAGGGTCTCTTCCACAAAGCAATCGTAGATCTATGACTGGTGTAAGTCCATGATGACATGCACGAGTTACGACCAACTTGTGGAATGCGACCCAGGGTCTTAAAGTGACGAGTGAACAGTTAAACCAGTGGGAACCCAACTACCCACTTAAAGGGGGACTTTGAAAACTTACGGGTTAAACCTGAGATCTTTAGGCAGTAAGAAAGGAATGTCCGAGTCTCGATATTCGTCTGCTCTCAGATCCTTCAATCGTGTCACATTGGATGTTCTGTTTTCAGCCAAATAGTCATCATATAACTTACGAACTGTCTTCGCTAGCCTCTATAAAATAAAAGTGAAAATAATGTTTCTCTTTACTGTAAAAGTAATTTCACAAAGTTCAAGCACAATTTGAAAGATGAATTGGTTGGTTGTTTTGTTTAATGCTGCACTCAGCAATATTCCAGCTATATGATGACGGTCTGTAAATAATCAAGTCTGGACCAGACAATCCATTGATTCATATCATGAGCATTGATCCCCGCAATTGGGATCGATGACATGCATCAACCAAGTCAGCGAGTCTGACCACCCGATCCCGTTAGTTGCCTCTTACGACAAGCATAGTCGCCTTTTACGGGAAAGATGAATTGGAAAATATAAAGCAACAAGTCAAAAGCATAGGCAGGTGTACCATACTTCCAGCAGGGATCAACAGACCTTGATTTTACATTACCAACTGATATCTGATTAGGTCAATATGTGGTTACACACACAAAGAAAAAGTAGGATTTCTTCTAATCACCTGATGACAGGAAAACCTGTCTAATGTTCTGAAAATATTAACGGTAGCCATTGAGCGTTCATTCTAAGTGCTGCTTAGTCCAAAACATGGCCTACATAATCATGATTATTGTACTCATCTTGGCCTGAAACGAGTTTTCAAGCCATTAGTACATGTTTGCTGAGGTAAGTTAAGAGAGGATGCTGTAGTGATAGACACAGGTATCGTGTGCAACAAGGGAATTTCACTGACATACTTAGGTCATGTGCTACTTTAGGTCTTCCAGCCCTTAAGTGTTGCTCAGTAGCTTCCTTTAACGGATATATACATATAACAATATCCTACTTCAGCAGCCTTCTTCTTTTTCCGGAAGTAGTCTCCAAGGGTTTCTTTAACTACTTTGACAATCGTTTCGCCGTTTTTCTTCTCAAATGTGTAATTAGCCTGGTCCAGGTAGCCCTGTGTTACATCTCTCTTGATGCCGTCCCCAGCCAGCTGCAGAATCACAAAAAAACGGTCATGAAATGACTGCATCTTTCCTGACAGGAATATGAGCACATCATATATTTGCATCCGCTACAATGAAGCGCAAAAAAGGTTTGCCTCATAATAGTAAGGATTGGTCTTTCAGACATTAACATGATTAATCTATATTGTCAATGATAATTGATTAATTCTATCGATTTTCATTCATCAATGGAATTTGTTCAATTAACAGCAAATTAACCTAACCTGTATTGATAAATCAGACAATATCATTATTAATCCGCTAATGACACGTATAACTATACTGTGCCTGTAACCAATACACAATGTGGCAAATGTGATATTTATAATGAATATGAGGTAACAAATAGCCATAATTATTGATCAATACAAATTTACAAAATCGATTCAAATGACAAACAGTTTTGACAAGTTGGAAGTTATATTTGGCAGGACGATCAACAAAATTTGTTACCTTTTTCATAACGAAAACAGTATTTTTTGTGCACTTGTGACAGCTTTACCCAACATTCCTTGCAAAACACTCAACAGTATTTGTTGCTAAAATAGGTTTTCTTTTTTTATAAGCAAAAAATAAGCTAGAAAATATTGTATTATTTGTCTAAATATCATTGGTTTAGTCAGCAGAGCAATATAAGTGCAACTGTCCATTATTCAACTACATGAATTTGAATATTCATGATATTAGTATACTTATATTATAACACAAAGATATAGAATTCAAAGGATATAGAAGTCAATTCGCAAATGCACGTCTATCACCTTGTGCGATCAAAAGTAAGTGAAGGGATCAGGGACAGATAAGTCCTGTTGGTAACCAAGGGCTGGGGGTGCCCTAGAGGAGGAAGAGGCACGTTTTGGGTTTTGGATTATAGGATCGAGTCCAGAAGGAAATTGCAATGTGTTGTGTCAGGATAAGAAATAATCTGAACATTTTTATTTTTATGAATACTTTTATGTACTTTTTTCAGAAAGCCATGCAATGTGGTCACCTCAGTATTTCATATAGATATATGAAAAAAGAAATATTCAGTTCAGAAGGTTGCAAATTCCAGGGATTGTAGACCTGCTTAGACGATGATATTTGGTCCCAAGTCTGCAGCAAATGTCAGTAAACATTCCCATTTTGCAATTAAACATTTCCCAAGTCATACTTTTATATTCATAACTAATGTTATGGCTTTATAGAAATGACTATTATTTTACTGATAACAGCACCACTACATAGGATGAGGCTTTAATGCTTGGATAAATATTATTGCACTGAATGCAATGTCAAAATACCTCTGAATTAAGGAAAAGAGTGAGTGAGTGAGTAAGGTTTTACGCCGCTTTTAGCTATATTACAGCAATATCACGGCGGGGCACACCAGAAATGGGCTTCACACATTGTACCCATGTCAAACCCAGGTCTTCGGTGTGACGTGGGAACGCCACTAATCTACCCGACCGCCCAATTAGGAAAAGAAGAACTTTAAAAATATTCTCCTTTTGAACAAAATAAAAATTATTCCCAATATGCCTGGAAAGCAGCTGGCAAGGGGATGTAGTTTAGAATCCTAGATAAATTCAGGAATTCAATAAATTCAATTCGAGAGCAGATAATTTTTGATTCACCAAACATATGCAGACAACAATAACAACCTTACTATCTTGCTGCCATGTACACACCTGCAATATGTAATTCTGGATGAGCATGGCCCAGTTCTGGATATCTCCTGCAAGAGTGCCAATGTCATGTTTTTCCTCGCCAGGGTATGACGCACATGAGTAAAAGAAACTGATGAAGATAAGACTTGCTCCAAATGGTTTCATTTCAATTATTCAACTGTTAATAATGAAAAGGCAGGTAACAAACCAGGTCAGTTTGCTATAATCATTTTCACATTTTTTCTTCCATCCAACATCTGAAAAATAAGTAAAAATTCCTAATGAGCATGATGAACAACACATTTTATATGCATCATACAGGAAAAAAACATATCCCTGTCATGTATTTTGGTGCTAACCACATGTTAATATAAGACCCATCATCTGGTCTAGGTTTTTGGCACAATATGACTTGTACATGTAGCTCAAAATAATAATATCCATTGTGTCACTGTGTTCTTTAGTGTCAGTATGGATGTAGAATTGGTATGCATGTGAAAGGTTAACAACACTCCAACTTTGAAAGTATTAAAATATGGATGGATTTTTTCTTAGCAGATTCAAAATTTGCTTCTTATGGTCTATAACTTCGACTGATTTGATTTGTCAATATGTTGGGTTTCTGACACTAATTGGCATCTGGTGATTACTTGGGCTAATTAAAGCGGCACCAGCGAGATGTCTGAGAGTTGGAGTATTGTTGCCCTTTAAGGCTAATCATTGCTGCATACTAGGGCTGTGTATTGACCTGGATTATTTTTTGCAAAATATTGCCATACTTTATCCTGTATTGCGATACGTATTGCAATATATTGCCAATTTACATTTTCATGAGTTAATCAGAGTTATACCCTGTATTAATGACAGATACCATCAAGGTCCTTCCCAGCACATGACATCTTCATTACACACTCGGTATAGAGTGCTCCGCAGATGGGCTATCGCTGTGAGGAGCTGGATAGTCGCGATGTGTACACGCTAATTGATAAAAAGATAGTCAGAGGCAAGTTGTATCAGAAAGATTCTATTTTTCATCTCCATATCGATACTTATTTATATTTGCCACAATATTTTGCTACATTTACAAACGTATCGCAATACGTATTGCTGAAGATTTGCACCACAATATACCGGTGTACCGGTAATACCGCACACCCTTACTACATACCAAGCAAGGATATATGGCAACAGAAAACCAATGACCCCATGCTCAATATACTGTATCCATTGGAAACACACTATTGACAGCTATGTTAAAGAACGTTGCTATAGATCTGTATAGATATCAATGCAAAGTGTATTTGATCATGGTAGTCTGAATTGTGTGTCCATCTTTTTGTTTACAGTCATTCAGATTGTTTATCATAATCTAAATGGCTACATCTAATGACAAATAGGTTAACATAAATACAATATTATTTGGCTGATAACAAAATCACATTTGGTATTCCTGTTGACTGGGCCTACTGGCTGTCATTGAATAAGAAGAGTTCTAGTGTCAGTATGCTGAATGGTCGATTTCGATCGATAGCTTCACATCTCAACGATTGCAAGCAACCAAACAACATTTTAACTACAAAATAAGGTTATGTAGGTCTATATGTTGGTAGACACTTAAATGTATTTATAACAGGTGCTAAAATCTTAAGAAAATGACTGATTAACATAAACAAAATTCGGCAACATTACCACAGAAAGAGAAGAGCAGACAACATTGATCGTAACCGGTGCCTGAATGAAACCTAAGATTTGATTGGTCCTGATAATCATTTTAGGAGTATTTTATCAACTGACCACTGATTGGTTACTTTTCCCGGAAACTTGAACATAATACTCTACAACACCGCGTGTTCATCTTTACTGATTAGCGGTTGAGGTGTAAGGTTGTGGTACGGAGTTTATTAAAAATGGAAACGCGACTACAAGATGTTGTGCAAGGTAGTCTTCTTCTGCTGACTAAAACCTTCATACAACGCTAGTCAAAATGGGTGATGCTATTGAGGGACAGTTTGAAGATGCTGCGGACGAAACAATGTAAGCAACTATCCATTGGAACTTAAAAATAGCAACTAACAGGTTCGCAAATAGGGCCTAGAGCCTACGGGTATGGTAGATTGCATGGGAACACGTGGTCAGGCTCTGTTCTACAAGTCAAGAAAATAACCATCAGCTTTCCATGTAAGATGTTGGTATCTTCATATCATTAGTATGTACACAATATGCATTGATGAGAGGAAGAAAACAATTTGGATATAGTGCTATTAAGGGACCGGTCATTTATTAAAGCTGAATTGGAGTTTACAGGTACCCCAGGTACGTTTCTGTATACAGAAATGTACCCAAGGCAAAATCAGAATACAGAAAGGTACCTGGTGCCCTAAACGGCGGACAAGTCCATGTGTATTCCTCAGCTGGAAACAGATTCATGTTGTAGTTCTGGTTCGTCTGATTACAATGACATGGTGAATAATGCTGGCCGCCACGGAATATTAGCCGAGTACTGTATGCATATGCCCCTTTCATGCTCCTTTTTTATATACACAACAGTATGTCAGTTCTGACCCATTTATGGAAAGGAAATAATGAGAGAAAAATATTTAACAAATACTGCCGTTGACACACCTTTGTTGAATTTTACTGTGGTTTGGCATCCCAAGACGTGTCCTTAGGCAGCCTAATGACGTCACGGGATTCCCCGGGTCGCCAAGAGCGGGCTTTACGAACTGCAAAATGGCTTGAAATAAAAGCTGCAATCCTTCTTTAATATGCACGTATCCGACAAATAAACAATCTGAATAACCAATAATAGCAATACTTAACATAATTATCACGAAATCAGCATATCCCAGTATCCAGTTAATGTCAGTAGGATCCAAACGCAGAGCGCCCATCCCACGTCCGATCCCGACTCGGCTGTAATGGCTGCCGTTTGTGCTGATCGATCATTCACATCGGCTCAACTTGTTATTCCAGGCGGAATTATTCTTATGGTTTGCATTGATTTTAATTAGATGAAAAAAAGTAAATATTTTCTACACTTCCGAATGTGTAACTTTATGACCATGTAGTTTAACCGTTGTGTATATTATGATTTATTTCTCCATGTCGGTACGTCAGAAAACTATCATGGAGACAATCTTGAAGATAAAGGCATTTGATAAATACAACTGTAATAAAACAGGAAGATCGCACGCAACATTGATTTCTTTGGATGTGTAAATAATAACGGCTTTAATTAATTTAAAGAATAAAACGAACCGGAAATGACATGCCCGGTATTATTTTGCACGGGTATAAATGAAGTGTCAACACGGATCGCACGAGACGAATACACATTCAGCATGTGGTCAAAATATGATGAGTGCCTAATATATGAGTAGCAGATACCCTGTAAGTTTTGCATTTATTTGTAACCATTTAATAATGTAATAGTGATATTAAATATTAGTTTAGATGTATAATAATAAATTTATTTTAGGTGCAGTTATGACCATTCCGGGATAGAAAAGTGTTTACATTTCGGTTGAAAAAAATTGCATTGAGCACGAGAAACAAATTAGTTAATATTAACACTGAGGTCTATGAAACTGTTTATGCTGTGCTATTAAATAATTCGAAATTTCTTTGTTTTTGTTTCAGGCTTGTTTGACCATTCTCGTGCAAACTTCAAAACTGTGTACCAACTGGTCCCGTACCTGTAGTGTCTATTAATAATTTTTCTGGAATTCCCCCTTTTAACGTTGTCCGAAATATTACCATTATAAGTATAAATAGGTATACATACAGTTTTTAGTCATAAGAAAATAGAAAAATCAAAAGTGTGTATTTGGTACGTACATTTTGAATATCATACTAAGTCACTTAATTTATTATGATATGGATGTTTAGTGAACAACATCATAAATACAGGGATGTATTTAATAATGAAGTATGCAGGTTTTTAAAAAATAGATGTGTTAATTATAAATAATTGAGAAGATATGAATATGCACTTACCACTAAATTAACAATCAGATTGTCATGGCAAACAGAAATGAAACTTGTCCATGTTACGGACAAGTGCAGGGTAACATTTGGTATTTCCAGCATATTCTCGCAATGCTCACGTTGATTATCTGTACCATTTCTCCTAATACTGATTGTCATGTATGTCTCCCACTTTTGGGTGTGATGGTTTTGCCACTGCCTTTATCTGTGTGGAACAGCTACATCTATAGGGAAAACCCACTGGACACTTCCCTCTAAAAAATAATGTCATCCAATAAATGACGTCATCAAGTTGAGAGCGCATATTCGATTCACAGAAATGATGTCATGATAAAAGAAGATGTAGATCGAGACATAATATTGCAAAAACTAAACACTGTGTAAACATGTACAAAATTTAAAACATGCATGTTCACTGTATTTTGCTGACTAGATGATTACCAATATATATCTCGAGTTGTCATGGTAATATCAAATCCAGGTTAAAGTGGATGTACAGCAACCCATGCACGTCGACGTCAGAGGCTACTAACGGGATTGTGTGCATGGTGCATGTCATTGTATCCCAAATGCCTAGATCGATGCTCATGGTGTTAATCACAGGATTGTCTGGTCCAGACTTGAGTATTCAGAGGCCGGCGCCATATAGCTGGAATATTGCAGCAAACAAACAAATCATTTCATTGGAAGGATGCTGTGAAACACAGGCATATGAATAGTTAAGTGAATGCTAAATGCACTGTAAATTGATTGCCATTTTCTTCAAACATATGTTGAAATGTTATGCCAAACATTAGAAACATATATATGATGTATAGACATAAAGTAATAACAGTTGAATAAACCGTAGTGAATAGTGATAAGGATATTCTTTAATCACTCTTGAAACCACTCTGAAACACTTCCAGTTTATTATTGTTTATTTTACGATAATTGTGAAAATTAATATGTTAAAATACACTCTTAATATTTGCGCATCAGATGCACAAATTGATGAGCCATGGTAACTTTATTTTATTAGGTTTGGAAGATAAAAAAATCCATAATGTGTGGTGAAGGTATGAATAAAAGTCCTACATTATCTGCATAATTTTCCAAATAGTGAGTTCATTTCAGGTGCATTAGGCATGAACTGCTATAAAATAAGTTGTCAAGAAAGTAAGGGGATATAACTCTAAATACTATTCTTCTGAGGCCACTGTGTAATGAAGACCAAGTCATTCATTAATAGTTGTAAGGAAATATCATATCTTGGAGAAGCAGACGCCCCCGAGCTCCATACAGTGGTGGACCATGGACTTGTTTAGGCAGAGTTTGGTGTCTTTCATTTTTCATAAAACAATGCTTTCTTATTATTCAAAGTAATTTTTATTGTGTACTGAGGTGAAAACATATTTCATGAAAATATTAATTGCATTATTTCGGTAATAAAATCTGTTTTTGTATTTTTTTAAGGTGGGTGAATAAGCCAACTGTAACAGACAGATACAAGAGTTACCCCCCTTTCATTCAAGTAACAGTTAATTCTCAACACCTATCAAAGTCATTTATCCCGCAATGAGTGTATATTTTAATTTTAAAAAATTGATGGAACCTTTTCTCAATGGTAGATCTAATAGTAGTCTTCTTTTTATTGATTAGAAGGCAACATTACACAATCGTTTAGGATCCCTAGTGTCCTGTACATATGTATGTTCAAAGAACTGGTTGAGCGAATTGAGAAAAGCAGCCTGTGGCGGAGATGGACTCATCTTAGGCTGTTAGGGTACCTTTCTGTATTCTGCTTTTAGCTGGGGTACACTGGTCATACTTACCCGTGCGGACGACGACCCCTTCAGCTTTATTATGGGGGGTTGAGGATCGGGATGGTCATCACAAAATATGACAGTCTCTATGACAAAGTATTTTTCAAGGACATGGTGAAGTTCATCCAAAATACGAGAAGCATCAGGGGAGGGTGATTTTTTTCTTACATTAGTGCTTCAAAAACCTCTGTAACTTACATGCTGAAAATATCTTTTAAATGACGTTGGAAGACATAAATCTAAACTGAACATTTCCTAATGGTATATTAATGCTCACACTTTCTGTCACTGTTACAGAGGGGTACAAAAGAATGTCCAAGTTCATATCACAGAAGAGGACCAAGGTAAACATGGCAACACATAGAAGCAAAGTGTAAAATACAAGGATAGATTATACACGTGACAGTTATCGTAGGTTCTGTGTTATTTTGCAATTTTTTTTATTAATTTCGTTGAACAGTAGTTGAAACATTTGCAGAGTGTGTAGATTGTTTTTACTATACATGGTATATTCAGTACAAATTGTTGTTAGTTGACATTTATCCTAACAAGGTATCAGTAGCCTACATTTACTGTTAGTCTTTTTTGTAGCCATAATTTCATCATGATTATATATTTTGGTTTCTATATTTAATAAACCTGTTCCGAGAAAATGGACATGTTATCATGGTTATTAGTTAAAAAACAAACATTGTTATCCATTAATAATTAACATGATTAACATGATTTAAACATCATCTCTCAACATTTGTAGATGTGAACATGATAAACAATTTACAATGAGTTGTTTAGAAGTTATTTACAAAATGTTTAACTGATTTCAGATAGGATAAATGGTGAAGACTTTGAAGACAGTGAGGAGAGTGATGATGATGACTTCGGCTATGACTTTGAAGGGGAGCACAGAGACTTCACCAAGAAGTACAATGCTTCTCACTCCTCAAGGGTTGGTGGAATTATGTTAAACCATTCTTTAATCATGTTTATTCCTGGTTATTATCGTTCCTCCTTGCTCTGCACCAATGCCTCTCGTTCCTTCAGAGTAGCCTGTCATGCTGTGATATGACTGGAAGTCTGTTTAATTCAGCATGTTCAGCCTTAAACTTACGTGTTCTGGTTTTAAGTCATGCATATGTCAGACAGTTGTACTATAATCTGCCATGCGGGATCAGGTGATCAGGCTCACTGACCATGCTGACTTTGTTAGTGCATGTCTTCATATCCAAATTGCTTGGATCGATGATCATGGTGTCAATCACTGGATTGTCTGGTCCAGACTCGATTATGTACAGACTGCCATCATATAGCTGGAATATTGTTGAGTGGGGCGTTAAACAACAAACAAATCTGCCGTGTCTACTGTTGTATCTAATTCTGTCTACTGTTGAATGTAGTTGTCTACTGATGTGTCTTCTGTTGTCTGCTGTCATATCAGGGTGTGTCAGCTCCATGTGGGAGGAAAGGAAAGTGATGCAGATCTCAATTGTTTACAAACATACTTATTGGTAATTGAGCTATTGGACCGCCTCTGTGGTTTAGTGGTAGATTATATGCCTTGAGAGCGGGCCGTGCCATACCAAAAGTCAATAAAAGATGATACTTGTTATTACCATGCCTGGTGCTCGGCATTGAGGGTCTAAAACAAGGACTGGTCGGTTTGGAGTCAGTATACTGTGTCTGAGTGGGGTATTCATATCAAACTGCGGTGTGGTATCTCAATGGGCTAGCACTATAAAATCGGATTTAGTCAGGACTAGTACAAGCAACCACGTTGCTGTGTAAATTCAATAATGAGGCAATGTTAAAGCCCAGTCTCATCTCACCTCTACTGTCGTGTCTACTGCTCTGTCTGACCCGCGAAGATTCGGGGTAGAATAGATCTTCAGCAACCCATGCTTGCCGTAAAAGGCGACTATGCTTGTCGTAAGAGGCGACCTATGGGATTAGATGGTCAGGACTTGGTTGATGCATGTCATCGATCCCAATTGTGTGGATTGATGCTCATGATGTCTATCACTGGATTGTCTGGTCCAGACTTGATTATTTACAGACTGCATTCATATACATGATATAGCTGGAATATTGCCCAGTTTGGCGTTAAACATCAAACAAACAAACTGTTCTGTCTACTGCTGTGTCTACTGTTTTGTTTACTGTTTTGTTTACTGTTGTACAGCCCAATGCCCAGCAGCCTAACCAGCAGGCTCCCAGTAAAAACAAGGTGCATTTCCAGCCTACAGAAAAGTCCATGCGCAAATATGTCACCAAGATCAACGTTGGTAAGTATTGGCCATTCATGATCATTTAGCAGCCCAAACAAGATGAGGGGACGCATAGACAAGGAAGTGAATGGGCTGCTTCTGTTTGTAAACACTTCTGTGGTTATGTTTTGGTCTTGAAATGAATTTGAAAGAGGCTGCAATATTTCTGTTGTCGTTCTGCTGGCAATGTTAACAGCATGTTGATAACAGATGCCAGAATTTGTTACGTGAGGTCTCTCTTTAGTCAATGACTTGGTTCAAAGAACGTGTCTGTTGACCCAGCAGTAAATGGGAACCCAGTAGGATGAGATGGTAATGTGACTGTTAACCTTCTTATTCATTCATTCGTTCGTTGGTTCATTTTTATTGGTTGTGTTATTCACAGAGAAGTACTACGGCCCCAAACTGTCCAGCTCGGCTGTGTCTTCCCTCACAGAGACGGGGAAGAAAATGGATGCAGACAGGTAACCTCCTCATGGACCTCAATCCAGCATCCAGGGAGACCCTCTAACATGGTTAATGGCTAATCAGTCTTTGGAATTTAGCATGAAAGTCAAGAAGTCCTTATCATAACCTGAATGTGTACAGTTAAAAATGTAGTAGGTTCCTGGATTGAAATACCATGGGAGCAATCCTCAACAACCCCTTTTTATTTTGAGCAGTGGTATAGGTTTGTGGCCATCCCTGTGCTCATGGGTTTCACCAAAGTGTTAAAAGTCAAATACCTGTATCACTTCAGGCTTTTCTTCTGCCTTGTTGGTCTAGTGGTAGAGCATCTGCCCAGAGTGTGGAAGATCGTTGGTTTGATCCCGACCGCGTCATACCAAAAGACGTTAAATATGGTACTTATTGTTTCCCTGCCTGGTGCTTGGCATTAAGGGGCTAAAACAAGGACTGGTTTGCTTGGAGGCAGTATACAGTGTCTGATTGGGGAAGTCATGTTAAACTGTGACATGGTATCTCTGTACAGTATCAGTATAAAATTGGCATTAGTCCGGACTAGTACAAGCAGACACACACTCACTCACACAAAACACGTCACTATATAAGTGCAATATCTTGAATGGGACGTTAAACCCCATCTCACCACACATCCTGCACTTAGCTCACCTGTAGTGATACAGCTGAAATACTGGTGAAGCAGATGTAGCCCAAACTACCTCAAGAGCTATATGAAGATTAACGAAAGCAAGGGGCGGTAGGGTAGCCCAGTGGTTAAGTCAGTGGCTCGTGATGCCATAGACCTGGGTTCAATTCCCCACATGGGTACAATGTTTGAAGCTCATCTTTCGGTGTCCATCGCCGTGATATTGCTGAAATATTGCTAAAAGCAATGTAAAACCATACTCTCTAACAAAAGTTAAGGCGAACCAATTCTAGTGTGTCTGACAACAATGACAATATTGAATGTTTCCAGATATCGAGGGAAGGACAAGGCTGATCGAGCCACTGCGGAACAAGTGATGGACCCTCGCACCAGAATGATCCTGTTCAAGCTGCTGAGTCGGGGTGTTATCATCGAGATCAACGGCTGCATCAGCACAGGAAAGGAGGCCAACGTCTACCACGCTGAGGCCAGGGATGGACCAGATCGGGCAGTCAAGGTAGGCCCTCATTAGCCTGCGGTATTGCACAAGATACAGTTTGAACTAGTCGTTTGAAGATCCGAGTCTTCAGCTACCCATGCTTGCTGTAAGGGTCAACTATGCTTGTCTTAAGAGACTACAAACAGGATCAGGTCGTCAGGTTTTGTGACCTGTGTAATGTTTACGTTCCATATTATACTCAGAATATGTGTTCCGCTACAATATGGAATCCGGGTATTAGTGTTACCCGAAACCGGAAGTCAGGTGTGTACGATGAGTGAATAAAAACCAATCATCATCACCTCGTGCTCTCGTGGTTAATGACAATACATCACATTTTGGCGACGAGCAGCCTATCGGCCAACCTCTACAGATACCCTAGAGGTAATTACTGGCGAGAGACACTTTTCTTGTGTTTGAATCGATACGAACATTGACTTTTTCCATAGTTCGTTCACACCTACCCTCGCACAACGTTGACCGTACGTAGATAAAATGGCGGCGTCGTTACCCCCATTCGCAGAATTCGAACTGCAACCACGAGAAACAGCACCTACTCGTTTCTCAAAGTACCTCAGGCGATTAGAAAACCTATTCCTCGCCACGGACATCACTGATGCAAACCGTAAAAAGGCTTTGTTGTTGCATTATTCGGGTGAAAATGTGAATGACATTTTCGATACGCTGACTGTTCCTGCGGTTTCAGAGGACGCTGAGGACCGGAAGGACGTTTATTTGTGTGCGATGAAAGCGCTAAAGACTCATTTTGAACCGCAGAAATGCATTGATCAGCTTGTTTACTCATTTCGTCAGAAAACGCAACAAAGTGGAGAGACTGTCAGTGAATTTTATACCCGGTTAGTGATCTTGGCAAAACGGTGTGAGTTTCATGATGAGAACCTGGAAATTAAACGGCAAATCATCCAAGGAACACGTGATCACAGACTCAGACGTAAAGCCATTGAACAAACACTGACACTTGACAGTATTTTGAAAACCGCTCATTCCATGGAAGTCGCTAAAGAAAATGACCTCATGTTCAGTTCACAGCAATCACAGCAACAAGTGCATGCACACCGAGCGAGAGATCAGAAACCACAACCAAGGGTTACAGTGGAAAATACAACATGTGGATTGTGTGGAGGACACTATCCCCATCATGGCACCTGTCCAGCACATGGAAAAGTATGCCACAAATGTGGAAAATTAAATCATTTCAGTCATGTGTGTCGTTCTAAACCAGATTCCAGTCCCCGCAAACCTGGCAATTTCAATCGTGGCCGTGGGAGAGGAAATTGGAAACAAGGGAATTGGAAACACACACCAGGGAGAAACAGACAATCTGCTCGATCAGTCAATCATGAAGATGAAACAAACAACACAGTAGCTGGCGCTACACACAAAACAAGTAGTGGGGAAGAATACACCTTCCTGCTATCGAAAACAAGTCTGGTTGACGCACCATTTTTCGACATTTCAGTTTCTGGTTCCCCGATCCGAATCATGGCTGACTCTGGTGCTACAGTGAATATTATGAACAAGTGTGACTTTGACAAACTCAACCCGAAACCACAACTTATTTCATCCAAAACCAAAATCTACCCCTATATGTCCATATCACCATTGAACATTTTGGGGAAATTTGAAGCAGACCTGGCTTGTGAATATTCAGACAGGGAGTGTAGAGAGACATTTTATGTTGCGAGTGGACCAAGTAGCTCACTAGTCAGTTGGAAGACATCACAGAAGCTAAACCTCATTCGTGTGGCCAACAACATACACGTGTCGACTGGTGAGAAGTCAACCCCAAAAAAGTCAACAGAGAAGTCGACTTTGCCGTCAATCATACAAGAATTTCCAAATGTGACAGAAGGTATGGGTGCATACATGGGAAATCCTGTCAGTCTACGTTGACCCGAACATAAAACCAGTAACACAACCACATCGCAGAATTCCATTTCACGTTCGGAAACAGGTGGAAAAGAAAATCGAAGAGCTCGAGAAATCAGATATCATTGAGAAATGCAACGGGCCGACACCATGGATCTCGCCGATTGTTGTTGTACCGAAACCGAGAAACCAAGATGACATACGCATATGTGTAGATATGCGATCTGTGAACCGTGCTATCATTCGTGAACGCCACATTATACCCACGATTGATGACATCGCAGCAGACCTCAATGGCTGTAAGTTGTTCAGCAAACTTGATCTCCAGCAAGGGTACCATCAAATCATGCTACACCCTGATTCTCGGAATTTGACTGCATTTTCCACGCACATTGGGCTTTACCGGTACAAAAGGCTCAACTTTGGCATGTCGTGCTCAGCCGAAATATTCCAAAAAGTGATTGGAGATGTGATCCAAGGCATCCCAGGTGCTCGCAATATCAGCGACGATATCTACATTGGTGGTAGAAATGTTTCGGAGCATGATCAGCGCCTACGACAAGTGTTACAGCGTCTGTCTGACTGCAACCTGACAATCAATGCATCAAAGTGTGAGATTGGTGTGCCTAGCATGCTATTCTTCGGTCATCGATTTAGCGCAGATGGTATCTCACCTGATCCAAAGAAGGTGGCAGATCTACAGGCCATCCAACCACCAACAAATGCCTCTGAAGTTCGCAGCATTCTGAGTTCAGCGTCATTTTGTAGTCGTTTCATCAAAGACTTTGCTCTCATCACGAAACCACTGCGTCGACTCACGTGCAAGGATTTTCCTTGGACTTGGGGTGAAACCGAACAACAAGCTCTTGACAGGCTCAAAATGGCGTTATCTGAAAACATAACGCTCAGTTACTTTGACCCCGAGAAGCCATGCATGTTGTTCGTAGACGGAAGTCCCATTGGGCTTGGCGCGGTGTTGACACAGAAGGATCCTGTCACAGGCGAAGTGAAACCACTTCATTTTGCAAGCCATCCACTCTCTGACACAGAGTCGCGCTACCCTCAAATCGACAGAGAAGCACTGTCTATCTATTGGGCAATCAAACGTTTCAACTTGTACCTCTACGGTAAAGAGTTTACAGTTGTGACTGATCACCAACCCTTGGTATCACTCTTCAACAATCCAGCATCAAGACCATCGGCAAGAATCGAAAGATGGCTGATGGACTTGCAGCATTATCGCTTCACGGTGGAATACAGACCCGGATCAAATAACCCGGCAGACTACGCATCACGTCATCCTTTGCCTGTTTCAGACCGATCAGGAGAGGAAGACCAGTGTGCTGAAAGTTATGTCGCGTACGTCTCGCGAAATGCTGTTCCCAAAGCCATGACACTTACCGAAATCGAGAATGCAACATTGCATGATCAACTCCTGCAGGCAGTTATATCGGCTCTGAAATCTGGAAGGTGGCATGAAACCCCACCAGGCGTGTCACTGGCAGAGATGAGTAGATTCGAGAAAATCCAACATGAGCTTACCTGTTCTGACTCGATTCTCTTAAAGTCCAATCGGATCGTTGTGCCAACATTACTCCAGGAACGTGTGGTTGACATCGCACATGAAGGGCATCTGGGCATTGTAAAAACAATCGCATTACTCCGTGAGAAAGTTTGGTTCCCGCTTATGGACAAATTGGTCACTCAGAAAATAAAATCATGCTTACCGTGCCAAATAGCTGTGCCAACCATGCAACGAGAACCCCTGAAAATGTCGCCCTTACCAAAAGCTCCATTTGAAAGGGTGAGTGTTGACTTTGCGCATATTGATGGTGAAACCGTGTTACTGCTGATCGACGACTACTCTAGATACCCATTCGTCGAACCAGTATCCAGCACAAGTGCATCGTGTGTTATTCCCGTGTTGGACAAAATCTTTGCAGCAATGGGAACACCCGAAGTTGTCAAGTCTGACAATGGCCCACCATTTACCAGTGACGAATACAAGAGATTTGCCAATTCACTCGCCTTCAAGATACAAAGAGTTACCCCTCTTTGGCCCCGTGCAAACGGAGGCATTGAACGCTTCGTTGGCTCCTTGAAAAAGCACGTGAAAGTGGCAAAGGCAAAAGGTGAGAACTGGAGAAAAGGTTTACAATCTTACCTCCGGTTGTACAGAACATCGCCTCATGAGACTACAGGAGTTGCCCCAGCGACATTATTGTTGAAACGAATCGTCAGGAACAAGCTACCACAGCTTCCCTACATCGATCCCTTGGCAGAGATTGTTAGCAGTCGAGATGCTGAACAGAAACAGAAAATGAAAACCTACCATGACCACAAACGGAATGTTCGACCGTGTAATCTACAAGTTGGTGACAATGTTTTGGTACACAGACCATTCAACATGGTGAAAGGAAACACACCATATGAAATTGACCCCATGATCATTGTGTCCCAGAAAGGCAGCATGTACACCGCAGAAGGAGGAGGGAGAACAGTGACGAGAAACTCATCTTTTTTCAAGAAGCTTCCTTTAATGAACAATCAGTCAGATGATGACAACATGAGTGTCACTAGTGATGTTTACCAGCCTGAGAATGTGATCCAGCACAACCCCAGACAGCAGATGTACAGTCCGACCCATGACATTCCAGTGTCGACCCAGGCAGGTACGCGTGATGTCAAAGTGTCTGATATCCCATCAACGGCTGTCGATGTCAAAGAGACAGTAGTCGAACGTGATACAAGTCGCTCGAGTCCAGATAAACATACTATAGTCCGCAGATCGACCCGTGTCCGTAAAGTTCCGGATAGATTGGTTCTTTAAACAAACAAACAGTGACTGTGTTTGCATATTTTTGCTGGGTTTTTGTTAAATGTTGATTTTAATTCCTGAAATTCATCAGAGTGCATATGTTGTGATGTGATTTACATCAGCAAGAAAAATGGCAGTTTTAGTTATTACGGTCTAATTTGGAACTGTAGGTGAACAAGATATGTTCTGTGGACCAATTTTAATTTGTCTAAGTGAAAGCAGTGATGGTCAGAGACTTTACAGAGACCAGTGACAGTTATAATTTAATGTGCATCATTACCAAGTTACATTCTACAAAGAAGAGGATGTAATGTTTACGTTCCGTATTATACTCAGAATATGTGTTCCGCTACAATATGGAATCCGGGTATTAGTGTTACCCGAAACCGGAAGTCAGGTGTGTACGATGAGTGAATAAAAACCAATCATCATCACCTCGTGCTCTCGTGGTTAATGACAATACATCACAACCTGGTTGATTATTTACAGACCTCTGTCATATAGCTTGATTATTTACATTGCCATTATATGACTGGAATATTGCTGAGTGCGGCATTAAACAACAACAAACAAATTTCGTGATATGTTGCTGTCATATTACTTCATGAACAAGTTATAAGATTTTGATTTTTTGTCAGGTGTACAAGACGTCCATACTTGTGTTTAAAGACAGAGACAAGTATGTCAGTGGAGAATTTCGGTGAGCAAATTGGTGTACTTGTTTCAATAAGAGATGTACAGAAATGTGGTGGCCTTGTGTGAAGCCCATTTGTGGTGTCCCCCTGCCTTGATGTTGCTGGAATATTGCTAAGAGCAGCGTAAAACCATACTCACTTTAGCTTGTTATATTTGGTGGGGCATCGGGTGGCTCTGTCCTCTGAGGTGCTTCAGTTTACAGTGCAGAGGTGCATTCCTTGGGTACACCAAAATCATCTGATGTGGGTTCACATCCTGGTTCTCCCAATAATGTTTCTGGGTTTGTCAGCACCATGCCCGTGCTCATTGGTTTCACCAAAGTGGTAAACGTCTCAGACCTGCATCACTTCAGACTTTCCTTCAACATTATACTGACACGCAGTGATATAGATGGAATACTGCTCGCTCACCCACTCAATCTCCTGGTCACTCATCCTCTTGTCTAGTCTTGGTGGTCCACACTACGATCCTGCGATAAGCTGAATAGATCTATACTGTGAGTTATGTGAATCAGAGATTGAGTGGACACAATGAGCATAAGACTTACAGAAGTGACCATTGTTTTGTTGAGTGAACAATGCCAGAGAGTCAATCATGCCTTACAGATTAATAGCTATTTCTTTTACTTACAAATGTCCGATTTTTTTCAGATTCCGACATGGGTATTGTAAGTCCAATCCCCGGAAGATGGTGAGAACATGGGCCGAGAAAGAAATGAGGAACTTAATCAGGTGAGTTATTTCCCTTGAAGAGGTTATCTCCCTTGATGTGCTTTAATTGAAACTCCAAGCATGTGATGCATTATCATCACTCCCACCAATGTGCATGAGGCCCGTACAACAATCTTCTAACCTCAAATGTAGTGACATTTATATCTGTGTGTATGTCTTCAGGAATGTCATTCTAGTGAATTGGGAAAAAAGTTTAAGACTAACTATGAATTTACATTTGTTTGTTTAATAAGATTGGTTTGAGATTGCAGCACCCAACTTTTCCCCCTTACATTCTCACTATACCAATAACATGATAGTTGAAATGAAATAGAAATTCAATTGACAAACAAACAAAATATATTAGATGGGGAAGAGAATTAAGCATCACAAGTGTTAGTCGGTTGCAAGTTTAAGTCCATACATGGTTCCAGACTGCCTAGCACAGTGAGGAGCTCGTACTGGTGGCACTGATAGTATGGAGAGCTCTGCATAACTGTGAGGAGCTTGTCTTATCGGGTTATCTCCCCTAATGTGCTTGCTCTTTCGAAAAAGATATTCTCAGGAGTAAAAAAATTAGTGACACAGGTCATGAATCTATTTAAGTAACAAAGCTTTGTTATTGCATATATTGTTTTCAGAATCCACCAGGCTGGCATCAATTGCCCAGAGCCTCTCCTGCTCCGGAGCCATGTTCTGGTGATGCAGTTTATTGGGACGGATGGATGGTAAGCTGCCTGTGAGTGTGTACTGCCATATGCAGCATGGTGGCAACTTGGGTGTGGGACTGAGTGAGTTAGTATTTAAAGTCACTTTAGCAGTGTTTGGACATATTATGACCAGGGTTACGAGATTAGCTCAGTGTCCTCTGCAATGACTTTCACCAGAACAAGTTTGCTGTCATCTAGTTATGTTCAGTTTAGTTAGACAATTTTCCTGTTTAATGTTCACACTGAATAGGGCTCTAATGTTCTGGTCATGAAAATTTCCATGCTTCATCACTGAGTGGAAGCGGGGACTATCTACTTCTGCTCAGTGGTCAACATACAGCCCCACTTTGGCACTAAATGTCAATTCACAATTTGGAATCACCCTTTACCAAGTCATGTTATGACTAATGCTATGACTTGACAGAAGTGACCATGATAACAGGTACAACAAAGACTAGAAGCTTAGTCAGGTTTTCAGATCAGTTCACCTTCTGGAAAATTAACCGATTGTCATCAGAAATGTCTAGATATTTTTTCATATTTCGTAATGAAACAGAAGAATATCCTATAAGTATTTGTTTATATTATGAAAATGTCCTGATATTTGTCTCAAGCAAAGTCACCAAGAAGTTGTTAAAATAGCTCATGATTTGAGAAATTAAGAATTTCAGATAGATCCCAGTTTTAATCAAAATCCAATTTGTCCTCATTTAACCAACCAAGGGCACCTTGTTTGAAATGCTAGAAAATCCCCTTGGACATGGTACGTGATGCAATAAGGCAGGATAAGCATGCACGCTGAAGGGATGCACCGGCGTCCCTTCTCACAGACACTCCGGTCCTGTGTGGGCTTGGGGGATGTGGAGCGTGCCAGATCAACAACTGGAGTGGTGTTTCAGGGTCGGCATTCGCCAGACAGAATGTCAGGCAGTATAAGCACCAGACATTTCCCGCAGCCGGGATTCACTTGTAGAAGTAACAATACAGACCTAAGAACTTGAGCATGGTCAGTTAGTTCCACAATAAAAAAACTTTCTTTAGGCATCTGTTGTGGCCCATCCGTCCATCCATCATACCTGCCTACCCTACTTGACATAACTTGTCCGAAACAGATATTTTAATGGTCTATGACCCTTTCGGTCTTTATGGTTAGAACTGGACCCCAGCATCCTGTACTGGTTGTAAGACGAGACTAATCTGATAGTGGTCACACCTAATTACAGGCTCCCTTCGTACGGCTGGACTGTTGCTAAATGCAGTGTTAAGCCACACTGGGAGCCTACTGAGTTGTATTTGTCTTCTGCATGTTGAGAGATTTGTCTGCAGAGTTGGTAATGGCTAATTCAAGTATGGTATTGATGTCAGAATGCCATTTACAATGTACTAAAAAACCCTGCACATGCTTGCCAGGCCAGCTCCCCTACTGAAGGATGTGGAGTTGTCGGAGTCAAAGGCGCGGGAGCTGTACCTGGACTGCATCCACATGATGAGGTCGCTCTACCATGACTGTCACCTAGTACATGCCGACCTCAGTGAGTTTAACCTCCTGTAAGTAAGTAATAGACAGATCTCAGTGAGTTTAACCTCCTGTAAGTGAGTAATAGACAGATCGCAGTGAGTTTAACCTCCTGTAAGTGAGTAATAGACAGATCTCAGTGAGTTTAACCTACACTTGTTGACTATTAAAATAAGGAAAATATAATTAGGAGCCAAGCCAACATAGAAATCCGAATTCCTTGAACTCATTTCCTGTTCCTTATTTCAGATTCCATGAGGGGAAATTGTGTGTTATCGACGTGTCGCAGGCGGTCGAGCATGACCATCCCCACTCACTGGAGTTCCTCAGGAAAGACTGCAACAACATCACAGGTGAATGATTGTTAGTTGTTTAACACCGCACTCAGCAACATTCCAGCTACATGATGGCGGTCTGTAAATAATCAAGTCTGGACCAGACAATCCAGTGATTGACATCATGAGCATCAATCCACACAATTAGGTTGGGATACAATAACATGCATCACCAAGTCAGCAAGCCTGACCACCAGATCCCGTTAGTCACCTCTTACGACAAGCATAATAGCCTTTTACAAGCATAGGTTGCTGAAGACCTATTCTACCCCGGATCTTCACGGGTCACACACAGGTGAATGAGGAGGAGGATTGTTAATGCACTGAATCATGTGAGGCCCTCAGCATACCATGACAATAAGGACCAGCTGGAATCAGCTGGTAATGAAGATTGCACAATTTGAAAATACGCTGATTGTGAGACTGTGCTTGTGTTATCAACCACTGGTTTACAAATCTGTTTATTCACAGGCTTCTGTTTTATGTAATATTTGGGGCGGTCGGGTAGCCTAGTGGTTAAAGTGAAAAAGACCTGGGTTCGATTCCCGTCATGGGTACAATGAGTGTAGCCCATTTCTGGCGTTCCCCTATGTGATATTGCTTAAAGCAGTGTTAAACCATACTCACTCACTCACTCACTCACTCACTCACTCACTCACTCACTCACTCACTCACTAGTAACATTCACTCACTCACTAGTAACATTCACTCACAAGTAACATTCACTCATTGTAGCACCAAGTAGCCAGAAATTTGTGTGCGAAGCATGGCTACTGCTCAGTAGTGCTTGACTACTACAAACACTGAACGCTGCAGGGTCCACAATTGTCGTATCTTGTTTTTGAATCTAGAAACTTGAAAATAAACATTCATCATGTTCATGTGGCCCAACACTTTGATGAACAATTGCAGCTCTGAAGATTGTTTGGGGGGCACGGGTGGCCCAGTCGTTTAAGGTGCCGCAATTCGCTGTGCAGAGTTGCGTCCCTTGGTTTCGTCAGAAACCTATGATTGTGGGTTCGAAATCCTGGTTCGCCCCGATTATGTTTCTAGGTTTGTCAGCACCATACCTGTGTGATCGTGGGTTTCACGAATTGGTTAACGTCTGAGACCTGCATAACTTCGGGACTTCCTCCCACATTAAGTTGACACGCCGTGATATAACTGGAATACTGTTAAAAGTGGTGTAAACACAATTCACTCACTCACTGAAGATTGTTTTGGAAGTGTCTGAATGATCCCATTGATGTTTCGTCTTTTTTCTTTTGCTATGTTTGATCTATGCTCTTTGTACATAAATACTTTTGTCGGTTTCAGAGTATTTTCGGAAGAAAGGTGTGTCTACAATGACGGTAAAGGAGTTGTTTGACTTCATCACTGACATGAGTATCACCGCCGACAACATTGACGACTACTTGGACAAGGCCATGGACATCACAGCCAGCCGGACTCTGGAGGATGTCACGGAGCAGGAGAAAATAGACGAGGAGGTGGGGATTATCTCCCATTGAATGTAGTAACCAGTATTGTGTAGCCTAGATCTCATGCTTCTGTGATGCCAAAAAACCATGAGTTCATTACCCAGATTGGTAGTGTTTCAAGGGTCCATACTTGCAAGTCTAATAAAACCTGAATGTATTTCAAACTCGCTTGTCTTTTGCAGGTTTTCAAAAACGCCTATATCCCACGAACTCTGGATCAGGTGATCGACTTTGAGCGAGACTTCCGCCGGGCTCAGGCTGGTGATGGGTCTCAGGTGAGAGGCTGGTTTACGTTCACGTAGTTTACTTAGATGGAGTCCGGAGAAGAACAGCTTCCCAGTACGACAGTTCCCTATGTACCTCAGTACTCCATGTACCCCACTTCCCTATATACCCATGTACCACAGTACTCCTTATACCCATGTACCACAGTACTCCTTATACCCATGTACCACAGTACTCCTTATACCCATGAACCACAGTACTCCTTATACCCATGTACCACAGTACTCCATATACCCATGTACCACAGTACCCCACTACCTTATATGCTGGTGTACCTCAGTACCCCATGTACCACAGTACTCCTTATACCCATGTACCACAGTACTCCATATACCCATGTACCACAGTACTCCTTATACCCATGTACCACAGTACTCCATATACCCATGTACCACAGTACCCCACTACCTTATATGCTGGTGTACCTCAGTACCCCATGTACCACAGTACTCCTTATACCCATGTACCACAGTACTCCTTATACCCATGTACCACAGTTCTCCTTATACCCATGTACCACAGTACTCCATATACCCATGTACCACAGTACTCCATATACCCATGTACCACAGTACTCCATATACCCATGTACCACAGTACCCCACTACCTTATATGCTGGTGTACCTCAGTACCCCATGTACCACAGTACTCCTTATACCCATGTACCACAGTACTCCATATACCCATGTACCACAGTACTCCTTATACCCATGTACCACAGTACTCCATATACCCATGTACCACAGTACCCCACTACCTTATATGCTGGTGTACCTCAGTACCCCATGTACCACAGTACTCCTTATACCCATGTACCACAGTACTCCTTATACCCATGTACCACAGTTCTCCTTATACCCATGTACCACAGTACTCCATATACCCATGTACCACAGTACTCCATATACCCATGTACCACAGTACTCCATATACCCATGTACCACAGTACCCCACTACCTTATATGCTGGTGTACCTCAGTACCCCATTTACCACAGTACTCCTTATACCCATGTACCACAGTACTCCTTATACCCATGTACCACAGTACTCCTTATACCCATGTACCACAGTACTCCTTATACCCATGTACCACAGTACTCCTTATACCCATGTACCACAGTACTCCTTATACCCATGTACCACAGTACCCCACTACCTTATATGCTGGTGTACCTCAGTACCCCATGTACCACAGTACTCCTTATACCCATGTACCACAGTACTCCTTATACCCATGTACCACAGTACTCCATATACCCATGTACCACTGTACTCCATGCACTCCATGTACCACTGTACTCCATGTACCCATGTACCACAGTACTCCTTATACCCATGTACCACAGTACTCCTTATACCCATGTACCACAGTACTCCATATACCCATGTACCACAGTACTCCTTATACCCATGTACCACAGTACCCCACTACCTTATATGCTGGTGTACCTCAGTACCCCATGTACCACAGTACTCCTTATACCCATGTACCACAGTACTCCTTATACCCATGTACCACAGTACTCCTTATACCCATGTACCACAGTACTCCTTATACCCATGTACCACAGTACCCCACTACCTTATATGCTGGTGTACCTCAGTACCCCATGTACCACAGTACTCCTTATGCCCATGTACCACAGTACTCCTTATACCCATGTACCACAGTACTCCATATACCCATGTACCACAGTACTCCATATACCCATGTACCACAGTACCCCACTACCTTATATGCTGGTGTACCTCAGTACCCCATGTACCACAGTACTCCATGTACCACAGTACTCCATATACCCATGTACCACAGTACTCCATATACCCATGTTCCACAGTACTCCATATACCCATGTACTTCAGTACCCCATGTACCTCAACACTCGTCATACCCGTGTACCTCAACACCCGGTATACCCATGTACCTCAACACCCGGCCTACCCGTGTACCTCAACACCCGGTCTACCCATGTACCTCAACACCCGGTCTACCCATGTACCTCAACACCCGGTCTACCCATGTACCTCAACACCCGGTCTACCCATGTACCTGAGTACCCCATGTACCTGAGTACCCCATGTACCTCAACACCCGGTATACCCATGTAGGCAAATTGGTATATGTACCCCGGCACCTTAGTAGAATAAGGAACTGGTGGTAAGCATGTGTGTTGTATGATTGTGTCATCACTGTACATTGATGGACAGTAGCTCAAGCTGTCAAGTACTGGTTTACCTGATTATGCACAGATGCCTTTGATACAACTGAAATAACTCTTGCTCTTCAAGCTATATAGTCACATTCTTACTTTATTATCCAACTGTATGTGCTGAACATGTTGAATGTGTATTTCAGGTACTGTACAGCAAGGTGACGGGGCTGAAGGAGGACCTGACGGGCCCACAACAGGTGGGTTGGCTTCATGTGTCTGTAAAGTAGCTGCCTGTGGGCTACCGATTCTTGTCGAAATAGTCGAATATGTGGATGGTGGCTATCGTCCCCTGATGGCGTGGAATGTTACTCATGATATCTTGGTTGTCTGGCCAAGATTTTCTTATCCCCTGCCACGAAGTGGAAAGGGGATATAGGAATGGGTACTGTCTGTCCTTCCGTTGTTTTGTTTGTCATGCTTCGTTTCCGGAGCAGAACTCAAAAACCATGAGATATATCTTAACCAAACTTGGCACATCTATTTGTCTATTTGAGAGATAGGTGCCTTTTGATAGTTCAGGATTATTTTCAAATATTTTTTTTTCGAGTTTCCATAGCAATGACTTTGAAAATAGCAGTAGTACTCATTTCCGGAGCAGATCTTCAAAACCTAACAATATTTCTTGCCTTGCACACAACTAGACATGTCATATTGGCGGGGGATATGAGTATTTCATGCTTGTTTATATTATTTACTTGTGATGTACTGCTAAAACAATAACTCTCAAAGGGCGTGCAGTTATAGCAGTATCTTCCGCTGTGACGTTGCCATGTGATGAAAGATGAGATCCAACTCCTACACCAGGTGCGGAATTCTTCTGTCTGATGGCAGCTGTGTACAGAGATGTTTCAGTGACCGTAGCTGGTGATAGACTTTAGTACAAGATGAACAGCACGTCGCTATATAAGTGCAATAATCTTGGACGCGACGTTAAACCCCATTTCACCTCACCTCAAGATGAACAGTATTATTGTAGACAATTTGATGTTTTGGGGGGGAATTGTTTCATTCTCCTTGTTGATGTCATGTAGAAAAACTATGAGCAGGGTGAATCGTAGACCCTTACATTGGGAATCGTTTCTGATTTTACAGTATGTGCTTGAAAAATTAAAACTGAAATTTTTAAATAAAATGACATAAGCAAGATGAGCCATAGTCGTCAGAGTGAAATGGACCCATGTAGAACCATGGTAAGAAAGGTCTTCAGGAACCCATGTTTGCCATAAAAGGCGACGATGCCTGTCGTAAGAGGCGACTAACAGGATCGGGTGGTCAGGCTCACTGACTTGGTTGAAGCATGTCATCACATCCCTGTTGCATAGATCGATGCTCATGATATCAATCACTGGATTGTCTGGTCCAGACTCCATTATTTACAGACTGACATCATACAGCTGGAATATTGCGGCGTGCATTGTCTATAGCCTTGATTTGTAATCGTTCAAAGGCTTTGCCAAAAGTATATTAATGATCTAGCTTGCATGAACATGGATCAAGAAACCTACTGAAGCCCTGTTTACGACTCAACTCAATTCAATTGTTTGTAATGGTCCCTTGTCACATGATGAACATCGAGATCCAACTCCTACCAGTACAGCTGAATGAGGATTCGAATTCTGATGACATGAATAACACTGCCAGTGCACTTTTACCCTTCTGTACTCATGGACTACGTCAGATTCAAACATCCACGTGGCATGGATGGCTCAGTTGTCTGAGGTGCCACAAGTAACTTCAAAAAGTTGTCTCTCGAGATCCCAGAAACCTGTGATGGTTTTGAGTCCCAGATCTGTCCTGTTGTGTTCTAGGTTTGTCAGCTCCATACCTGGGTTTCACCAAGGTCGTAAACATCTATGACCTCCATCACTTGCATGCCGTGATATGACTGAAATACTGTTCAATTGGGCGGTGAATCAAACTCAGTGTACATATCCGTGATCAGCACAATACCAATTTCCAAAAGTCTATGGCCTTCCTTGGGGTATGGGTGGTTCAGTCACTCGGGTGCTACAATTCGCTGTGCAGAACTGCGTGCTTTGCATAAATCCTCTTCGCGAATTTACAGTGTGCATGCCAGTTTTTATGTTTGTATTTCCATAAATGCACATAATATTGAAATCAATTCTTAAATAGCTTGAATATGAGTGTCATAAGACCCAACCTACTGACTCTGCCTACCACAATGATCACATGATGAACATCGAGATCCAACTCCTACCAGTACAACTGAATGAGGATTCGATTTCTGATGATGATGTAATGGACTTGGGTATGAGCGGCTCAGTTAAGACCTGTTAAGAACTTCTGTTTCTTGTTGGACAGGACCCTGACCTGCTGCCCAAGGATGAAGGGGAGGAGTCCGAGGGGGACGGGAGTTCATCTGGGTCCGATGATGATGATGAAGAGGAGGAAGATGAACTCAACACTAATCGCCCCAGGGATGAATCTCCGAACAGCAAGAAGGTAATGAGTGTTCAAATTGAGTCAGCTAGTCAGACCTTCCACATCTTTTTACTAAATATTTGCTTTACCATGTGCATAAGCAAGGCTTACTGCACCAAAGCAGACAGACTTTGGTTCGGATTACTTCCTCATCACTCCAGCTGTACACATATGCATAGGCAGAAGGATGGGGATTTTTGAGAATGAAGGGAAGAAACGGATGCGGTACAGATACTAAGGAGACATGTAACAAACTTATCATTGACTTGAGAGCTAAAAGTTATTTTGCTGAAATATTTTTGTGATACATCGTGAGCAGCCAGGCAAGTCTGAGCAGGTTCTAATGAGTGACATCACATACATCATTGAGATCCGGGTAGAGAATGGATCTTCAGCAACCCATAACGGGATTGGGTGGTCAGACTCGCCAATTTTGTTGATACATGTCCTATCCCAATTGCGTAGATCAATAATCATGATGTCAGTCACAGGATTGTTTGATCCAGACTTGATTATTTACAGACAGTGGTCATATAGCTGGAATAGTGCTGAGTAAGGTGTTAAACGACAAACGAAACTTATGGACAGTGAAACAACTGTTGTAGCTGAGATGGGGGTTCCCATTTATCAATATTGACATATCAGGGACTAGCTTGTTTTTACAAATTTCAGTTATGCTGTTAAATATTGTAATATATGCCGCGTAAAACAACAAACATGCACAGACAGTCAACCAATCAGTGTTCTACTTGTGTTCCAGGAACGCAAGAAGGCTGTGAAAGAAGCTCAGCGAGAAAAAAGGAAAACAAAAGTCCCAAAGCATGTTAAGAAGCGGAAAGAGAAAATGGGTCGGCAAGGAAATATAAAACGCTGATGACTACAGCTGATACTCTACCATGTCTTTCAAGGTGTGATTCTCCAGAGAATCTGGACTGTCAACCCAATGAATTCTTGTCATTTACCTCAGTTGCCTGGAGTAACGGGTTGTGCCTTAATCAGGATCCCAACCCCAGAGTTGTCTCATGGTCGTGCCTGGAGCATGTTATGAGTTTTAATAAAACAGTTTCCCTGATACTGATCTATGATTTGCAAACACCAAACCAACCTGTCCTCATGGGTTTCATCAGTATGTATGAGACCCACAGCTGGCCAAGTCATCTGATGCACCTCAAGTCCCCTGCAGTTGCATGTTTGAATCCCAAATTCATCCTGATATTTCTGGGTACATCGGCACCATACCCATGCTCGGGTTTTCAACACAGCAGTAATCTAAGATGTACACTTCAGGCTTTGCTCCACATTAAGCTGACAGGGCATGACTGAAATCATGACATAACTGAGATCCGTCTTCCTGAGGCAAGAGTGTCCACTAGCCTATATCACGTTTATCACAGTCTAGTTTTCCACTAGACTTTGATATGAGCTGGTGGACTTTGGGAAGATGACTTAAACATGATTTTACTGAAATACTGTTCAAAACACTCTCTTTTCTTAGATTGTGTGGCTGTTAAGACAATAAGAAGAATGTGAATTTACATAACTAAATTGGACACATGAAAATCTGGGTAGAGAAAGGGTCTTCAGCAACCCATGCTTGCTGTAAGAGGCGACTAACAGGATTGGGAGGTCAGACTCGCTGACTTGGTTGATGCATGTCATCGTATCCCAATTGTGTGGATCGATGATCATGATGTCATCACTTGATTGTCTGGTCCAGACTTGATTATTTACTGACCACCATTCTATATAGCTGGAATATTGCTGAGTGCGGCATTAAACAAAAAACATACCTAAAATGAAATTCTGGACTACTGTCTTTCTCCTCTTATGGGTGATGTTATATTGTTGCCTGTTTCAGTGTTGGTAATAGTAGAGTTAAGCAATATGGGTCTTCACTCTGCTGCCACACTGAATGTAAAATATAATATGAAACCTTGATGCCAGAGTATAGTCAAGTCCAGATTATCTGCCATAATTCCTTGCCATATAAGGGCAAAAAAGTGGTGAAAATTATGAATGGATCACTGAAATTTATGAATGGATCACTGAAAATCATGAATGGATCATTGAAAATCAGTGATGACACCAGTGGTTTGCGAAAAGGGTAAAGAACGTCCTAAAAAATACCAAGTAAATATTGAAACTGAAATTTATGAATTGGTTATATTCTGCTGATCTTATGGGACAGGCTTGTTAAAGTATAGATATTTTAACATCATATGACTGTTATGTTTTTGTTAGACTTCAGTGTTTGTTAGTGCTATGTAATTGTGACATCTAATAAACACAATCATCATGTGTCACGTCTTCTTTGTATTTGATGTTCACTGGACAAGGATGTCATGTCAAGGCTGACGGTTTTTTCCCTTGTGTTGAAAGGGTGTTTTGTTTTAGAATCTGGTGTTCAAAATGGTCCTATATTTGACCGAGTGTCATTGTACCCAGAAGGTGAGATTTTGCTCATAATATCAACCAATGGTTGGTTTGTTGTTTAACGCCGCACCCAGCAATATTCCAGCTATGACGGCGGCCTGTAAATGATCGAGTCTGGACCAGACAATCCAGTGATTAATATCACTAGCATCGATCCACGCAATTGGGATCAAGGACATGCATCAACCAAGTCAGCTGCCTGACCACCAGATCCCATTAGTCGCCTTTTACAGCAAGCATGGGTTGCTGAAGACCCCGGATCATCACGGGTCTTACCCAAAATGGAGAACCATCAAAGCAATATTTGTGTTCTCTGAGTATTCATTGCTACAAATCAAAATTCCGAAAGGAGGTGGTGGAAAACTGAAGCCGAATATGTTTTTAAGTCAGACATCTTATTGGTTTACCTAACATGACCTATGCAGGTGTCGTCAAATCTACACGCAGAGGTATGAGTAAAAGATCGATTTTTATTGATACTGGCTGTAAGTGATGTTTATTAGAGTGACACCTGTCATCTCTTCTGTTTCGAACTGGACCGCCCCCTTGGTCAAGTAGATAATGGGTGTGCCCGGAAGGTCGTTCGATCCTCGGCCGCCTCATAGCAAAGACGTTCAAAAATAGTACTTATTACCCCGACCCTAACGCTATACGTACAAACACGCACACGTGTATGCACGTGATTATATTCGTGCAATATCTTGGACCGCGCTGTTAGAACCCATTTCACCTTCACCTTCACCTTCACCTATCTGGAATTCAGCACAAAAATTCTCATGCTTGAAAGAGAAATTTGATTGGACGGCTGTTTTATGCTATTTGAATCTGGGTAAAAAAGAAGCCAGGTTGGCAAATGGGTCCATGGCAGTATCAAAACAATAGACATATAATGCACCAGATAATCGAGGATGATACAAAAGAAGTTACCACCTAGTTATTTAGGGAATACGGTGTAACATTATCCTCTCTGTGCGAAGTGGACACCCCCGATTGTGACCTTTTCAGCGTGCATGTTTCAGTGACTCCGGAAATGTTCTTGCCCCCAGGGCACTGTTCCACAAACTGACCTCGGTGACAAACACCTTTTTTCCAGTAGGTACACGTGCACATTAACCGCATTTACACAATATTATGTTCACCGAGCAATCCTTCACATCTACCCAAAGTAGAATGGCCGCTTAGATGGGGATCAGGTGGTCAAGGCCATGTGACTTGGCTGCTTGTCTGTCAATGTATCGTTACCATGGATTGTTACTCATGCTCGGTCACTGGTTTGCTACTCTGGATACGTTTTGACTGCTGTGATTTAGCTGGGATGACAGGCCAAACAGAAATTAAGTGTTTCCCAGGCATCGGTGCATCACGTTTAATCCTACTCCTCAGTTTGTTGGTTTGTTTAACGCCGCACTCGGCAATATTCCAGCTGTATGGCGGCGGTCTGTATATATTTCGAGTCTGGACCAGACAATCCAGAGATTGATATCATGAGCATCGATCCAAACAATTGGAATCGATGACATGCATCTACCAAGTCAGCGAGCCTGACCACCCGATCCCGTTAGTCGCCTCTTACGACAAGCATGCATAGTCGCATTTTACGGCAAGCATTGGTTGCTGAAGACCTATTCTACCCCAGGTCTTCACGGGTCCCCATCATATGAAAAGAATTGTATTTATTCCAACTACATGTATTTGTTATATTGAGATGACACGTTAAATATGCACTGACAGAAAAAAAATGTTTTTTATTTTGTCCTAAGTAGTAGCCGATAACATTCATTATCAGCTCCTGAAACACTTGCCCGATTCATGTTTGGAATCGCTACCCAATATATTTGAGGAATTATGGACAACCAAAACATTCCTCCTTCGAGGCGAAAGGGCCTGGCTGGGATCATACTGATCCTTCCAAATATCGCCCCATGTCGTCAACTAGCTGTGTTTGTAAAACCATGGAACGCATGGTCAACAATCGATTAGTCTCGTATACTTGGAGACCAATAATCTCCTTAGTAACATCCAATGCGGTTTCCGAAAAAACGAAAGCACCATTGACCTTTTGGTGCATTTTTAATTATAACCATTTAATACAAATTCCATTGTCAACAAAGGACAATGTATCAATAAATTTTCGAAGTAGAGAAGACTTATGGTATACAACTCTAGGAAACATTGTGTTTTGACAGATTTGCCTGAGTTTTGACTGAAGGGCGGGTGACCTCACTTCATATCTCTTTATAGACAACAAACAAGTTCCAGTGCGAGTGGGGGTGGTTGGGTAGCCTAGAGGTTAAAGCGTTGGCTCGTCACGCCGAAGACCTGGGTTCGATTCCCCACATGGGTACAATGTGTGAAGCCCATTTTCAGCTGTCCCCCGCCGTGATATTGCTGGAATATTGCTCAAAGCGGCGTAAAACCATACTCGCTCGCTCGTTCAAGTGCGAGTGGACTCTCCCCTGTCTGATCATTTCAATCAGGGCCAGGGCGTCCCTCGGGGCAGCATCCTATCTGTCACAATGTTTATCATCAAACTAATTGTCTGATTTAAGTTTTGAACACTTCCTTTGATGAGTCCCATATTGTGGATGATTTTCACATTATTTGTCGTTGTAAGAATATGCACACGATAGAAAGACAGCTACAACTGTGTCTTAACAAAATGTTAAAATGTTAAAAAATGGCTTCAAGTTTTCTGAATCCAAAACAAATTGCGTTTTCTTTTGTCGTAAATATAGACCGCACGAGGATCCAGATTTATTTTAAGATTGTACTCCTATCAAGGTCGTAGAGGAGGCCGAATTCCTGGACCTCATATTTGACCTTCAACTGACATTCCTACCGCACATTAAAGATCTAGAGGCAATATGTGCCTGTCTTGTTAACAATCGTTTAAAATTCCGATTGGGGAGGGGATCAGACAACTCTCCTTCATCTGTACAGGTAATTGATACACTCTAAACTGGATAATGCTTCCACTTTCTATGGTGGAGCATACAAAAGAAACTAAGAAAAAATAGACTCAATACACCATCATCATGATCATGGCCTAAGGCTCTGTCTTCGAGTTGTTAGGACCTCTCCTATATGATTGTATACTAACGGGAAAAAGTAACTGTGCTTCGTGTAGAGTGGCATAAATTCTATTTTATTGAAAATAACATAATAATTAATCGACAAAGCCCATGCATACCTTGTAACAGGAGACAGAGCGACACGCCCTGAAGGAAGGATGTTGTAACAACTCAATGAACAATAACTTCTGTGATACTATTAGGCATTTAGAAGTTGGAGTACTAAGTAAGGATAAGAAATTTATGGATGAACAACTTCTTTGTTACAATTAAGAGCGACGTTTCGGTGTAGGTTCTAACACCGTTCTCAAGCAAGACTTCGTGATATACGGAGTATGGTTGACAAGTACATATACAGGTAGGAGGCGATGTTTATACAGTAGAGTAGATATCAGATGTAGTTATACTGGAGATGAGAAGTCTGTTATGTACACACAAGGGTAGTAACGACAATCATCGTTGAAGTCAGTGACATAAACAAAGAATGAAGCCAGTAATATAAACAACAGGATTATGACTGATTGAGGCCTTTGATGAGTTGATAGTACGCCGGGGTATGTAATAGCCTTGGTCACGGTTGATTGACGGTTGGAGTCTTTTGATGTTGGTAGCTTCTTGTAGTTTTCTGATTTTGAAGTCTTGGAGGTTGGTGGTGAGGGCTTTGTCTTTATCTCACTGAATGCTGTGGTTTGTGTTGTCACGGATGTGTCAGATAGAGCTGATTTAGAGTCATCTTTGGAGACTGAGCTTTGATGTTCTTTAACTCTAAATCAGCTCTATCAGACCCAGACCACCTTCGCCCCTTTCGGAAACACATTAAATGGCCTGGCCGGGCCCGTGTGCGAAATACGCATCAGTCGGAAAGCGCACGTTAAATCTCCAAAGTAAGTATAAGTGAGTAAGTCTATCAGACCACATCCGTGACAACCCAAGCCACAGCATTCAGTGGGATAAAGTCAAAGCTCTCACCACCAACCTCAAAGACTTCAAAATCAGAAACTCAATGAACAATGTGAATATCGCGTTTTCCTGGATACAGGCGAGGCAGCGACGGCGCATTGAAAACACCATATGATTGAAAACAGCCTGAGGATGTTGTTCCAAATTTCAAACAAAGATTGGACCAACTGAGCTAGTGTTACCGACAGGTTCTGGTCCTGTCAAAGGCGTCGTTCCATCTCATCCCAGACATGATCTAATGGGGAAAGGTCTGAAGGAACAGCCGATCATGGGAGTACAACATTGTTATGCTGCCTCAAAAGGTCTGTTACAACGCGTGCAACGTACGTAGAGGAGGGCAGTATCCTGCTGCATTGTGACGTTACGTCCCTGCATTTGAACAAAGGGTAGAACATTATCACGAAGGGTGACGTCCCGGTAGCGTACGCCATTCAAACTGCCATTAACAATGATGAGTTGTGCCCACCCATACCATTACACTTCCATCCCAAAACTGACGACGTTAAGTAACGCAAGCATCACTAAAACGTTCTCATGGACGCCTGTAGACCTTTGTACGTCCATTTGAGCTGTCCAGTTTAAACCTGGACTCATCTGTGAACAGTATACTGTCCAAGTCTCGTCTTCTGAAACTCAGACGCTGTCTACACCAAGCTAGGCGTGCCAGACAGCGACGTGGGCGCAAAATTGGGCGTATCGCTGGACGTCGGGCGGATGTTGTGCTCCCTCAATCGGTTGCGTACGGTTCTGCCACTATTTGGTCTCAACCCAGGAATTGTACGTCCGAGCTGTTCATGTGGTGCGCTTAATTTAACATTTGAAACCTCACGCTGCGACCCCTAATTCACTCACTCAAAACTCAAAACATTTCATCTGAAATTTAATGCTGTGATAGTGAATGACTCTCACTCCCATTTAATGTCGAATTATAAAACACCATTCATTGTTCTGTGAAACAAGACAAGTTTAATAAAATAATGTCTTAATAGTTCATTCTTTTTAATGCAATTGAAATACTTTACATTTCTAATATATCTTTGATAAAATGGTACGCATGGTGACATATTTGATAACCACGCACCAATATGTGTCAGTGGACCAATGCCAGAAACATTGATAAAATGGATCTTTAAATTTGATATACTGTCTTGGTTTTATCCCGCTGAACACGCGCAATAACTAAACTTCTTTCCATCGATAATTGGAATAAAATTTCTCTTTTCATTCAGGTCAGAGTTTAGTTTCCGATTATATTATTTATTTTTATACAAACAAAACTTGAAATAACGTTGTTTTCGAATTGGTCGGTCGGGGCTATTTACGTTTTATTTTTAAAAAAAACCCCAAGAACTCTCCCCAATGATCACCATCTCATTGACACGCATTCCTTTTTTATCTGTTCCTTAAAAACAGTTGAAAGCACGCGTATTTCAAACATTAGCGCCAAATTAACAGCACTGCGGGAGCAAGGGAATGATATCATTACATTAAAGAGTTATCTCCCCTCAGTAAGTTTTCACTCTGACGAGTTAGAAATATATCACAACACTGCGTCGCCTGATCATGATTTCCGAAGAAGTGCGCTCCTAAGTACACGTGTTGTCATCAGTTTAAACAAGGACAATGTTTTGCAGAATATGGAACTTCATCAAAAGACATCGACGGAAATTTGTTTTCACGGGATTTATGTTTGGAGGTGGGTTGAGTCGGTAGTCGCGTGCACGTGTCTTGTGGGTTCCGCACGACATCTAAAATTAGATCACAGATAACAGCAATGCACGCACACGGTGGGCAGGTGGCTGCCAATCACAATGTACTACCGTTTCTTCCCCACATTTATTTTGGTTATTTCAAAATGTTTATTTCACGAATAAATAACAAATGACATGTCATGTTGACTATTTATTGACTATGTAAGAGAGTAGTCGATAAGGACAGAGGGTAGGTACAGCTGACTTACTGCCATAACCAGCTGCTTATAGCACTCATATGTAGATCTCCAGAAAGGACATAGATATTCATATATTGGGATGAAACAAAAGTAGGTAATTTGATGGCTGATTATGAAGAGCTGATAAGATGTAAGAAAACTGATGCAAATAATGATTTATAGAATATGATCATGACAGCTTCCCTTCAATCAGGAGAGAGCATTCATATTGAAAAAAAGGAAACGTACACTTAAAAATCAAAATCCACATATGAGTTTTGACATGGTTAAATTAAATGCTAAATATTAAAAAAGACAGTTGTGCAATAGACAAGCTCTAAAGAGTCTATCTTTTTCATATCAGTGCCTGAGATATTGTTGAAATGACAAATATATCATACTCATTAACATTTATGAGATATTTACTTACTCACTAACTTACTCACCTGTGCTCAAATTTCAAGATATTGTTAGTGAAGTGAAATGTTGCAATCAAGATTATTGCACTTATATGGTGGTGTGTGTGTGTGTCCGGACTTATGCCAGTTTAACAGTGCTAGCATTCTCTGTGCTATAGTAGATATAACCGATAGCCGCGAAGGGGTTCTACAGTCAAGACATTTCCCTACATCATGGCCAAGAACACCACCTGCATAAATCATATCCAGACCGTGGTGGTCGATTACCCTCATATTTTTCTGAGATTTTAAAAATATTTCCAGGGGGTTAGTGACTGAAAAGTTCATATTGCTGTACTCCCAGATTATTTCCCTATCTATACATGTACTTGTCATTATTTTATTACCACAACATGAGGTAATAACAGACCAGTAATCCATTCACTTCATGTTTCGATGGTAACGAACTGACATGTTGACATGGTGTGTGCATGCAGAAGATTTCAATGGTCTGTTTTCTGCATGGATTTTCAACAAGCTGACCGCCTCCGTGGTCTAGTGGTAGAGCGTGCGCCCGAGAGCAGAATGTCCGGGGTTCGATCCCCGGCCACGTCATACCAAAAGACGTTAAAAGATGGTACTTCTTGTTACCCTGTCTGGCGCTCGGCATTAAGGGGCTAAAACAAGTACTGGTCGGCTCGGGGTCAGTATACTGTGTCTGAGTGGGGTATTCATGTGAAACTGCAGCAAGGTATCTCAGTGGGCTAGCACTATAAATCGGCATCAGTCCGGACTAGTACAAGTAGCCACACACACACGTGCATGCACGTCGCTATATAAATGCAATAATCTTGGACGCGACGTTAAACCCAATTTCACCTCACCTTCAACAAGCTGTTATGTAGTACTCTCTTCTACTTAGCCCTGCTTGATGACAGTATAAGGATCTATACCGAAACATCGCCTTTACAGTAAATAAGGAAGTTGTTATCCATAAATTATCTCTACTTTGTCATCCGTCAACTCCTAAGTAATGCCTATGAAACATTTCTCTGCTACCTCCAACATGGGTAGTCCATAGCGGAAAACAGTACATTCATCCAGGCAGCAGATTTTAATGATAAAATAATACATAATAGAGTATATGTGTTACTGTGCAACTGAAGGTGTCAACTTGAAATAACATAAATCACTGGTGCATAAAGTTGAATTGTTTCATAGGCATCTTGCTTGTTTTCAAGTAAATAAAGATGTTGTTATCCATAAATTATCTCTTCTTTGGTGCATAATGTTGTTTTGATAACACTAGACGAAATGCACTGAGGCAAAAGTAGAACACCAACGTAAAAGTCTTTCACTAGATTTGGACTTTAGACCAGTAGCTAAAGTTGCTGACTTCAATATGCATGACCAATAAGTCACTTTGCATTGTCTAAATGAACCTTTGTAGTGGACACTGTCCATGAATGTCGCGGTATCTTTGCACATGAAATTTATGAATGATTCTTTATTTCAAAATGGTAACTTGAACATGTTAAATCTGAGGTTTAATTCTTCTGTTCTCAACACAAGCTGCTGCTGATCGGAATAGAACTCCAGCCTTCTAAAACCGGACACATATTGTTGGTCGCTACATGATGACTGACATGCCTAGGTTCATTATTAACTTGCACAACAATGGACAGCCAGGTGTGCTGGGGAGATATTGGTAATGCTAGAATGAAGCTTATCAAATGTTATCAGCTATTGTCTTCATGGTATAATAGCATGATTATATGTGTTATTGATATATGACAATGTTTATTCCTCTTGATTAGTTTACATATTGCGTGTTGATGCATGACAAGGGCAGTCCTCAAATGATGCTTCAGTGTTGGCACAAGGGCTGTTACGATTCACTCGCGTATTCGGTGAATCGAACCGTATCCCTTCATGAATTGAATTTGTTATTCGTGGTCACTAGATTCACATATTTACCCCAAACAATTAAAAATTGCAACCATGAATATGCAGTCATGCGCATTTACATACCCTGTAACTTTTTTGTTTTTTTGTTTGTTGTTTAACGCTGCACTCCGATAATTGTCATCTGGGGTAGATTTATGTACTGCCTCATACGACAAGAGCCCCACATGCTTCAGTAGTAGGTCGATGTATTTGGAGAAGTAGGACATATTGCAGATATTATATTTGGTTTGAGAAATGATTCCAATGGTCATTTTTCAGGTGGCTGGCTTGTCTACAAGTATTTACAGAAGCGGTTACGTGAGTTCCGAGATGGCGAAGATAAGGAGTATATGGCATTTGCGCGGTATGTCACTGTTGGTAACAAGTGCTTCGACATTGCAGTAACTGTTAAATATATGTACAACACTGAATAGGGGTACAACGATACATCAGTGCATTGTGAGTTTTAATGCGACCATATGATCATCGATCCATTTTGTTGTTGTATTGATACAAAAAGATACACTTGCTGAAAAAACCCATTTACTACTCATTTGATGACCCCCAAGCTTTATTGCCAGTTGAATGTGTTGTAATTAGTGTTTCAAGTTACTAAAAATAGCCCCTATGAACATGTGTCTACTGCTAGCCTTTCCCTTTGAACCTATTACTTAACTGCATACATTTAAATGGCGCAAGAAACTTCTTTTTTCCCTCTTTTAGAAAATAATGTTCATATGCAATTGTGTTTGTTTTCTGAAAGAACAATATATTTTATAACTGTAACTTGTAAAATTGAAAAATTGATGCAGAAAATGCGACCATCATTTGTTTGCATTGATAAAGTGAGAGATGTTGTAATGCCAGCTTGATAGTACAGGAAACAATGATATGAAGTCATTAGAATACACCCACTCAACACAGATTTACCCCTTGACGTTTGTATTTCTCACTGGGAACCGTGTCAAGGACTGTTTTTGATTGCATTGTAATGATTAAAACCCGGCATATTTTCAATGGAGACTGCAATAATTCTGAATGCGTGCGCAGTCAGGTTTGTTGGGATCTGCATTATTTAATGTTTGGTTTCAGTGAGAATGGGGTGGGTTTTAATCCTTACAATGCACACATTATGGGGATTGTGCCATGTTTGTAAATTTGTGTGGCTATTTCTACTTAAAGTGTGTACATTACTACATGATCAACAGTTTGGTTGCTCCTCGCTGTTTTTCATAAGTAGGCCTGTCATGGACACTGGTTACACTTACAGCTGTGATAACTGAATAGCCATAAAGTGGCATCAGGTGGCAAATAAATCACAGACTGGTAATTCTTGATGGAAATGAATGTTTCTGCATCTAATTATGTATTTGTGATATGTGGTGTGTTCATGCATGTTTTCCAATAAATATCATCAGTAGTCTGTTAGCTGTATCCCATTAATATGTTTCAGCAGTGTGGTGATTGTGGAGAAATTGTTGCACTGTACTTTCATGTTATTTCTTTTTAAACGGCACACTTAGCAAAATGTCTGCTAGATTTTCCTGCTTCAATGATAGCAGCCCGTAACTAGTCAAGTCTGGACCTGGCAATCCAATGATTAATTTGAGCAATGATCAATGTTGTTTGGTACTGTTATGCCCTACTTTATTGTTTGGTCATGGTCACCTGAAGACCTGAGTCTTTTACCAGGAGCTCACTTTAAATTGTGATGTATTGTTATTTTGTCACTTGTAGTCAGTTGAGATCACCACTTTGCGGGACATCCCCAATCCATTTCTTCGTTACTTACCACACATATACGCTACGGAGGACCCATTCTTACCCTGATTCCCCACTGGGGGTATGTTCAAATGGTGGAAAACACATTATGTTTCTTGCATGGTGAGGGGCGGTGGGGTAGCCTGATGGTTGAAGCGTTTGCTCGTCACGTCGAAGACCCGGGTTCGATTCCCCACATGGGTACAATGTGTGAAGCCCATTTTCCGGTGTCCCCCGCCGTGATATTGCTGGAATACTGCTAAAAGTGGCGTAAAACCATACTCACTCACTCACTCTTGCATGGTGATATTCCAACTCTATCCAAAAACTCAAATTCAAGTTTATTACATTACATGGATTGTTGCTCAAACGTTTGGTTTTACAGAGATAAAGTCCTCTAAATTCATAATTCTTCGTGATGTTGTAAATATAATACTAGCTACAAGCTGATGGGGGGGGTCACGGGTGGCCCAGTCGTCTAAGGCGCCGGGATTCGCTGTGCAGAGTTGTGTCCCTTGGGCACGCCAGAAACCTATGATTGTGGGTTCGAATCCCGGTTCGCCCTGATTATGTTTCTAGGTTTGTCAGCACCATACCCGTGCTTGTGGGTTTCAACGAAGTGGTAAACGTCTGAAACCTGCATCACTTCGGGCTTTCCTCCCACATTAAGCTGACACGCCCTGATATAACTGAAATACTGTTAGAGGCGGTAAACCAAACTCATTCACTCACTACAAGCTCTGAGGACTTGTGAAATAAAGTTTACACTTGTCCTTTGGACTACCTGTAAACTGATTTCTGAGAGTGTGAATAGAGTGGAATATTTGCAGGCTGCCCTAATGTTTGTTGGAATATTGCTGACTGCAAAGTAACACAAAAATACCTATACATATGTTTCACTATTACTAGCATCTATTTTGTGAAGTCATTACGTCGTCCTTCTTGCAGGCGACAACACCACTTTGACAGCAACCAAAGAACATGTAATATGACAGGTGAGTAGAGAGAAACTGTCAGCCTTCACAACTAGTGTTGTTCCAATTAATCAGTTTCATCTAGGATTAATTGTTTCAGTTTCATAGCAAAGAATCATTCTTGAAATTTGTGTTTGATTATTTTCTAATTATTTTATTTGTTTTGAGACCTTTGTGAAGGACAATAAAATTTGGTATGATATGTCTAGCAACAGATAAGTCTCATAACAGATACAGTTGCCAGGTCTTTAGCTTGTATTTGTATTTGCTTTCACAAGTGTAGTAAACATAGTAAAATATCACTTATTAAGGGTTTGATATTTTGTTTACTTTTGTTTATGAAGGATGCACAAACAGAATGTGTGAAGTAAATAATTTTTCTCTTCTATTCATCATTAATCAATCATCCATTTCTTTGTCAAACCAATGTGCTTTTATTTGACTGGAAAGTTTTAAAAACTATTCTATTGTACGTTATCACTGGATAAATGACCACAGCTTAGCCTATTTTCCTTCTTTCACTTGAACAAATGATCAAATACATAAATAATAACAAGTGCATTTATAATGTGCCAGATTCCATTCACCAAGTGGATGCTCATAGCGCTACACTATTAATGTGGCTAAAATGGATGAAGGTGATGTATGAGCAAGTCTGTGACCCAAGATGATGTTTGTCCATTTGTTTGTACTGTTTGTATCTTCATCTCCAAAGAGACCAGCTTAGGTCAAGTACTTTATTGAACACACCCTTCCTGAAAAAATCTAAAATCTGCCTTCTAAGAAGTTCAAGAAGTTCTTGACACATTATGCCTGTTTTACCTCACTATGTATTCAACACTCTTTATCCCTAAGGAGGTTTGGGTTACATCAGCACAAGGTCTCAGCTTATTGGTAAACACACATTCAAATAGATAAGAGCATCACAAACGTAATTAACATCATATGTGGCACCAATGAATAAATGTTCAACAATTATTTGTCACAAAACTGATTACACAAGCTGGCACTAGCTGGTATGAATGAATTCCGGGTGATGTTTGTTGTCCACATGGATAATCGTAGTCGGCCAGAAGGAAAAAGTTGACACTCTAAATGTACAACATGCGCTTAATATTGCATTTGGTTTATTAACTGTTTGCTTTTTATAAATACTGCCGATGTCCTGTAGACAGACGCCAATAATGTTATTTGCCTTTTGTCAGATTTTGTACAGAGTGTCAGAATACTTAAATGTTATATATGACATTGACATGATGGTGGAGAAAATGTCTTTAAGTAGAAAATACCACCTCTGTTGACATGTTTTATATTTTCTGTGTTTGCATACAGTGTGGGTTTTCATTCATTGATGGTGCCCAGATATTTAGTGTTCTTGGTCCAAAATTTTTTTTGTAAGTGTTGAAATGAACAAAGTCTAGTTCTCTTTCATATGAATTTGTGATTCATAATGATTTGTTTTCTTTACATATCATTAGATCAGTAATCATATTTCATTGATTATTGTGAGCAACCTTTACGGGAGTTGAAATACAGCAGTGCCTACATTGTGTGTGTGTGTTTCTAAGAGTTATTGAACTGACGCTTTTGTGTTTCAGTATTGTCGATGGTGCCAAATGTCCGGGAGACAGTAGTGAAAGTTTTTAATACTGAAAAACACACTGCTGCTCTGAAATCAAAGTAAGTCCTGCACTATTACACTCACTCACTCACTCACTCACTCACTCACTCACTCACCCATCCACCACCCCACCCCACCCCACACCACCCCACACCACCCCACCCCACCCCACCCCACCCCACCCCACCCCACCCCACCCCACCCCACCCCACCCCACCCCACCCCACCCAGGTTGAAATATATATTTTCTGCTTTCATTTTCAGTCCTCCAAATAAATTTGAGCTGTGGGAAGAACTGAAGATAATGAGTAAGTATATACTTTCTGGGGCTCGAGCGATTGCTCAAATAATCGGTGACAGTCTGCATAATTATCCATCTACTGTCATATCTATTTGATATAGAACAAAATTACTTAAGCCTTTTAGGGCCACTTGTTTTAGGGTCATCACGATTATGTATTTCTTACAAGAACTAAATATTGATTGATGTGGAATTATATTTTTATTTCAACCACCGACCAAGAGAGCGAAAAAAGTTTTTTTTGGTAAATGAATTGATTCCTTTACAAAACTTTAACGTGAACTGAAGAATTTTCATTTGTTCTTTTCCAGGTTTAGCCAGGTCAATCTTGTCTGTCTATGGGTGTTGTATAATGAGCCTTCTACTACGTGTTAAACTAAATGTGATTGGTGGATATATATACCTCGACAGTGCCAAGGTCAATGACGCTACGGTAAGTTACTGTTGCAGCATTCTTGAGGTGACCTACCACTCCCTTTGTAGTCTTCAGCAGCTAGGGTGTATGTTTTGATTTGTTTGTTGTTTAACGCCGCTCTCAGCAATATTCCAGCTATATGATGGCGGTCTATAAACAGACCTGGTAAATAATCAAGTCTGGACCAGACAATCCAGTGATTGACATCATGAGTGTCGATCCACATAATTGGGATACGATGACATGCATCAACCAAGTCTGCAAGCCTGACAACCCGATCCCATTAGCAGCCTCTTACGACAAGCATAGTTGCCTCTTACGGCAAGCATGGGTTCCTGAAGACCAGTTCTACCCCGGATCTTCTCGGGTTGGGTGTGTGGGTTGTGGGTTCGATTCCATTATTCTCAGTACATGTTTACAAGTTTCTTTCCATTGTGATCACCACATGTTGTACAACATCACTCTTTATTTTATCATGTTAATTTCTTCATTGCAGTGGTAAATTTATCATCATTTTCCATTGTCTCCAATGTTGGGATGAGGTTGTGGGTGGGGTTGGGTTGGTTTGTTGATTTATGCCACACTCAGCAATGTTCCAGCTATATGACGGCGGTCTATAAATAATAGAGTCTGGACCAGACAATCCAGTGATTGACATCATGAGCATCGATCCTCGCAATTTGGATCGATGACATGATTCAACCAAGTCAGCGAGCCTGACCACCCGATCCTGTTAGTGGCCTCTTACGACAAGTGTAGTCGCCTTTTACAGCAACCAATGTTGGAATGAGGGACATGACATATATTTGGTGGGCTAGTATTCATTAAGTGTGGGGGCGGTCGGGTAGCCTAGTGGTTAAAGCGTTTGCTCGTCACGCCGAAGACCCGTGTTCGATTCCCGACATGGGTACAAAGTGTGACGCCCATTTCTAGTGTCCCCCGCCGTGGTATTGCTGGAATATTGCTAAAAGCGGCGTAAAACCGTACTCACTCACTCATTAAGTGTGATATTTGGTGACTTATGTTTTTAACTTTGCAATATAATATTTAAACAGTGTCTTGTGTGAGTAACGTTGGAAGTAACTTTGTGTCGACACATTCCTTACTTATTGACAAAATAAAATTAAGATGTCAATAAACATGATAAATGATCCAGTAAGATGAGTAAGCGATGTTTGTTTTTTTGCTATTTAAACTTTAAATATTAGCATTACAGTTTTAAAGATACTTTTTCAAAATATAACTTTTTAATTTATTAGGACACTGTTACTTACATAATGATTGACATGTTGCACTATCCAGTATTAAGAAACTACCGCCATAAATGGTGTGAGAGTTCCCAGCAATGTATCATGAAGGAAGATGGGTACATAGCTGCCGACGAAGTATACATTGTACCTACTGGCACGTAAGGGTGTGCGGTATTACTGGTATATCAGTAAAAATGAGGTTAATTCTTTCCACGAAAGTATCACAATATCATTTTTTCATGCTCAATATATCGGGGAATTTCATATTGGGATTTTTATCATGTGTTTAATGTATACTTGCCAAATGCCTTCGCTGCCCAGGAGCGAGCATCCGGGGCCCCAAGATGGCTGCGTATTTTTTGAATGAGTAAACATTATGTGGAACCAGCATCTTGTTTTGTTCCATTTATGAATTTCAGTTCATACCTAAATGTATCAGATTGCTTCTGAATTAAAAACTTAGAATTATACAATATATCGTGATATGTATCGCAATACGGCCTTGTGCATCGAAACATATTGTGAAACACTTTAAGCCTCCAATACCGCCCTAATGGCACGGTATACTTAAAATGAATTACCAATTACCAGTAACATGAACACAATGTGAACCAACACTGGAGAACTAATGGAGCTGATACTGTGGGTTTACCCAGATTCACCGTGGACTAGACACTGATGTACTGTGTTGGAGTGTAAAGGTGTTATTTCCGTTTTCTTCAGGTGAACGAGGATTCTGGCAGCCATGTTCCCCAGCCTGTACAAGAGAAGTACCTCTCCCTCATCAAACACTTCATCAATGAAGGTGGGTCTGTGTTTGGGGTGAATAAATGTCTAAGTGGCTTAAATTGCTATAGATATTTGTGAAATTGGATTGAACTTTTGAAATGAATGTAGTGTGTCATTGTCTGTAATTTCTTTTGATTTTCTGAATATTTAGGTCACTGATATTGCAGTGACTTTTGCTGGAGACCAATGACGTCAGGGCATTGTTTTCAGGACTCGATTTAACTATATAAAACATTCACAAGTGCAAGCTGTTATGGAAAGTGCACCCTTATCTCTTTGTCTACATGCACCAAGTGCATGTTTAAAAACTTCAAATTTGTGTCTTACTAACTCTTACTTTTTCCATACGATTTGTGAACACATTTGACACCTCTAAGCTTTAAGTACCCAACTACACCAATCCCTGTGTTATTTGTAATTAGTCATGCTTTCTTGGGCTTCACACCATCAAACTGTGGGTACTGCAAGATTTTGTGTTCTGATTGTGCGTTACAAAACAATACGTTATTAATTTATGTCACAACACAGTTATCAGAAGTCTGAGATTCTATTTATATAGACTAGTCTATGCATCTGTCATGTCTATCTTTCAAGTTTGACAAGTTAATTGGACCAGGGTGCAACCTGGTTTTGTCTAGTGCAGCTAGGTTTTGTCTGGTGCAACTAGGTTTTCATGTCAACATCCAGTTCCGTAAATCGAGCCCTGGTTTTATTTGATCAACTTCTGATAGGACTGATGTAACATTTCAAAATCTGAAATATTCTTATGGGGAGACAATCGAGGCGGTTGGGTAGCCTAGTGGTTAAGGCGTTAGCTCGTCACGCCGAAGGCCCAGGTTTGACCCGACATGGGTACAATGTGTGAAGCCCGTTTCTGGTGTCCCCCGCCGTGATATTGCTGGAATATTGCTAAAAGCGGCTTAAACCAAACTCACTCACGCACTATGGGGAGACAATCAATATCCTAGCAAATGATCAAATCTGAAACACATGGTTGAAGTAAATCTACCAACTGTAGTACTACATGACCTGGGCCCTATTCCACATTCCTAGTGATACGACTATTATAAGTCTATGTTAAACGAGACCGCCTCCGTGGCCTAGTGGTAGGGCTTCCAGAGAGCGGAAGGCCCTGGGTTCGATCCCCTGCCACGTCATACCAAAAGACGTTAAAAGGTGGTACTTGTTGTTACCCTGTCTGGCGCTCGGCATTACGGGGCTAAAACAAGGACTGGTCGGCTCGGAGTCAGTATACTATGTCTGAGTGGGGTTGATGTTAAACTGCGGCATGGCATCTCATTGAGCTAGCACTATAACTTCAGCATTAGTCCGGACTAGTACAAACAGCCACACACACACAGTGCATGCACGTCGCTATAAAAGTGCAATAATCTTGGATGCGATGCGACATAAAACCCAATTTCACCTCACCTATTTTAAATGATGGGAGTTGCAATCCTCTGTGCACTGCGATCGCTTTGTGGAACGGGGCCCAGGTGAGTTACTATATACAGATGGCCTGTCCTCGACTCTCCTTCATGTGTGGCATTGCTTTGTATTATAAATGACCAATCCTTACATTCGAATGGAAACGTGAAGATGTGTGTCATTTCAGGATTACCTGATTTAGCAACAATAGTAGAACAAGCTGTGTCTAGAGAGTTTGGTAGGTGAGTAGACGTCAATTTTCATTATTTATATATTTACTGCTCAACTTTTGATTGGGATAGGGAGTATCCAGGTCGGGTCTGGACCCGTGAAGATCCAGGGTAGAATAGGTCTTCCGCAACCCATGCTTGTCGTAAAAGGCGACTATGCTTGTCATAAGAAACCACTAAGGGGATTGGGTGTTCAGGCTCGCTGACTTGGTTGATGCATGTCATCGTATCCCAATTGCGTGGATCGATGCTAATGATGTCAATCACCAGATTGTCTGATCCAGACTCGATTATTTACAGACCGCCCTCATACATGGTGGGGTCCAAATGTGACTGATTGCTGGATATGTTGTCATACAAAATGTATTTGATATTGCCATGGAACTGAAGCATGTTCAACTTCATTTCAAGTTGATTAACATAAATATTCTTTCCATTGGGTATGGTTGTCACGTTACGTCAGTATGAAATATCTCAATATCCCTGTCAAATGTTGAGTCATGTCAGCCCCTCACCTTGTTAGCAAGTCCTTCAGCATCTGGAGCGGTCAGGTAGCCTAGTGGTTAATGCTTTCACTCATCACGCCGAAGACCCGGGGTTCGATTCCCGACATGGGTACAATGTGTGAAGCCCTTTTCTGGTGTCCCCCCGCCGTGATGTTGCTGGAATATTGCTAAAAGTGGTGTAAAACCATACTCACTCCCTCACTCACTCACTCTCTGAGTATCTGGAGGATCTCCAGGAGAATATGATTTTTAGAGTGAAGTTATATTATGTATTTGGAATATGTTATTTTAGATTTAATTTTATTGGTACCTTGTACTAAAATCTCTTTATTTTTCTAATCCATCAACAAAAGATTAAAATAAAATATATCTACACTATATGTAGTTTTTATATGTGACTTGCTACTGGACATTTGAATGCATTAACTGAAAATTATAAATGTGTGGCCTGAGGTGTTTCCTTCAGTTTTTGTCATCCAGCTACTGCTGATCGGGTATCGGCAAATTGTGAAATTTGTTTATTTTCTATGTTGGTGCTGTGTTGTGTTGTAGTGTGTCGTTAAAGGAGCGGATGTCTTGCTCGAATCTGCAGTCCCTTGTGACACATATACGAGAACGTGTGGAGTGCGGCAACGTGGGACTCGCCTCTACCATTCCCACAATGCCTCTGTCACAGTACATGCTGCCAGCAGAACAAGTGCCTGATTTTGTAAGTACTGTCCTCCTATTGGACAAACAGACGTATGGAGTCCGGGATAGAATACATCCTCAGCAACCTAAGCTGGTTGTAAGATGGTCTTTTTCTTTTAGTACATGCCTCACCAATAATTAATCCGAAACAAATTTATTTGTGGATCACTTAGTTATCATTAATCAATGTCAAGTTGCAATTCACAGATGAAGCACATCAAATTGAAATGTATGCACCAAAGTAAACAAAAGTGGCAGATTGTTTACAGTATAATCAAAGGTTGTGTCTAAAAATTAGACATGGAGAAGTACCACTCGGTCATATGGAATCCCCAAAATATTCAAAACCCAATTACTTTCAATTAACTTGCGTACAGAAACATGCATTAAATGAAAAACAAATAAATTTAAAATGCATAAATACCCAATTAAGCTTTTTCAGCATGCGTTCAAAGGAACTAATTTCCGAAACACAATTACGAGCTAATTTACTTTTCTAGTCAAGCTTATATATTAAGAACAGTTATATACATCTAAAACATTATTTATTTATTATAAAATCTTAAAATGTTTACTTATTTTGGGGAAAAAACAATAGATTGATGAATAGATGAGTGAAGAAATATTGGTCACCCAATGAAAAATGTAATAACTGATTAAAATAGAAACCTAGAGTAAAAACTCCATTGCTCAAATAGTTATCTGGGTCCCTGGTGACCTGTAAAGATCTTGGGTAGCCAATGCTTGCCGTAACAGGCGACTATGCTTGTCGTATGAGGCGACCAACAGGATCGGGTGGTCAGGCTCTCAGACTTGGTTGATGCATGTCATTGTATCCCAATTACGTAGATCGATGCTCATGATATCAATCACTGGATTGTCTGGTCCAGACTTGATTATTTACAGACCGCCATCATATCGCTGGAATACTGCTGAGTGTGACGTTAAACAACAAAGAAACAAACAAACAATATTTATTTATCTATTTCTCAGCCTTATGTTTTTGCAATGACCTTTTGTTTGGTACAATTTATGACAAGTACCGGTATATGATGATTCAATGAAAGTAGGCCAAAGTTTTACCAACAAGATAATAAATATGTCTCTTTGATATTGTCAATTTTTGTATCACTACATTCAAGGAAACACTGTCAATAAATGAATATTTTGATTTTTGATGACTGACCAAATAGTATTCAGTACATGCATGTTTTCATTTCAGGTGCTAGTCAGCCAAGAGGATGTTGTGTATGAAAAGCTAGTTACTGAAACGAGGGATATATTAGAGAGGTAAATAGCAAAGTACCACAAATCAAATTGTCTGCTGATAAAATAACAAACACAAAAATTCTTTAATAAGTTTGTTTGTTCTTGTTCACCTGCATTCTCTATCCACTAAAGTTTGTTTCAAGGCGTCAGTAGCGGTAATCTGACCATGGTTGATGTTAATAACAGTGAGTTGTGCGATCTTCAGATCACTTCACGTACGATTTCGCCGAAATGAATGTAAACAATATGGAATGAAGTGTTGAATAATATTAATAATATTAATAAAATAGATTACAATAGATTAAGTCCAGATATATAATGAACACTTTTTATAACCAGACAGTGATTAGTTTACGTACTACAGTGCAGATTTGTTGACATGGTATTTCCGGTGTTACATGCTCACAGTAATGTCTTTGTGTTGGGGAAAAAAACATCAAAACTCTTCAACCCTATGTATAAGACCACTCCCCTTGAAAGCCTCCTAATTCTAGGTACAAAAAACTTGCCTTATACACAGTGATATACAGTATATGCTGTGCCAATGCAATGATTCCTGCCAACGGTATTGGTTTGGTAGCCTATTTAGCCAAGTGGACCTGTACAGACAGATGCGCAGGTCATGGGTTCGAATCTCTGATTTATGGTCAGCACCATACAGTTGTTCGTAGGTTTCCCCAGTTAAGCTGATACGCCATAAAAGCAACACTTGTATCATACCACACACATAATATAGTAATGGCGCTTCATACAGCATTTACCATACACACCAACAGAGCTCCAGATAAGCTTTTGGTGTTGTGGGTATTTTACCCATGCATTTTAAAATCACTGGGTATCAGTAATTCTATCTGGGTATTCAAATTTCTGTTACCCACTAGTTTTTACACATGTGGGTATTTAAGTTAAATATTTAAAAACACTATTTATCTAGTCCCTGCAAACTGGTGTTGTGTGGGTTCGAGAGCTTTATAGGACTCAAAAATACCACTATACTTCCACAAGAAAGTGTGATGGCAAATGATCATGATGTAACTGTCATCTTGGAGTTTGGCAAGGTTGACGGAATGCCCGTTTATAATTTCAAAATAAGTTGCTGATTTGCCAATCGAATACGCAGGGTTACTTCACAATATTTTGATGATACGCACAAGTTTTATTTTTGTAGCGTATCTGTAATGTTTGTTGCGTATTTAATACGCTGGGATATTATTTTACTGTGTATTTCTGCATTTCTGATGCATATTTTACGCAGATACGCAGCTTATCTGGAGCTCTGCACCAAGCAAATGGTGTCAGTAAAAAGTTAACACTACATTAGCATTCAATGTCATGTTATACAACCTTGCCTGCACAGACTGGAAAGCTATGCTTGTTTATTCTGGGTAAATGTATGAGCTGGTCACATATCTTTAATGGTACGTCTTATTTGTGGACGCTTTCAGGAAATACTCATTGCACATCTCACATTTTTTATCCAACGTCATGATCAGTGAAAGTCCTAGTCACGATGATAGTGTGAGTATGGCGACTGACATGAGCAATTACAGATAGTTAAAGGTATAACTTAAAGAAGTGCAATACTTCCATCTTCCCATAAAAAGAATTGGATTTTAGATACCTGATCGTTAACATATTTTCCATTTCAGCACAGACTTCCACTCTGTTCTACGGACGTGCCTGGAGCGTGGGTTCAGTCGTCTGCTGGATGCAGTAGCTGAACATTATAAACATCAGATGACATCAGAACAGTATGTAGTAATATGGACAATATGTTTTTATGTACAATGGGGGCAGTGGGGTAGCCTAGTAGCTAAGGCCACACAGTTTTTATTTTTTGTTTCAGAGGCCCGCCTCCCCTACTGAAAAGCAGATGGAAACATAAAATTATTTATTTGTATTATATCTCCCACCAGTAATATAAAATATAAAATGTTATATATAAATTACATGTCTACATCAATATCATTGATTCAAGAAGCCAGCTGCCGTTTCAACTCCACAGCAGAATGACTTTCATATAATAAAGAAATAACTGACATAGCTATTTATTTTAATTTTAATTGCAACTGATCTTGAGTGGAATAGCTAAAAGAAATGTGTGAAACATAAAATAAAAAAAAGTGTAGCCAAAAGCATTGACATTGACCACAGTGGTGGTTTTATGTGGGCTGCCATCACTGTTTCATTGAGTTGACAAGTCTTTGGAAGAAGGCTTGAGGAAGCCTGTTCCATTCCCGCACCGAAAAGGCTTCCCAGTCTTGTCCCAGACATGCTAAATTGGCGCCATGTCCAATGACACATCCCATGTTTGTGGTGGCATGTGGTCCTGTGCACAGCGAGGAGGTGAAAAATCAGGTAAAGTAAGCAACGTAGAATAGGTGGATGGGTGACCGTGTTCGGTACCTTGACTCCTGAGAGTTTCTAGGGCTATGGTCCTGCCCCACACTGAATAGCCCTAGAATCACAGGTTACAGGTGGTGTCTCCTCAGGCTTTGTTTGTTTGTTTAATGCCGCACTCAGCAATATTCCAGCTACATGATGGCAGTCTGTAAATAACCGAGTCTGGACCAGACAGTCCAGTGTTTGACATCATGACATCATGACCATCCGATCCCATTAGTCGCTTCTTACAACAAGAATATTTGCCTTTTACGGCAAGCATGGGTTACCGAAGACCTATTCTACCTTGGATCTTCATGGGTCATCTCCTTAGGCAAGTTACTTTGTTTGAAATATTCCTCTGTCCACCCAGCACTAAGTGGGTACCCGGTAGGATGAGATGGCGGTGTGACTGCTAACCTTCTAGTAGCTTATAGACAGCTTGGGGGGTGTGGACTCCCCAGGGAGCTCAGAAAGAAAATTGAATGCACACTGATCCACTGACCGGGGTAATAATGGTGTTAGTGCTTTGAGCATGCGTCAGTGGATGGCCTATAGCATCAATGGATGGCCTATTATTAATATCCATGTATTATTATTATGATTATTATTATTATTATTATTATTATTATTTATGTTTCAGCAGTCTCCATGAGGTCAACATTCCTGTAGCCAAGCTTATCCCGGTTATCAGCAACTTGGTCTTCCGAATCTGCAGCGACGCTCCGAACCCGATTATACAGGTGACTAGATCCTACCCATGCCTTGCCATCACTTCCTGTTTGTTGTAGGGGGTGATTTGATGGGTCAGGCGGGCAGGCTCAGAGTCTTGGTTGATGGTGTGTCAGCATATCCAGAACTGGATGGATTGTTGTTGCTATTATAATATAATAGAGGATATTATATGATTGGTCATGTCATACCAAGTTTATGACACAAATGACCGGAATTTAGGCACGAGTGTCGTAAACATAGTATGACATGAACACAAATATAATGTTCTATTTATTACCGAAGAAGATGTCTACATACATTGGTGAATTTTAGTGTTAACCTATTAGAACAGCAAATTGCAACAGCGGCGGAACCACAATTTGTAGAATGATGTCAACAATCTTCAGGTATGACGTCGTTTCTGGTGTGACGTCATTCTGACCTCACGTCACTATAAGATTCGAAATGTGTCAACAATGCCGTCCGGATGACGGAAACAATACACAGTTGTTTCATGACGTGATGTGACCCTAGGGCACATATGTTTTTTATGAACCTCGACATGCCGCTGTAGGGAATAAGGCTGGAATATTGGTGAGAACTGTGTTAAACAAAGAAAGAAACCAAGTTATTACCCCTACACAGGGGTCACGGATGAAGAGTAGAGTCTCTTAGCAACCTGAGTTTGAATCTCAGATTTGCCCTGATCATGTTTCTAGGTTTGTCAGCACCATTCCACCAAAGTGGTAAACGTCTACCGCCCACAGTGATGAGGATGAAAATTGCTTTCAGTAGTTTTAAGCAACACTTACTCTTTGTCTTTATCAGGAGCTGCTGCTACTGGATGAGGTGAAGACGTTTTCCGCCAATGTGTACGAGGCGTTCAGCCAGGACAGTGCAGCGCCAACATGAACAGGCGCAATGCATCGGGGATCATTCCAGGAACACAGCGCCACAGATCACCAGGATTCCTTGACCAACACAGCTTCCATTCAAACCTACACGTGTGTGTAACGCAATGAAATGTTATGAGTATTAATATTCTGTTATATATATATTAAGGATGTATCATCGTCATACTTCATGGGCTTCAGTGTGTTTCTCAATCATTGTCAGTACATGTGGCGGCTATTCAGTGTAGTGCTATTTTTAACCAACGAATCACATCAAGGCCCCATCAAGGAGATAATGCTACAGATATTCTGACCAATGAGCTTTCAGATTACATTGAGGGGTATGTTATCTTGCTTTCTGGGGCCATGTGTTTTTGCGACCATCGACTATAAATCGCTTCAGTGCCAGGGTTGTAAAAAAGTTTAAACACAGCATTGGGGCATACACTGCTGCATTTTGTTAACTGATTACAATTACATTCAAAATCACTGTATCCTCATGGAGAAACACAGTGTTTACAAGCCTCTGTAATATGTGTTTGTATCAATGGGTGATGGAGGAATATAGTGTATAGAAGTATGGACTTGTGTTCATGGTTGATGGAAGAACGTCACATGTAGCACCGGTCCTGTTTAATACTGCCAAGTAGTGATGTGTTTGTCCATCAAGTATTGATAATTGATGATGGGAGAGTGAGATGTGGAAACTTATTACTGAGTCTGTTATTTATACCTTTATGAAAAGAATATAATGATAAGACCTGAAACTGTTTGTGGAAACACATCACATGCTGCTACGGAGAGAAAAGAGATATTTACTTTTTTCTGTAGCATTTGAACTTGCGACCCAATCTCACCATGCTGCGGCTTCCTGGTTTTAAGGGAAATAAGTCAGAATGATCAAATATTCAAAAGCGTTGTTGTTTCTGAACTCCATATACTGTGATTTACTATTGTGAACGCTATGATGTCACACTCAGATTATTTAATCCCAGTTAATCGAAAAGACATGTTATACAGGGGCTTCTTAGGGACCAAGCATGTAATACAGGGGTTCCTTAGGGACCAAGCATGTAATACAGGGGTACCTTAGGGACCAAGCATGTAATACAGGGGTTCCTTAGGGACCAAGCATGTAATACAGGGGTACCTTAGGGACCAAGCATGTAATACAGGGGTACCTTAGGGACCAAGCATGTAATACAGGGGTTCCTTAGGGACCAAGCATGTAATACAGGGGTACCTTAGGGACCAAGCATGTAATACAGGGGTACCTTAGGGACCAAGCATGTAATATTGGGACGGAGGGAGGGGATTTGGGATTGCCTGGGAGACATTGAAAACTTTATCAATCAAAAGAATTTCCACAATTATTTTTAGTTGGGAGTAAATCCTGAGTAATTTAAAAAAAATAATTGAGTATTTTCTCCTTAGAAAATTAGCTCAGGTGAAAGACTTATTCAAATATTATTAATACTTCCTCAAAACGTCTAGAATCAGCGACATGGGTACAATGTGTGAACATCATTTCTGGCAGATGTGGGCCATGTCCCGTACCTTGTCCTTGCAATGGAGATAATCCTGTATTGGAACAAAGTGTATCACTGCAGCTGTAGAGCTTGTGTCAGTTGGGTTTAAGAATATTGTCACATATCAGCCGTAATTCAGGAATGAGGCATTAAGCAGAGGACACAGTCAGTACTTTAGGATATAAGGATACAGTTGCGAGAACAAAGCTTGCTCCTCTTCCCGATAATGTACTGTCACAAGTTCTCTTTCTCACAGCACAGTCCAATCCTTTTCACTTCCCACTCCAGGCATCTGTGTAGTTCGCGAGGTACATGCAGCTTGCACAACACTACTGAATCAGATGTAAGGTGGGAGTATATTATCGAGATGTAATTGTACTACACAAGCCCGATTATCACCGCCGTTATATCAGAGCCATTTGCTGTTCTCTAAGGACAGTCAAGTCCCGTTAATCCGACATCGGTGGTTGCATATGATTATGTCGGATTAACGAGTATGTCGGATAAATGAAATTAAGTAGTATCAACGTTTGTGATCTAAAATCGGACAGCTTCACGATAGATAACGATTCAAATACGTAATAAAAAAATAAAAAATAAATATTCATATTGTTATGTTACATTGTTGGCGGAATATGTTTTCTAATCATGCAACCTCTAAAGTTTAACACCTCAAAATACCTTAAAAAGCGTTAAAAAGAATGGAAGTCGACATTTGAAACTGGTACCGCCAGCTTTAGAAAGCTGCTTTCTAAGTGGCTAACATTGACTTCCTGTTAGTCATTTCATTGGTAGGTCATAGTTTGAGGAAGGTTTTTCTGACATGACCTGTAAGGGGATGTCCTCGGCGATAGCGAGAACTTGTATCTGATTTTAATGAGATTGAGGTAATCTAAGCATGTAATAAATCCTGTTTCTTTATTTAAAGCACTAATTGTTTATTGTTAAGCAAGATTATCTCTGCAGCCGTTGTAATATGCAGCTACCAGCCGATTTGTCTCGCATCAAAACACGGGCTGTGTACTCGCGGGCAGATGACCACGGAGTACGCTGATCACCGTGTCGGATTGTCGACGAGTGTCAGATTAACGAGACTTGGCTGTACAATACAACATTGTCTGTCTTCACCATGGGAGCCTCCTTGGTTCTCGGGCAGCAATGTATCATAATACATGTAGCTTGATATTTTGTGTTTATTTTATAAGACAAGTGAATTCTGAACTAGTTATCATGTCTAAAAGAATATTGATGAGTTAATATGTCTAACATATTCTAAAGTTGATCTGCATGAAAACAAATCGATTTCAAAACTCTGGGTAAGTTAGAACTTAACAGTTGACACATAAACTCCCAGGCATATAAAAAGTATACATTTTGTCAAATTGTATTTGACAAAAACATTTCAAGCGTTGTCAAAGCGTTACTAAGCTGAAAATAGTGCCCAAGACACCTCAGACTTACGGTCCCAAACAACTATGATACCTGTATCAAATACATCACCATCGAATAACTTTTCTTGTTTGTTTCATTTTTCACCACCTTTAGACAAGAATGTATATGTTCTTTTGGCCTTCAGGTTATTTGCTTCTGTTGCATGTGAAATTATTTTTCTTGGAATATTGTCTAAAACAAATACACTTCCTAAATTATGTTGGTTTACATTCACATTCTTGACGTAAGAGGAGTAAAGGGATAGTAAAGCTTACGAAGTGTGGGAAGGACTTTTAGAGATTAATCCCCTACAAAGGCCGCTGGATTGCAGATCCAGCTTGGAAAACATACAAGATTCATGGCATCGTGTGATAGTATGGCATTTATTGTAAACCCAGCATCATTGAGGAAATCTTATTACTTCTTATGGATCATTTTAAGAATAAATGATATGTTATTAAATTGTTTTATGTGTCTTATATAACATGAGAAGAAATGTGTTGTGCTGTGTGGTGGTTCAGGAGTCTGAATCCTATGGGATTCTGGGTTAGACTGTCGTGCTTGTCGTAAGACCTGACAAAAATGGGGATCAGGTTTCAGGCTGTGAGTGGTCTTTGTACACTGACAGCATGGATTGTTACTCTATTGTCAGTCATTTGTTTGCCAGCCCAGACTTTATAATTGACTGGCTTGAATATTTTTGTCTGCAGCATTAAACAACATTCACTTGCTTGGTGTAGGAGCAGTCCTCAGTGACCAGATCAAAGGAACCCATGAACATGTTGTTCCATGTTTCGGTCCGCCATCTCAAATCACTCGTTTGTACAGGAAATTCGGTTGTGAATTGGATTTAACACCTTGAATCGTGTTTTAAGTCACAACATTGTGGGAGTGAGTGATTTTAACACTGCTTTCGTCAGTACCGTTTTTTCTTGAGTATAGTGCACACTTTTTTCCCAAAAAACAGCTGCGTAGAAGGGGGTACTTAAGCGTGCACTATACTTAAGAAAATACGGTATGTCAGTTACGATTAGGCGTTTTAGTTTGTGGGAGGAAAGATGAATTGATGCAGAAACAAAATGACAGTGACCTTAAACTTGTTTTGTCAAAAATAATGTTTGTTTGTTTAATGCAGCACTCAATATCACAATACATCGGTCACGATATGATGCGTATCACGATACGTGTATATTTACGTCAAATCTCATGGAAACTTCTTGACAATAAATTTTTCAGAGCAAGTTCAAAAGGAAAAGCTAGCTGTAGATACATGTTTGTAGCGACTATTTGTAGTTGTGAACTTGAAATACTAATTACAACACACTTTGGGATATCTGACTGTCAAAATGCCAGGGGTCATTGAACGAATAGTAAGTAATTTATAAGTAGTATATCATCTTGTATCTCTACAGAAAAAACGTATCGTCTCACGTGTGTTTTTTTTGGTGTGTTTCTTTTAACTAGTTCGGTATTTTACAGTGCTATACCTAGCCCACTGAGATACCATGCTGAAGTTGAACATGAATACACCACTAAAACACAATACACTGACTTTGAGCCAACCAGTGCTTGTTTAAGTTAATGCAGGGTGCCAGGCAGGGTAACAACAAGTAACATCTTTTACCATCTTTTGAGCCGACAAGTGCTTGTTAAAGTTACGCTGGGTGCCAGGCAGGGTAACAACAAGTACCATCTTTTGCCGTCTTTTGGTATGACGTGGTTGGGGATTGAACCCTGGACATCTGCTATCTGGGCAGACACACTATCCACTAGACTACAGAGGCGGTCAGTATATTCAAAGACAATGTGAAACATGAACTATAAACAAGACAACACCCCAGTATATTGCTTTAATACTACTGCATGTACAATTAATGTCATTAATGTGATTCCTAAATAACTAAGAATTCAAAACAGTGTCTATGACTCGAAGCATATTCATAATTAATTCTAAAAATCAAATATTTGACTAAACAAACAATAAAGATGGATTTTTTTAATAAGCCCAAATAAGACGACCTCAAACAAAAATTCATTTCAATTAAAAATAATGCCATATGCACAATAAACGTTTAAACCCAAAAGGATTCACTAAAAAGAATGTACATTCAGCACATGAGCTCAATGGAATTGGACATGTTACAATCGATTCGTTACTTGCCTCCATTTTGACATGAAGTCTGTCACTGTTAATACTGTTATATCACAGTTATTTCAAAAGAATAACACATAAAACACAATGAATATTCAGTGTTGTCACCACTTCTACTCATACACAAAGAAAAAAGGTAAGAATGGGTATGTTTTTTTATCTAAGAAAATGCAGGCAGTGTCCAAATTCCTACTCTAAAATCTTCAAAACAGTATTTCTCTTGTGTTTACAAATATCCCCAGACAGACTTTACATTTTATGGCATTAACAGACCTCAAATTTATAACATGATAAAGACTGATTGTTGCTGAACAAAGGAAATGACACAGGGTGACGGAATGTTACTTGGAGACTGATTGATTTAATATAAATAATTCCAGGGAGTTATGCAAAAAATATATTATTGCTCAGTTTTTTAAATATTTCACAAATTTGTTCTCTGGACATGTTGGATATCCTGAACTTGAAGTAATATCCATATTAGGAAGTAAATGTGTTAAGATACAGAATTTATAATAATTTTATTCCTTTTAGGGAAAACAATATATTTGGTAAATCCCGACCATCCGACCATTATTACATGGATGTTTACTTTCAGATGTGATCTGGGTTCATGAAATGTAAAACCACCAGATTATACACTGAGATTTATGATTAACTTCCAGACGTAACTGTTTCTTTGCGTATATGTAGCCAAGACAGAGGGGGACTGTAGGAATGTACATATAGACATGACAGTCATGTGTCTCATAATACTGTAATCCAACTAGAATATCTCTGCTTAATGTGATCACACGTGGACGGAGTTAGCACTGGTTATTGTGGAAACCTGACATGTATCAGCAGTTTACCATAGTTACCATAATTATTCCATTATTTCGGACGGGAGATGTGTTTCTGTTAAACTGGGGCGCTACTCAAACAAAGTCATGTTTTTTTAAGCAGGCAAAAACATCCTGATCAATTTAAATTTATTAATATTTATACCCAATATGCCAAGGGATGAATACAAAAATGAAATCAGGGTTTATTAGAGGTTCCTCCCAAAATATTTAAGGCAAACCTTTTCAAAAATAGATATAAAGAAATATATACTTTCAATCAAACAGAATTGGGTTTTTTTTAATTTCACAAAATTCATTTGGATAATATGAAATTAAACTCCCCTTGCTAGTGTAAAAATGTAAAAATTGTCTTTTAAAAATATGAAGGAATTAAATATCATTGTCCAATATATTGTAGTTTTGAGAGCGCATGTATAAGAATAATTATGGTAAATGCAAACAAATAATAAGCTGATGTATTATGCTCTGTGTGACGAAGTTCCCATGTATGATTGGTGCTGCTGTATCAGCAAACAGCCGCACAACCAATCTCAATATCATCTATATATGAGTGTCAACAAACGTGTTACATGTAAAACAGTGGAAGTCATAACAACCCTAGAACATCAACAAACTATATATGTCATGTGTCAGCAGCTATGAATGAGAAAGTACATATAACACAACATATTCAGGGGGCTACAACATTGTGACCTTTGACCCATCACCTTTAATAAACCTCAAGGGCAATTAAAGTAATGTTTTTTTGGTTTCCAGGGTCCGAAAACAGTACCTGGGTCACAACACAGTACCAGGGGGGTCACAAAACACTACCTGGGTCAAATAGTTTTCTTCTGAACATATGGAGTACACATGTAGGATGGTCATCACGATACACAGCTGAATAAACTTACAATACACTATCCTGTCTGCCTAGGACACTCGGACATGACAGGTCACAAGGAGTCAGGAGCATCCAGAGAGACATCCGAACCAGATACTACGTCCTTAAGTTCTGTACAGGTGGTCATGTTTATGCTGATTCCAAAACACCATATTATTTTTATGCAGCATGTGACCTCACATTTCTTGATGCAGCATGTTACCTGACATTTCTTGACGCAGCACATGACCTCATATTTTAATGCAGCACTTGACCTCTGAATTCCCAGATGCAGCACCATGTGACCTGACATTTCTTGATGCAGCATGAGACCTCAGATTCATCGATGCAGCACATGACATCACAGTTCTCAGTGCAGCACGTGACCTCACATTTCTCGATGCAGCACAATGTGACCTCAGATTCATCGATGCAGCACATGACCACATTTCTCGATGCAGCACGTGACCTCACATTTCTCGATGCAGCACGTGACCTCACATTTCTCGATGCAGCACAATGGGACCTCACATTTCTCAGTGCAGCACAATGGGACCTCACATTTCCCAGTGCAGCACATGACCTCACATTTCTTGATGCAGCACAATACATATATTGTAATCGGTTACAAGGTCACCTGGAACTATTTTGCCAGGTCGGAGCCAGATTGATGTCAAATATAACGTAATTTGCTATTCAGATAGTCAAGAAAACTGAGGCAAACATAAATACCGACAAAGAGGTGAAACCATTGTAAACAATGTGCAGACAAATACACTACTGCTCACAACTACTTGCCTCTTTACTGCAGTACAGTTCTGCCATAGTTTCACAAAACACTCATGTTTGGCTGTGGTAATTCTGAATTCTGAATTACCACAAAATGTTTGTTGAAAAATTGGTATAGCAAAAGATTTCCAAAAATATTGGCCAAAAAAAAGAGAGGCGAATACTTGTGACAACTTTTCAATTGCACTATCCCACAGCACAGATTACCAGCACATTGATTTAATTATCAAGAAAAACACGTGGAAAATTGGGACTGTAATTTAAATATGTTCAAAAATTTGAAGATAAGTTGAAAACTGGCCTGGCATGCAGGAAGATATTTGGGATAACAAACACAGCTATTTTAACTTGCATTGTTGATGATGGTGATGATGATGATGATGATTTAATGAGTGCTTCTGGATGACCTGTTGTTGCACTCATACTCAACATTGAATATGTTGGCCAGCAGGAATCACCACTGGACAACACGAGTTAGCACTAGTTAATGCTGGTCATCTCTGGTCAACACTCATTATTGCTGGTCAATGCTCAGTAAGTCAATGCTGGTCAACACACACTGGTGGATCCAGAGAAATCTTGTGCATACTTCTCCTTCCATCAGATTTTGTAATAAATGAGCAGCCCCTTTTTCAAAATCTTAGATCTGCCTTTGACAATATTGAGTGTTGTTTAACACCGCACGCAGCAATACTGCAGCTATATGGTAGCGATCTGTAAATAATCAAGTCTGGACCAGACAATCCAGTGATTGATATTATGAGCATCGATTCACGCAATTGGGATATGATGACATGTATTAACCAAGTCAGCGAGTCTGACCACCTGATGCCGTGAGTCGCCTCTTACGACAAGCATAGTCGCCTTTCACAGCAAGCATGGGTTGCTGAAGACCTATTCTAACCTGGATCTTCATGGGCCTTTTGACATTGGTCAGTGTTGACAATACTGGCCCTTGTTGGCTAAAACTGGTCAGCATTTCCACCAAGAACCAATGTAGATGGACGGAGCATTCTCAAAGGTTTAAATTTCAGTTCGAAACTAAAAGATTGTCATTTGTTTACATAGTGAAATACAACAAGAAACATAAATAATAAACACAAACAATAAATAAAACGCACACACTACATATATCACAGTTTGCTTTACCATGTGTATCTTGATAAGAAGAGGCGTGAAATCAGTCTACTAAGGTGAAACCACAACCCAATGAGACACCAAGACGAACACATCATGGACACAAAATAAAGCCCGTTTGCATATATTACCTTGAAAAAATTATTCACTCATTGTCCAAACTTTTTTAACATCATTGTAATATTATTCCAAATATTATATAAACAGACGGCCCTACATTTGTGAAAAATAAATATGGATAACTACATCATTGAACAAGACAAAAAACACTTAAAAAATATAGGAAAACATTTCAACATCAACCTCAGCAATACATTCGTTTTATCAAATTTAGTTCCTAAATCTCAACAATTTATATCATGATTAGTATTGATCCTGCAGTAACCATGGTAAAAGATAGAAGTGTGTGACCATCAAAGGACGGAATGTCTCGTACAAAGAGTAAAGAGTGTTTACAACAATAGTTGTGTTTAGTTCTGGGCCCTGCTTCACAAAGCAATCTTAGCGCTAAGGTGATTGTAATTCCCATCCTTTAACACAGGCTAACATCTTCAAGCACTAAGATCGCTTTGTGAAGCAAAGCTGCTCTTTAAACAGTACTATGTATCCAAGAACACTAATATCAATACAGACAAAATTTCATAAAAATTGTTTGATTTGTAAAAATATCCCAGATTCTGTAAACTAATAATATAGTAATATTGGTTATATATTTTGGTACCCTAAAGTACCTCAAACATTGTAACAAATAGTCCTTTCTGTGGAATTAATATCAGCACAGGAAATGAGTTTGTTCAGGTTCTGAGTCAACGAGATTCTGTTGTAATAATATAAGGATGCAGCTACCGTGAAGAGGTTATTGATGCTGCTGCTGCTGCTGCTGCGACTACTACCTCAGCATACGGTACATACACACAGACAACACCAGTTCCACCAGCTGAAATAATAAACAGGAGTCATATTAGATGCATAGTTGAAAGCACAAGTAACTGTAATCAAGGTTGGATCATCATATCATCATACCAACATTGTACAACTGATGGTGAAAACAAAATACTGACATACAAGAGTCACGTAACAATAACTTTGACTTATAATGAGTCAACATGTGGCATTACTTGTGTATGCAATCATTCTCTGACAACTAACGATTATTAAATGGCGTCGATATTAGAAATTTGGTTATGGTTGCTGTAAAGAAAGGTGAGTCCATGCATCCTTCAGATCAGTTCACACACCACACACAGTTTTCCCGAAATTAATGTGAAAACTTTTAAATAAAATTATTTTTTTTATTATAAGCATAAAAACTAGAGAACTCTAAACATCCTTTGTAACTTGATTTCATTTTCAAGGCTTTTATCGATCTTAAGGCCTGTTTCAAGCAGATGCAGATTTATGCTTCTGAAGGCCAGACTGCCATCGGAATGAATATTGTGGAAAATACCCCTTTTCAGGGGTTTCACCAAGAGACATAAATGTATATTGTCTTTCATTTGTTTACAAAGAAGCCCAAAGCAACTTGATGTCATATCAGTCCATTGTTGCAAATAATTGAACCTGTCTCCATCCTCTTTTAAAGACTCTGGCTATTGATCCGCACAGCTTGTATATTTACTCACCAGAAAGACTCCCACAACTATGGCCGTTGTTCCGATGATGATGCCAGTCCCCCTCAGGTAGCCGTCCAGCACGTCAAAGCAGCCCTGCAGTACACAGATACAGCTTGTATGGCAAACAGTTGGGAGAATCTAAAGAAGCTCAGCTAATACTGGCCATGCGATTGTGTGTAATAATGCCATGACTGTTCATGGTATCAACCACATGTTTGACCTGAGTTTTTCTGGTATCAACCACATGTTTGACCTGAGGATTCATGGCATCAACCACATGTTTGACCTGAGGATTCATGGTATCAACCACATGTTTGACCTGAGTTTTTCTGGTATCAACCACATGTTTGACCTAAGGATTCATGGTATCAACCACATGTTTGACCTCAGTTTTTCTGGTATCAACTACATGTTTGACCTGAGGTTTTCTGATATCAACAACTTTTCACCTGAGGTTTTCTGGCATCAACCACATGTTTGACCTGAGTTTTTCTGGTATCAACCACGTTTAACCTGAGATTTTCTGTTACCAACCATATGTTTGACTTGTGTGTACATGGTATCAACCACATGTTTGACCTGAGTTTTTCTGGTATCAAACATATGTTTGACTTAAGTGTTCATGGTATCAACCACATGTTTGACCTGAGTTTTTCTGGTATCAACCACGTTTAACCTGAGATTTTCTGTTATCAACCATATGTTTGACTTGAGTGTACATGGTATCAACCACATGTTTGACTTGAGTGTTCATGGTATCAACCACATGTTTGACCTGAGATTTTCTGTTATCAACCATATGTTTGACTTGAGTGTACATGGTATCAACCACATGTTTGACCTGAGATTTTCTGGTATCAACCATATGTTTGACTTTAGTTTTTCTGGTATCAACCACATGTTTGACCTGATTTTTTCTGGCATCATCAGAAAACTGTACAACCACCCACCACTGTGTACAGCATGCGGGACATACAGAGGACACAGAGAAAACTGTACAACCACCCACCACTGTGTACAGCATGGGGGACCTACAGGGGACACAGAGACAACTGTACAACCACCCACCACTGTGTACAGCATGCAGGACCTACAGAGGACACAGAGAAAACTGTACAACCACCCACCACTGTGTACAGCATGGGGGACATACAGAGGACACAGAGACAACTGTACAACCGCCCACCACTGTGTACAGCATGGGGGACATACAGAGGACACAGAGACAACTGTACAACCACCCACCACTGTGTACAGCATGCAGGACCTACAGAGGACACAGAGAAAACTGTACAACCACCCACCACTGCATACGTCCTGGGGAACCTACAGAGGACACAGAGAAAACTGTACAACCACCCACCACTGTGTACAGCATGGGGGACCTACAGGGGACACAGAGAAAACTGTACAACCACCCACCACTGTGTACAGCATGGGGGACATACAGAGGACACAGAGACAACTGTACAACCACCCATCACTGTGTACAGCATGGGGGACATACAGAGGACACAGAGACAACTGTACAACCACCCACCACTGTGTACAGCATGGGGGACCTACAGAGGACACAGAGACAACTGTACAACCACCCACCACTGTGTACAGCATGGGGGACATACAGAGGACACAGAGACAACTGTACAACCACCCACCACTGTGTACAGCATGGGGGACCTACAGAGGACACAGAGTAAACTGTACAACCACCCACCACTGTGTACAGCATGGGGGACCTACAGAGGACACAGAGAAAACTGTACAACCACCCACCACTGTGTACAGCATGGGGGACATACAGAGGACACAGAGACAACTGTACAACCACCCATCACTGTGTACAGCATGGGGGACATACAGAGGACACAGAGACAACTGTACAACCACCCACCACTGTGTACAGCATGGGGGACCTACAGAGGACACAGAGACAACTGTACAACCACCCACCACTGTGTACAGCATGGGGGACATACAGAGGACACAGAGACAACTGTACAACCACCCACCACTGTGTACAGCATGGGGGACCTACAGAGGACACAGAGTAAACTGTACAACCACCCACCACTGTGTACAGCATGGGGGACCTACAGAGGACACAGAGAAAACTGTACAACCACCCACCACTGTGTACAGCATGGGGGACATACAGAGGACACAGAGAAAACTGTACAACCACCCACCACTGTGTACAGCATGGGGGACCTACAGAGGACATAGAGAAAACTGTACAACCACCCACCACTGTGTACAGCATGGGGGACCTACAGAGGACATAGAGAAAACTGTACAACCACCCACCACTGTGTACAGCATGGGGGACCTACAGAGGACACAGAGACAACTGTACAACCACCCACCACTGTGTACAGCATGGGGGACCTACAGAGGACACAGAGACAACTGTACAACCACCCACCACTGTGTACAGCATGGGGGACCTACAGAGGACACAGAGAAAACTGTACAACCAACCACCACTGTGTACAGCATGGGGGACCTACAGAGGACACAGAGAAAACTGTACAACCACCCACCACTGTGTACAGCATGGGGGACCTACAGAGGACACAGAGAAAACTGTACAACCACCCACCACTGTGTACAGCATGGGGGACCTACAGGGGACACAGAGAAAACTGTACAACCACCCACCACTGTGTACAGCGTGGGGGACCTACAGAGGACTCAGAGAAAACTGTACAACCACCCACCACTGTGTACAGCGTGTAGTTGAGGTCCGCCATGTTGAGGAGAACCGGGGGCCCATGTCGGGGCGGGGCATCAGGCACGTCGGTCAGTCCAGTGCAGTCATTGAGGTACTTGTGCAGGCTTTTGTCACAGCAACTCAAGGGAACGAATCTTCCCTCTGGAAACAGAATTACACAGTGTTCAAAATCAATCAATACAAAATGCTTTCTCTTTCTATAGCGGACACTCGCAATGGGAGACCGGCATTCAGAAATATTCAAAGTACAGGACGGCGGTCTGTAAATAATCTAGTCTGTACCTGACAATCCAGTGATTGACATCATAAGCATCAATCAACGCAATTGGGATATGATGACATGCATCAACCAAGTAAGCGAGCCTGACCACCCGATCCCGTTAGTCGCCTTATACAAACATGGGTTGCTGAAGACCAATTCTAACCCGGAATCTTCACGGGACCTTTGACATAAAATAGATCCAGGGAATTTATCAATATATCCAAATAGAATGGAGAAAAGGTTTACTGGATAATTTATTGATGTAACTATATTAGCTATAATTTACTCGTAACACTTACTTGAGAAGCCCTTCTTGTACCATTCACTCTGTTCGCGGTAGATGGCCCATGACGTAGAGCTGTTCACTGTGCCAAAGGCGCCACAACACTTGAACTGAGAAACCACAGATACACTGAACAGAATTTTAAAATATATTTACACTAAAAGCAAGCTAATGTTAACAATAAGAATACTTAATACTTATCAACTCCCTGTTGAGCTGAAAAAAATAATAGTCTTGGTTCTCAGGCACCCCCACATTACCATAAAGTCCGCCGCATGTTTTGTTTTTATTTCAATTTAAAGAAAATAAATTCTTAAATATTCTGCGTCTTGAACACATGGCCCCGGCAGTGAAATTCTATGATACTTCAAAACAACACTATCCAATATAGCATGCAGTTACTTCCCATTAGATGTGCATCTCATGTTATGGTCATGGCAGTAATAGGAGTTTGTGTGCTTGTTTTGACGTTTGCAAATTTGACATGAAATTTACAATAAAATATTTCAATTTCAAGTTCAATTTAAAAAAATAAATTTCTTAAACAATCTGCGTCTTGAACACATGACCCCGACAGTGAAATTCTACAATACTTTAAAACAACACGATCCAATATAGCATGCAGTTACTTCCCTTTACATGTGCACTGCTTTACTGCGCATCTTGTGTTATGGTCATGGCGGCAAATAGGAGTTTGTGTGCTTGTTTTGACATTTGGTCAATGAAAACATGAAATTTATGATAAAACATCGCTAGACATGATGATTTACAAATTCAATGGCATTTGTGTACTGTATGCCAGATAATGTTTCATACACAGAGATTAAGATTACACGTGTATGTGTCTCGTAAAATAAGCCGGAAATAGCAATCAGCTGTTCACATATTTTCTCTCCAGTCTAATGTACTTAATGTCATGGTCAATATCATAACTGAAAAGAAATTTCAAAACAGTCATTTGTATCTCTTACGACAAATGTCCGTTTCAAGGCGAGTTCAAGGCGAGTTCAAGGCGAGTTCATGGTGAGTTCATGGTGAGTTGATGTGATTTGCTGATCAGTTCAAACACGATTTCACCAAAATTAATGTGAACAAAGCTGAATGAAATCTTGGATCAAAGTAATGTTGTGGATAGCAAACATAAGTCTAGATACACAATGAAGACTTTCATAGCCAGAAAGCTTAATAACAGGACCAACTTGCATACTTCAGTACGGATTTATTGACATGCTTCTTCCGGTGATGTTTGCTCATGATAACATCTTCGTATTGTGAAACAAAATCAAAGCTCCCTGTATGCACGTATTATGCACACACTGGTATACATTTATGTCGGGAGGTTCTTTGGAGGCCAGGTTGATTGTACACAATTGTTTGTTTGCTTACATACTAGTTTGAACAACCCCCCAAAAAATAAACACTGCCTGCCCGCACTATGTTTTACAAACTCACTCGTGTGAAACTCATCTCCTGCAATTACAAGTGAAACTCATCTCCTCCAATTACAAGTGAAACTCATTTCCTCCAATTACAAGTGAAACTCATCTCCTCCAATTACAAGTGAAACTCATCTCCTCCAAATACAGGTGAAACTCATCTCCAATTACAATTGAAATACAAGTGAAACTCATCTCCTCCAATTACAAGTGAAACTCATTTCCTCCAAGTAGAGAAGAAAGTCATCTTCTCCAATTACAAGTGAAACTCATCTCCTCCAATTACAAGTGAAACTCATCTCCTCCAAATACAGGTGAAACTCATCTCCAATTACAATTGAAATTCATCTCCTCCAATTACAAGTGAAACTCATTTCCTCCAAATAGAGGTGAAAGTCATCTCCTCCAAATACAAGTGAAACTCATCTCCTCCAATTACAAGTGAAACTCATCTCCTCCAAATACAGGTGAAACTCATCTCCTCCAAATACAGGTGAAACTCATCTCCAATTACAATTGAAACTCATCTCCTCCAATTACAATTGAAACTCATCTCCTCCAATAACAAGTGAAACTCATCTTCAATTACAAGTGAAACTCATCTCCTCCAAGTTGAAGCGAAATTCATCTCCTCCAAGTAGAGCTGAAACTCATCTCCTCCAATTACAGGCATAACACCTCAACTCTTTATAAAGAACATTTCTCAGATGAGCATGTTATTTATTATCTGCATGAGTAAACCCTACCGTCTGCTGTATTCTGTCCCAGGACTCGGTGATCTCGAGGTTCTTTGAGTTGGAGGGGAGGTCAACGCCATAGTTTGCCATCACTGTATCCTCGAGCTTGCCCTTCACCTTCTCCTCAAGCTGAGGACAAACAACACGATGTTACGCCATAAATATATTTATTAGACTCTCACCCTGCCCACCACTCTACTAAATGCTGCTATGCCCATGGCACGTCCCTCGTATCCACAGACAAGAAAGTCAACCCATCTGTATTTCTAAATACTAAGAAAGCCATAGGCCTATAGTACAAGTATACCAAGTAGTTAAAGAAGAAAGAAAGTCACAACATGTGTTGCCTTGTTTGTTTACTTTCTGAAAGTGTTGGTCAGATGTGAACACAATCAACAATCAGTAGGGGGATGCAACAGATTCTTGTCTGTTGAAACTGACCAGTCCGCAGCTGTTACCAATCAGCCATTTCAAGCCCATGTTGACAGTACACTTGTCAAGATGCAAAATTACATTTAGTTGACAGTTTCTGTACACATTTGCCTTGAACAGTTTGTTTCCAAACATAAAATATGAAAGAAAAAAGAGACCTCCTGCCTCACATCTTTTAAAGTGAGTGAGTGAGTACGGTTTTACACCGCTCTTAGCAATATCCCAGCAATATCACGGCAGGCACATCTTTTAAAATGTGGATAAAATTCTTATTATTATTTATTGTGGCTGTAATTATGCACACCAGCTGCAGAATAGACATTGTCTGTTTCATAAATGTTGAAAATGGAATGGTCACAATGTTTCTATTCTGAAAAGGTTTTCTTTTTGTTTGTTGTTTTGTGCAACTTTCCAGCCATAAACATCAGTAGCCTGTACAAAATCAAACCAATGGTTGATATCATGAGCAACATCCCATGTCATCATGGAATAATCAACCAAGTCACCTAGCCTGACTCTCCGGTCCAAAAAAGTCATGCATCTGACTGCAGGTGACCTATTGTAACCAAGGTCACATGGGGAAATATTTAAAAGAAATGGTTTCCAATAAAACTCCAGCATACAAAGTGTGTTATAGACAGATGGCTGATTTGTGTTTGTCAGTGTTTTGTTTGCAAATCACTTTAGGAAGTAGGGTTACCTCGCCAATCAGGACATATCCCAGAATTCCTGCTACAAACAGACTGACGGAGAGGAAGGCCAATGCCCATAGATGCTGGAACAGAATACATACACAGTGAAACCTCATCTATCCAGAACTAGGTAATCTGTAAACGTGGACTCAAAAATGGCAAAAACAACAACAAAAATTGTATTTTCATAAGTGAATGCTCATGGCGCTAAACCATTATTACCCCTGGTCAAGGATCAGTGTACACAAGATATATTCATGTTCAGTATGCTCGAGGATACAACCCAAACTGCAAGTAAAGCGATAGGTGGTTAACAGTCACATAACATCTCGTTCTACCGGGTACCCATTCATGTCTGGGCGAGCAGAAGCATATTTCGAACAAAGTTCTGACCAAGGAGACACCTCATGAAACCTGTGATTCCATGAGGAGCAAGATCAAGGAGTCAAACTCTCGAAAAACGTCCCTCATCCAACTACTCTCCACAAACAACATCGCTTAGCTTCACCTAGATGACACAGGTTGTCCAGTCGTATAAGATGCTAATTCATTGTACAGAGGTGTTTTCCTTGGGCACGCCAGAAACCTATGATTATAGGTTCGAATCCCAGTTCGCCCCGATTATGTTTCAAGGTCTGTCAGCACAATACCCATGCTCGTGGGTTTCACCAAAGTGGTAAACGTCTGAGACCTGCATCACTTTGGGCAATCCTCCCACATTAAGCTGACACGCAGTTATATAACTGGAATACTGTTCAAACTCATTCACTCAAAACGCCTGAACTGTGAATGGCTGGATGTACACTGGACCAGGTACCCCAACTACTATATGTGCGAATACGGACGTATACAAGTCTTACCAATCCCATAATGCACTTGTACTGTGTCATCACCCCGCAGACCCCGAGTAGCGTGATGACAATGATGGCTACCCCACAGCCAATCAGCAAGAAGGAGTCCACCTCGTACAAGGGGATGTCGATGAGGCTGGAGAGCTGCTTGCTGCCATACTCCGACTCATGGGTCCAGATGCCGATACCCAGGATGGCGATGCCGCAGATCTTGAGGACAAGGAAGACATAGATGACTTGATGCTGGGCTAGAAATGCATTTTTTCCAAGTGTGACACAGAACTCTTGACAGGTGAGGTGAGATGAGGTGAGGTGAAATGGGGTTTAACGTCGAGTCCAAGATTATTCGACTTATATAGCGACGTGTGTGTGTGTGTGTGGCTGCTTGTACGAGTCCGGACTGATGCCAATTAATAGTGCTAGCTCACTGAGATACCATGCTGTAGTTTAACATGAATACCCCACTCAAAACAGTATACTGACCCCGAGCCGACCAGTCCTTGTTTTAGCCCCTTAATGCCAAGCGCAAGACAGGGTAACAACAAGTACCATCTTTTAACGTCTTTTGGTTGTGCCCATCTATATACTGTGAATGTCATTTCAACATGAGCTAGATGATAAGTGGTTGTAACATAGGTCTTTGACCCTTATCTTTTCTTTCAGATTGATAGCATCCGGTTCCATTTAGGAATACCAGGTTTATTGTAAGAATTCTGTAAAGTAAGCATATTAATAGGGCTGCAATGATACAGGAAGGTCACAATACGATACGCATCTCGATATTTTGGTCACGATACGATACGTATCTTGATACGCAATGATACAAAAACAAGACTTAAAGCATGTCAAGATTGAACCTTTCATGATTTTGGAACAATCAACATTATTTTATAATAACAAGACTACTGAAGTTGTTGAGCTTTCTCTAACTTTCCAGAAAATAATTAATGTACTTCACCAGTGATACAACTTCAAAGAATTTTCATGCAATGGTCGAAGAAATTGTATCTGAAATTATAGTTTTATAAGGAATAATATATCGTGTTACTTTAGTTGCAGCTTTTACTATATATGTTTTTAAAATTATAAAAACCACAAGCATAGCATTTTGGTACTGGTGATTGCTGTTGCAGGATATTTTTAAGTATGGAACAATTTGACCAGTCACCATAGGGACTTCCCGCTCGACAGGTATTTCGATTGCGAAAACGTTATGTTGACATATATTAGCCAAATTGCCACAAATATGACTTTTAACGAGTCAAAGTATGGCATTTTTAATATATGTATCCATTCTTTAGCAACTAAAGTTCGTTCAATGCGTCAAATGTGGTAATCTGACCGTGGTGGCTGTATCTCTTCACACACGATTTCACCTAACTTAATGAAAACAATATTAAATGAAATTTTGAATAAAATTAATAAAATATATTACAATCACATGTCCAGTTAACAATGAACACGTTTTAATAACAAGATAGTATAATGATGGTATTGAATTGCGTACTTCAGTTCGGTTTGGCTGACTGGTATTTCCAGTGTTATGTGCTTGCGGTGATCAGCTGATAATGTTTTTTGAGATGGGGAAAAACATCTGTCAGTGTGAAACCTGAGCTTATTAAAAATGTAAGTACGTTTTGGGGAGCCATGCGTTACTGCACGCTATAACCAAGTCAGCGGTTTATTGAAAGGCACAACAGCGAAGAAACGCTGTACTTGAGATTTGCGTTCCGTATCGTGGCATATCGATAAATGGGCCCACGTTTATCGTATATCGTATCGTGGGTCAAGTATCGCGATGCATTGGAATATCCGTGTATCGTTTCACCCTTACATATTAATATATTCATATGGAAATGTTTCAACAAATTACTTTTGCTAGACAATATTTTTCACTATTTTGTTATGTTTTAGAATATTTTCACAATGAAAGTTCTTCCTTTCATTTGTTTATCTCTACATGCTCAATGTGTAGACTTTTCAAAAATGAAAACAAATGAAAAACTAATCTTAATTTATTGAATAGTCTGTGTAAGATGTGATTATAATTATTATTATTAAAACGATACTTTTATATACCCAGGTATCCAGTATCTGCTCAAATGCAGTTTCATTTGTTCCCTGACCAGCAGATCCATTTGCATACCAGTTATCAGGAGTACACAACGCTAGCTGCCTACGGGTGCAAGGGTGGTTTTACATCAACGTCACACATATCAGGTACCCATTCCCTGCTGGGTGAACAGAGGCACATTTGAACTAAGTCACTTGCCTAGGGTGACACCACACCTTTTGACACTTGTGTTTCGGGTGTATGTACGTATTTTTTGTTTCAACCATCTGGTCATCTATCATAAACGAAAGGGTTCTTTTGAGTGTACTGGGTGAATGTACTGTACACTAGGGGTAGTGACAACACTGTAAACATTGTTGGTCCCAAGGCTGAATAACAATTTGGTCGCTAGTGGGATACGATCTCAGCACCTAGACCTTGCTTGCCTGGGACTTTTGACCGCTGGCACACTACGGCCCATGATGAATTGTCACATATTGCTGGCCTGTGGCAGAGGTACTGGATTCATGACAAGGAACTCAGGGTAGGAGAGATTCTGATGATGTGCATAAAGATGAAGACCTCTACAACCATCAAACTCCTGCAGAGCTCCAGATAAGCTTTTGGTGTTGTGGGTATTTTACCCATGCATTTTAAAATCACTGGGTATCAGTAATTCTATCTGGGTATTCAAATTTCTGTTACCCACTAGTTTTTACACATGTGGGTATTTAAGTTAAATATTTAAAAACACTATTCATCTATAGTCCCTGCAAACTGGTGTCGTGTGGGTTTGAGAGCTTTATAGGACTCAAAAATACCACGATACTTCCACAAGAAAGTGTGATGGCAAATGATCAAGATGTAACTGTCATCGTGGAGTTTGGCAAGGTTGACGGAATGCCCGTTTATAATTTCAAAATAAGTTGCTGATTTGCTAATCGAATACGCAGGGTTACTTCACAATATTTTGATGATACACACAAGTTTTATTTTTGTAGCGCATCTGTCCTGTTTGTTGCATATTTGATACGCTGGGATTTTATTGTACTGCGTATTTCTGCATTTCTGATGCGTATTTTATGCAGATACGCAGCTTATCTGGAGCTCTGTCCTGACACTCTCAATACGCTGCAAGATATTTATTCATGTTTTCTATCATATTCATTTTCATTTCTTAAGCAGATGAAAAAACATATCATTCTGACATTCCCTTACCAAGACAACAACAAATGCTATCAGTAATAGGTTTTTTATCCATTTGGCACAGGAGGTGCCCACCATCCGATTGGATTCAAACCCGGCCCAGCTCTGGGTCTCCTCGATCGGCGAGAAGCTGTTGATGGTCATGTTGACTTGCCTTCTGTAGGGAAAGAAAATACATAAATTATGATCATGATCATCATCATCTGTATCATCCTTCTATATACCTAGAGGGGTCATGGTGGTCAGCAAACAGACATATTGGTCGTGGCCGAGCATAGATCGACATACCCAAAGCAGACCAATCAAAATGCAGGACTCTCAGATGTCATGGTACATGTATATGGTTCAGTTAAGTATTAATCGGCAAGTACAGAATACCAGGTTTACAGATATGTGATCTTTTGAATATTCTATCCCGGTTACATAAGCAAAACATATTTGAGAAATATACATTTCCCAGTATTTTTATGGGTTCTCCATATGTTGACTTCTTATTTGATTGTTTTTCTCAATAATTTCATAATAAATTTTGAACATATGTTCAATCTTCCTTAAAAGTATGAAAAGCTGTTATCTGAAAATGAAAACAGTGAATAATAAGACGAACTCATGGAATGTGATGGATGTCACCTGAAATTTCATAGAGTTGCACCCGACTCGCCGAAAATCCGACTTGCCTAAAAAAATCTGACCCGACTCGCCTGAAAAATATATATAATATTTATGTATGCGTTCGGCAAATATAACTTAGGTTAGGCATAATGATCACAATTACTAGTATATTCATACACAAGTATCGAAATAATATTTAAAAAACAACGTATCATCCATAGAATTTGTCTTCTGTCATATTTACATCTGCACTTCATGTTGAGTCAGTGAGTCAGAGCCCAGTCGGTTACGCTATTTGGACCGAGACTACAACACTAACATTTAGGTACATTATGTGTATAAAATGCATTACTATGTATTTCTGATAGTTACATACTTATTCTAAAATACAAAAACCGACCGTAGTTCGCTCAAAACATTTTTAGGCGAGTCGGGTCAAAATCTTTTTAGGCGAGTCGGATTTTAGGCGAGTTGGGTGTATCCCATTTCATACCTGTATTTGTCTCGATCGTAGTACATTAAACAGTCACGGGTAAATACATCTACATTGAATCTACAGCTCATACGATGTCATCACATGTTTACATATTGAGTCGTTCTAGTTTCGTTCACAACTGTCAGTCGGCCATAGGTTGCTCGTTCATCAACATTCGATCGATAATGCAAATCGAATATTCAAAATGGCATACCAGGTTGGTTGCAGATTCAAGAACTGACAGGGGCATCTATTGTGCGTAATGAATGTTTAAACGTGTATTCAAGTATTCGCAAACCTTCAAACTATTCGTGGTGCGTCATGTTTCATTTCGAGGTTGTGTTCCGTATTCTTTGCCTGTCGCTACCTGACGATGTAAACAATACACACACCTGCATAGTATGGGAGAGTTACCTGCCCCTGGAATTATTTCCGTCTCTCACCATTCGGATAATCTCGGTTATACAAATTACACAAGGTAAGTGTTGATAGAGCTATATGGGAAACACAGTTCTTCCCCTTGGACTGAAAATGGAAAGATCCCGAATTCTAAATAACGAGAACAAACACTTCTGTAAGCTCAAATATGATGTTTATTTATCAGTATTGTAATTAGTTAAATGGAATGAAGTATAAAAATAAAATTTCAAAAGTCAATTATTTAAAGGAATCTCTTATTTCTTTTGTTCTGGAAAAGGTATTGTCTTCAAACACAGTTCATGGGGTTATTTCGCTTCATAAAAAGATCCTTACTTAGGTTCGTTTCATTACCAATATTTATTAACAAAAGTTTTGTTTGTTTGTTGTTTAACGCCGCACTCAGCAATATTGCAGCTATATGACGGCGGTCTGTAAGTAATCGAGTCTGGACCAGACAATCCGGTGATTGACATCATGTGCATCGATCAACACAATTGGGATCAATGACATGCATCAACCATGTCAGCGAGCCTGACCACCCGATCCCGTTAGTGGCCTCCTACGACAAGCATATAGTCGCCTTTTACGGCAAGCATGAGTTGCTGAAGACCTATTCTCCCCCGGATCTCCACGGGGAGACAAGCATAGTCAACTTGTACGGCAAGCATGGGTTGCTGAAGACCTATTCTCCCCCGGATTTCCACGGGGAGACAAGTATGGTCACCTTGTACGGCAAGCATGGGTTGCTGAAGACCTATCTTCCCCCGGATCTCCACGGGGAGACAAGCATAGTCACCTAGCTTGTACCGCAAGCATGGGTTGCTGAAGACCTATCTTCCCCCGGATCTCCACGGGGAGACAAGTATGGTCACCTTGTACGGCAAGCATGGGTTGCTGAAGACCTATCTTCCCCCGGATCTCCACGGGGAGACAAGCATAGTCACCTTGTACCGCAAGCATGGGTTGCTGAAGACCTATTTTCCCCCGGATCTCCACGGGGAGACAAGCATAGTCACCTTGTACCGCAAGCATGGGTTGCTGAAGACCTTTTCTCCCCCGGATCTTCACGGGGAGACAAGTATGGTCACCTTGTACGGCAAGCATGGGTTGCTGAAGACCTATCTTCCCCCGGATCTCCACGGGGAGACAAGCATAGTCACCTTGTACGGCAAGCATGGGTTGCTGAAGACCTATTCTCCCCCGGATTTCCACGGGGAGACAAGTATGGTCACCTTGTACGGCAAGCATGGGTTGCTGAAGACCTATCTTCCCCCGGATCTCCACGGGGAGACAAGCATAGTCACCTTGTACCGCAAGCATGGGTTGCTGAAGACCTTTTCTCCCCCGGATCTTCACGGGGAGACAAGCATAGTCACCTTGTACCGCAAGCATGGATTGCTGAAGATCTATTCTCCCCCGGATCTCCACGGGGAGACAAGCATAGTCACCTTGTACCGCAAGCATGGGTTGCTGAAGACCTATTCTCCCCCGGATCTTCACGGGGAGACAAGCATATTCACCTTGTACGGCAAGCATGGGTTGCTGAAGACCTATCTTCCCCCGGATCTTCACGGGGAGACAAGCATATTCACCTTGTACGGCAAGCATGGGTTGCTGAAGACCTATCTTCCCCCGGATCTCCACGGGGAGACAAGCATAGTCACCTTGTACCGCAAGCATGGGTTGCTGAAGACCTTTTCTCCCCCGGATCTTCACGGGGAGACAAGCATAGTCACCTTGTACGGCAAGCATGGGTTGCTGAAGACGTATTCTCCCCCGGATCTCCACGGGGAGACAAGCATAGTCACCTTGTACGGCAAGCATGGGTTGCTGAAGACCTATCTTCCCCCGGATCTTCACGGGGAGACAAGCATATTCACCTTGTACGGCAAGCATGGGTTGCTGAAGACCTATCTTCCCCCGGATCTCCACGGGGAGACAAGCATAGTCACCTTGTACGGCAAGCATGGGTTGCTGAAGACCTATCTTCCCCCGGATCTTCACGGGACTATAAACAGAAGTGATTAAATAAAGAACTTAAAGAACTTTTGTAAAAAAAATAAAGGTAAATTAATAGCATGGATCGCACCCCCAAGATCATACTTTTATATTTTTGTTTCGATGTTTCCCCCTCTCATCTGAGGGCATTGTATGATATTTATAACAAACATATGAAATTGAAGTTCAGAAAACAACAATTCAATTATGTGCATTTTTTACGCCATATAGAGTTTGATAGTTTAAAGGATCAACATTTCATTGTTTTCACATTCACATTCCTATGGGTTGACTTAGCTCAATAAAACCGTTCTACATTTTCTTAGCAGAAAGCCAAGGATATTCCGCGCAAAACTTGGAACTACGAATTATTCGTACATATCTTTCACTAACCCTCTGAACACCCGCTGGCTGCACCCGCCGAGTACGCCCACTATAACTACACCCACTAAGTACACCCGCTAACTACACCCACTAACACTCACACACAATCTACTGACTTCACACATCTACTGACTTCACCCACCTTGCGACTTCACCCACCTAGCGACCTCACCCATCTCCTGACTTCACCCACCTAGCGACTTAACCCATCTACTGACTTCACCCACTCACTGACTTCACACATCTGCTGACTTCACCCATCTACTGACTCTACCCATCTCCTGACTTCACCCATCTACTGACTTCACCCACCTAGCGACTTCACCCACCTAGCGACTTCACCCATCTCCTGACTTCACCCACCTATAGCGACTTCACCCACCTAGCAACTTCACCCATCTCCTGACTGCACCCACCTAGCGACTTCACCCATCTGCTGACTTCACCCATCTACTGACTCCACCCATCTGCTGACTTCATCAACCTACCGACTTCACCCACCTACCGACTTCACCCATCTGCTGACTTCACCCATCTACCGACTCCACCCATCTCCTGACTTCACCCATCTACTGACTTCAACCGCCTAGCGACTTCGCCCACGTAGCGACTTCACCCATCTGCTGTCTTCACCAATCTATTGACTTCATCCATCTACCGACTTCACCCATCTCATGACTTCACCCACCTAGCGACTTCACCCATCTACTGACTTCACCCACTCACTGACTTCACACATCTGCTGACTTCACCCATCTACTGACTCCACCGATCTACGGACTTCACTCACTCACTGACTTCACACATCTGCTGACTTCACCCATCTGCTGAGTTCACCCATCTACTGACTTCACCCACTCACTGACTTCACCCATCTGCTGACTTCACCCATCTGCTGACTTCACCCATCTACTGACTCCACCCATCTACTGACTCCACCCATCATCTGTCTCCACCCATCCACTGACTCCACCCATCTCCTGACTTCACTCATCTCCGGACTTCACCCACCCACTTACTCCACCTATCTCCTGACCCCACCCATCTCCTGACTTCACTCATCTCCTGACTTAACCCATCTGCTGACTTCACGCACCCACTCACTCCACCTATCTCCTGACTCCACCCATCTCCTGACTTCACTCATCTCCTGACTCCACCAACCCAATGACTTCACACATCTCCTGACTTCACCCACCTTCTGACTTCACCCATCTACTCACTCCAACTATCTCCTGACATCCCCCATCTGCTGACTTCACTCACCTACTGACTTCACCCATCTACTGCCATCACCCATCTACTGACTTCACCCATCTACTCACTCCACCTATCTCCTGACATCCCCCATCTGCTGACTTCACTCACCTACTGACTCCACCCATCTACTGACTTCACTCACCTGCTGACTCCACCCATCTACTGACTTCTCTAACCTGCTGACTCCAACCATCTACTGACTTCTCTCACGTACTGACTCCACCCATCTACTGATTCACTCACCTACTGACTCCACCCATCTACTGACTTCACTCACCTACTGACTCCACCCATCTACTGACTTCTCTCACCTACTGACTCCACCCATCTACTGACTTCTCTCACCTGCTGACTCCACCCATCTACTGACTTCTCTCACCTACTGACTCCACCCATCTACTGACTTCTCTCACCTACTGACTCCACCCATCTACTGACTTCTCTCAACTGCTGACTCCACCCATCTACTGACTTCTCTCACCTACTGACTCCACACATCTACTGACTTCTCTCACCTGCTGACTCCACCCATCTACTGACTTCTCTCACCTACTGACTCCACCCATCTACTGACTTCTCTCACCTACTGACTCCACCCATCTACTGACTTCTCTCAACTGCTGACTCCACCCATCTACTGACTTCTCTCACGTACTGACTCCACACATCTACTGACTCCACCCATCTACTGACTCCACCCATCTACTGACTTCTCTCACCTACTGACTCCACCCATCTACTGACTTCTCTCACCTGCTGACTCCACCCATCTACTGACTTCTCTCACGTACTGACTCCACCCATCTACTGACTCCACCCATCTCCTGACTTCACTCATCTCCTGACTTCACCCATCTACTGACTTCACCCACCCACTGACTCCACCTATCTCCTGATATCCCCCATCTGCTGACTTCACTCACCTACTGTCTCCACCCATCTACTGACTCCACCAATCTGCTGTCTTCAACCATCTACTGACTTCACTCACCTACTGACTCCACCCATCTACTGACTTCTCTCACCTACTGCCTCCACCCATCTACTGACTTCTCTCACCTACTGACTCCACCCATCTGCTGACTTCACCCATCTACTGACTTCTCTCACCTACTGACTCCACCCATCTACTGACTTCTCTCACCTACTGACTCCACCCAACTGCTGTCTTCAACCATCTACTGACTTCACTCACCTACTGACTCCACCCATCTACTGACTTCTCTCATCTACTGACTCCACCCATCTACTGACTTCTCTCACCTACTGACTCCACCCATCTACTGACTTCTCTCACCTACTGACTCCACCCATCTACTGACTTCACTCACCTACTGACTCCACCCA